CGACAATCTTGAAGACCTTGAACAAGGCTCTTCCGGATCTTCTCGTTGATATCCTTTCACAGGTGACAGTGGCCTCGTGTCACTTTCGGCGGCCACGACCCCAACTGCTTCGGGTACGAACGCGATATTTGGACGATATATGGGCCAATGGCAAGAAAACTCGCAGGGTCGACGATAGTTTCTTCAGCGCCACAATAATTAAGGTTCCCCGTTGAAGAGTCAACTTGGAGACTGCCTGGTTGCAAGTATCATTTTTATCAAAACTCTATTTTAAGTAAAATTATCAGTTTGTGTTCTTTTAAAAGAGGATTTAAGATAAGAAGAAAGATGTAAAGTGATTAATTATTTGAGAGAGATTTTTATCTTAAAATTCTTAAGATAAAATCTTAAGATTATCTTAACAAATATACGCGACATAATGAATAGAATAGAAGGAAATAATACATAGATAAGTATATATATTTTTTTATATACAACTTGCGAGGATTTTAAAATGAACAAATCATCATTAAATTGTCAACATCTCTCCCAACTTTAATAACATAAACAAAAATAAATAAATATATAAAATACTATAATTTGTTTTTTTTTTTTTAATTCCAAGTCTTATTTAATTGTGTCTTATCTAAATCCAGAATAGGATAAGTTGATAATTTTTTTAAACTAAATTAAAGTTGCTTATAAAATTAATTTAATTAAGTTAAAAGTTGCATGAACTAAAAATTAACTCAGTTAAAGTTAAGTTAAGATTAAATTAACTGAAGTTAATTTACAAAACCATTTATATTAAATATTTATATTAAATTAGAATTTTATTTGTTAATTCTTTTAAAATTTATAATAGCAAATAACAAAGAAATTTTGATTTTTGTATAGAAATATATTTTTTTGGTAATTACAATTGATGACAAATAAACATAAAAATTAATAATACTTTAATTTAAAAATAATACGTTTTTAACTTATAAAAAACAACAATGATTCAGAAATTTAAAAAATTGAACTTGGGAAAAAAGTTAATAAGTTTAAGATCGAAAATAACTAGTTGAAGTTTATAATTAATGTATTTTAAATTAACTAAGCTAATTTAAAAGTTATTAACTTTTTAACTTTTTTTAATTTTTCACTATAATTAACTAGTTACCCAACCCTGGTAATACAATTATTCTGATTAATAAAAATATGTCGAGAAACTGCATTCCAGTTTAATTTCCTGCATAAAGACTCAAGAATCTTTTGTGTATTTTCAGGAATAGGATTTTCGACTAAAAATATAGTTAATCCCAACCAGAAATGATAGTTAAATCGACGTCGAATCAATGTCGAATCGATGTCGAATTGGTCAAATCGATATCGATTCGACGTCTTTTCGACCGATCATTTTTCTGACTATATAGATAGGTTAAAACTAAAAAATACAGTAAATATATAGTATTTATTATACAGTATGTATTATAGTATATATATAGTATGTAGTAGAAAAAGATATAAAGTATATATATAGTATATAATAGTAATAATAGTTTATAGTATATAGTACAATATAATATAATAGTGTATAATCTATAGTATATATTATATAATATATAGTATTATAGTATAGTATAAAATATAATATATAATATATATAGTATAAATATAATATATAAATATAATATATAAATGTGTGTAAAAATTGAAAATTTATGCAATTATTATTTTTTCAACAAATTGACAGATAAATACGGTCCAATAAATGTTACTATTTTTACCATAATAAATATAAAGACTCGCTCTTGAAAAATGTCCATTCTGTCGAGCCGGCCCTGCAATAACGATTGACGGGTAACGAGACACCCGTGATGCCTTAATTAGAACAAGTAAAGCACGAACAAAAACTATTAATTGCGACTCTATTGTATCGAATCGACACGCAGGTAGCTACAGCTATATATGCACGCTCTCGATAAATCTCCATTTTTCTCTCATCTTAAAACTCTGCTTCTATCAGAATTTTATTTCGCAGAACCTATAGTAAACCTTTATCAAAATTTCTGTTAATATATATTTTTCTCTTACAGAATGGATAATTTCCATACAAAGACACCATGTAAAGAACATTGAAAATTTTTTGAAAATAATCAAACTTTTTTACAATTGACTTATATATAATTAATTTTTTTCTTCTAAAAATTACAGCAATCTTGATAAATATATTTTTATTTTTAACTCATTCATATAATTTTTAATTAATTAGAGAAAGAAAAAGCAATAAGAGCCAGAACAAATTTATTAAAAATAGCAATGTAAACATTTTTTTTAATTTGCATAATTATAATTAGTTATTATAATTTTTATTAATAATTCCATATTGAAAATAAACTTTATTCATAATCACATCAAGAAATTTTTAAATAATATGAAGTTATTAAAGCTACTTTTGGCCTCTTTTATTTATCATTCTATTAAAAAATAAAACTAAAAATTTTTGTCTTTTTATTTACACTTTCAAAATTTAAAGATCTTATAAAAAAACAATTTTCTTTCCAATGTTTCGAGAAAAATATTTCTTCCAATTAAAATATTAATATTATTCTCATCAAGATTACTATCAAAATTATACATTTATATCGATAACGGTATTAAAATTATTTGCTTTTATCATATTTTATTATATAATAATAATAATAAAAATAATAATAAATATAATAAATAAAGTAAGAAAAATAAATTACATTAAGAAAATTAATAATAATAAAATGTAATTATAAAAAATAATTTAATGTAAATTTTATGTAATGTGTAATAATATATGTAAAGAAGAAACATCAATATATTGTGTTTAAATGTCAAACATTTTAAATAAATAGTTTCAGAAAAAAAATATGAGGCATTATTTTCTAAGCAATCCTAGTAAAATATATGTATTAAATATATGAATTTTGTATACAGCATTAGCAAAAAAAATAACAAAATTGTAAAGACTGTGTTACGTTTTCCAATAATGATAACGATTCATTTTTCATAAAAACAACTTTTTTCAACCCTGGCATATTTTTCTCCCTCGGATGTTTAACACCGTCGATATCGGTAACGTGGTGACGACAATGAATATCGATCTCTCGCTTTAAAAGCGCGTTGGAAAATAGCGCAAAGCGCTTCTCCAACTTGTAGACGTAATTTCCTGCGAGGAAATTGTATCCTGCAATCGTCCGCGTTCTTTCAAAAAGCAGGAAAATGTAGGTGGGTTTCAATCGGCTCTCTTCCTCCGTCCTTCGAAAAGAAGAAAAATAAACTCCCGGCTTATTGTTATTATTTCTGAAACATGCGGGTTCATCTTAAACATTCTGTAAATGTAGGACGTGAACAATTTTTTTCAAATTTATTTTATTTATATAATATATATTGTATTAAGTAAATAAATATCACATATAATAATCAAAATATAAGTAATTAAAATATAGGTAATCGATTAATTTTATTAGCGTATTGAAAAAGCTGCTGTGACAGCCGAAACACGTTTACGGTTTGAAATGATCTTTTCTTTTGTACAGACCATGTAATAAAAAATTGTTTTTAATTAATATACAAAATATTTAATGCTCTTCATTGGCCTATTTAATATATATATATATATATATATTGAAAATATTAGTAAATTATATGTTAAAAAAATATATTAATAAACATGCAGAGATACATAAATTAAGTTAAATATATAAATATATAATATTGTAATATTATAATATGTAATATATATATAATAACATATATAAATTATATATAAAATATTATATAAAATATATAAAAATATATATAAATTAAATATACATAAAAATACATTATATAAATTTAAAAAAATATTCTTCTTATACGAGATAATGAGACAAAATGGCAGATAAAAATTGCGTTGCACATTTTTCAAGAATTTTTTATAGACATTACAAATAAATAAAAAAAGAGGACTTTGAAAAGTCCTCTTAGGGTACGTCTTGATTTCGCAGATCCGAAAAGTTGAGAAGGCACTGTTATAAGGCGTCTTCGTCTTCGTCGGCGAACGCACGAAGAAGACTTACAAAAGCACCCCGAGCTTGAATGGCCTTGATCGAAGCTGCGTATTTAGGCGATAAACCGTATCGATCGGTATTGTCCCCATAAAACTCACCTTCACCACCTCTCCGCATGTGTTTCTCTCTTCATTTTCCTCTCCTTATTTATCTAACAAGACGGAGAGAAAGAAAAACGATGAAAAATGTGTACGGACCAAACCCCGTTTATTTGCTCGATTTCAAATACGTATTTACGCGGGTAATCGGATTGTGTGTCTTCGAGAGAGACGTTCCTGCCTTATTGGAACATCGCGTAAACCTTCTCTACTACGAGAAAAATTGCAACGGCAAAGAATCTTTGGATCTTTGCTGGCGCAGACGGGAAATTCTGTCTCCAGCTGATGACAATAAAAAAAAGAAATCGGTTTTTCATCGTTCAAAGATTGCGATAAAATAATAGAAATGATGTAAAAGCAATTTTCATTGTCTTTAGATGTAGATAAAATTATAAATAGAATTATTTTCAAGTATTTCGTTCTTTTAAAGTTGGTCTACATATTAATATATAATTGTTCCTAAAACCAAAATTTATTATTAATTTTATATTATTATATATATCTTGTATGTATTATATTTTTCCTAATATAATATATCCCAGCAGCAAACTATATCCAAATAGCAAACTGACGTCATTAAACGTCATAATGACATATATTATATATCAGATATGTAGGTATTATAATATCCCATGTAACAGACTAACGTCATTCAAACGTCATTAAACATCATTAAAACGTCATTAAATGTCATCAAACATTTTGACGTTTATGACGTCAATTTGCTACTTGGGATATTTTAAAAATAATAATTATTTGAACGTCTCTCATTCAATGACGTCAAAATGACGTGCGCTTGCTACCTGGGAAATTTCGCAGCCCGCACGCGAGAAATTCAATCAAGCACTGTCTCGCGAGTCGGCCTGTCCGAGATTGCGCGGGCTTTTGTCGAGCTTTCGTGCTTGCGATGCAGTTCAGTCGTCTCTCGTCCGTCCGCGTTCGCCAGTCGGCCGCGACGATGTGGTCCATCCGATTCGCAAACAATTTGTCGTATCTTCGCCGAAACACCGTCGACGATCTAGGACGATTCAGATCGAGAATCTTTCGTACAACCCTATTATTTGGATTATTTATGGATGATAGTGCGCGATAAAAATTGTTAAATCGACTTTCCGAAAAAAAGAAACTAATGTAATTTACATATGTAATACGTATGTTTATATAATATAATATCAAATTAAAGATGATATACTTCATGTGAAAAAAATATAAAAATTTTATTTGAGTATTTTAATTACGATTAAATTATGCATTGTTACAATTAAACTACTAATGATTAAGCCACGCAATTTAGTACACTTTATATTTTTTTCACGATTGTCTTTTATATATTTTTTTCAAAATGCTCTTTAATAAATGCAAACATATGATTGGTAACAATAATATTTCTTGCGATTGGGGGACATTTATCGACATGCGAGAGGGAAGGAATATAAAAATTGCTATTGAATCATCTTCTTCAATTATATGTCTTGACACTATCGAGTGCTTCGTCCTGTATCGTACGAGATAAGGGTCAATCATGGACAAGTTGCACGAGTACGAGGGATTCGCGGGCAGGATTCACGGTGTCCGCGAAGCCATCAAGGAACGATGGAGCGTGTGGAAAGAATGGAAAAACGGACTGAATCTGGATCAAGGTCTGGACGGATTGGTACATCATCTACGAGGGCCGCCCAAGCTGGAGCGCACGTTGGAAGACTATTCTCACATCTACAGGTGAAAAGAATTCAATATACATAATTATTTTAACAGAGAGTATTTAATATAAATATAAAATCATATTAATTCAAATAATCGGACTTTTGGTCACAAGAACAAAACACAAAGGTTCAGCTTTATTCCGTTTAATATGTCTTCCCTGAACGCACTGAAAAAAAGAGTTTCATTGTTTTTCGACGAAACAGAGAATTACTGATTAAATCGACCAGAATTCCTTATAATGCAACACGAATCTTGGTTAGCACAAACAACTAATTTATTGTGCAACCAAATTCTTGTTACATTATAAGGAATTCTGGTCGATTTAACCAGCAATTCTCTGTTTCGTCGAAAAACAACCAAACTCCTTTTTCAGTGCGGGTAGCTTCAAAAATATAAGAAAGGGTTCTCAAGTAGCAAGTGTACATCATTAGACGTCAAACTGACGTCATTTTGACGTTTAAGGGGATCCCTCAGCAAATGACGAACACCGACAAAATTCAGCACACATATCCAAAACATATGCACGTATGCACAACACACGCGCACATATTTCTAATTACAAATTTTTATTAGACTTCTAATCTAAGTTTAGAGGATAACAGTGCTTTCTTTCGTGTCTTCTAATCCCAGGGAGTGTGCATTTTTATTCATACAAAGTGCATATGTTTTATATAAAGTACATATTATGATGAGGTTGACAGTTTGTCTGCAATTCGAGATATCAAATCGAGATGAAAATAAATAAGAAAAACTGTTATTTCTCATTTTTTATATCAAATCGAATTTCCCTGGAATTATTGATGCATGTATTGCAATCGTAGAAAAGCATTTTTAGTTATATCAAATTAAAAAAAAAGATATACTAGAAGTACGAAAATATATGACTCCTTCGATAAAACAGAAATCGTGAAGGATCCCCTTAATGACATATCATTTTGCTACTTTTAGGAACTAAAATAACATCCCAATAAGTGGCAAACTGACATCATTAAACGTCAAAATGACATACGCTTGTCTACCTGGGGTGGTAGAACTTTATACGGGATTACTTTTTTAATAATCTCAGAAGGAAAAGCCGTGCCGAATTGGTTCGAGTCTCGGCAGCTGTAATGGGGATCGAGTTCTCGTACGCGGCGGAAACCGCCTTCGTCTCGCCGACTCTGTTGAAGATCGGTGTCGATCACCAGCGTATGACCCTTGTCTGGGCGCTGAGTCCTCTTGTAGGCTTCTTCGTCACGCCTATCCTGGGCAGCATGAGCGATCGCTGTAAACTCAAGCAAGGCAGGAGGCGACCCTTCATTCTCTTGCTGGCCATCGGAGTTTTCATAGGCAAGTCGCAATATATAAGCTTTTTATGTTTTGATTTTAAAAGATGACACATAAATTTGTTAGAATTAGAAGTCGTTCTATGTTGTTCGAAACAAAATTAAGATAAATAAATTTATATTATTTCCTACAGGCCTCATTCTGGTGCCGAATGGTGAACACATCGGTTACCTATTCGGCGATAGGCCGTCTCATGAGAACGAGACGATTCCCCTCGGACATCGCACAACAGCAAAGCTGGCCACAAAGGAGACGTCTGAATCCGTTGAAAGAGCTTCTTCGCACTCCTGGGGCATCCTCTTCACGATTCTCGGCACGGTGCTACTCGACTTTGACGCCGACGCTTGTCAAAGTCCAGCGAGAGCTTATCTTCTCGATGTCACTATACCTGGTAAAGTATAGAGTTGGTGATTCGCTTTGAAGGCTTCTATAATAAAACTTTAAAACTTTGAAGATTCGAAGCTTTGACTTTAGAATCTTTGAAGATTGAAATTTTGAAGCTTCGAAGTTATAATAGTTCTAGTAAAAGATTTTGGGATACTTTTTACAATATGGAAAAAATAGCGAAGCCTTATTATTTGCTGTCTCAATCTCATTTTTTAAATGTATTCTGAAAAAGCATCTCTTCAGTCTTTTTTTTTAATCAAATTATGTACGATTGTGGCATAAAGAATTGTGAGTCCACTATCTACGGGTCTGAGGTTCAAATTCCGCCAAAAACATCTTGAATCCACTTGATCGCCACCTTTAGAAAATGGCAAACTAAGAGCATCTTGCTTCAAATTGATCCAAGATGTTTTTAGCCTGATTTGAGCCGGGTATAGAAAGTAAACGCACATTTCTATACATACACATACACATTTTTAAAATTTAAATTTAATGGTATTAACATCCTAAAATATTCAGAGGATCACGCTAGAGGCTTAAGCACATTCACCATAATGGCGGGCCTAGGTGGCTTCATGGGCTACGGTTTAGGTGGCATCAATTGGGACGCTACCTCGCTTGGTGTTATGCTAGGCGGACACGTGCAAGTGACCTTCACTCTGATCACAATCATCTTCGTCATTTGCGTGATATGTACGATCACCAGCTTTAAGGAAATCCCACTCGAAGTTCTCGAGAAAGATCAGTACAGGCAGACGGAAGAGTCCAAGGTGAATTTTACTTTTTTATATGTTTTAACATATTTGCTTTTCTATTTCATTTTCGAAGTACGTAAGGAAGCCCGACATGAAGATATAATTTTTATAGGCGACGGAAGAAATTCAGGAGACGGAGAACAAGCGAAACGAACGCGAAAAGATCATTCACGATGAGTCGAGGACCTACGGTGCTCTCGATGTTGAACGCGAGGCGGAACCCCCGAAGAGAGAAGTAAGTTTATAAATTTCCAGGTAGCAAAAATAGTTATTTTTCATTACTATATATGTATATCAAAGTTACTCTATATAAATTATCAAATTTCTTACAAGTATGTAACGCGTTACTTCCCAGTTCAAAATAAGAGTTAGCTAAATGAATTATTAATCAAGGAGCTCGCCAACGATCCGCAACTCTCCGATCATCTTGAAGAACCCATTTCCGGAGGTAGCCACGTCAACTATGGCTTTGAGAGTGAAACAAATCCCAGAGCGACCTTGAAGGAATATCTGATGTCAATCATTTACATGCCGCAAAGTCTCCGTCAGGTATAAATCAGATAACTGAACGAATATTGAATTAAAAGATCCTAATTTTTGCGATAACTGATCTTATTGCAAATTCTGGGTCGCTAGGTCTGTTTGACAAATCTGTTCTGTTGGATGGCACACGTGTGTTACTCCCTATACTTCACGGATTTCGTAGGCGAGGCAGTTTATGGCGGAAATCCGCGGGCACTTGCTAACACTGACGAACGAGAGCTCTACGAGGAGGGTGTGCGATTCGGATGCTGGGGAATGTCCATGTACTCGCTGTCCTGCTCGTGCTACTCGCTCATCATCGAGCGATTGATTCAGCGTTTTCGCGCGCGTAAGGTATATACGCTCCAGAATTCCGCTTAAAGGTTGCATACAAGGAGGGGTAAAATATATATTTTTTTTTACGCTGAGGAAACCTTTTATAGATATTCTCGCTCTCCAGATAGAGGGCAAACACTATGCGGGACTATTAAGGAGTAGAGCTTAAAAAAACTATTAGACGATATATCTGTTTGACCTTGAGATGACCTTGAAAAGTTCCAGTCAAGATCAATATAAAAATTTTAAAAAGAAATTCCTATTTTTATTACATATTCTTGTAGCTGAAGTCGAGACGTTTCAAAAACACTATAATAAAACATTTTTTCATTAAGCACTTTTCGAGTTATAAGACTTGAAATTTATAGTATCGCTGGTATTATTTAGGATAAGGCTAGATATATTTAGAACAAGGAATAAACCTCAAAAGGATAAAAAAATTAGTCGAAACTAGTAGTACGATTAGCTCTACATTCTATGAAAATTTATTTAGGTTTACGTCTACGGGCTGCTCTTCTACAGCGTCGGTATGTTGCTGATGGCTCTGACGAAGCACCAGGTCGGTGTCATCGTCTTCTCGTGGACCGCCGGCGTCATGTACTCCACGTTGTTCACCATGCCGTATCTACTGGTTGCGCATTACCACACGTCCTCGACCTTCGCCCTCACGAACGACTCGACGGTTTCCGGCGGTTTCGTGCGCGGTCTGGGAACCGACGTCGCCATCGTCTCGTCCATGGTGTTCCTCGCGCAATTCCTGCTGTCCTGTTGCCTGGGCACGATCGTCAGCCTCACGGGTTCCACCGCTGCGGTGGTGTACGTGGCCAGTGTTCTGGCCATGTGCGGCGCAGCCTCGGCTACGCGGATCATGTATCTGGACTTGTGAATCTCGGTTCGTCAATTGATCGAAGAGACTTACTAAGCTAGCTTCATCGTTTTATCTTTGCCAACTATATTTGATTAATAAACCGACTTCATTGTCATTACACGAAACGCAGCCAAGTGTTTCAGATATTACTGTTGTACTAATTGTGCATTTTAATTATCCAGGCACTTATTCTCCCTAAGCCGATATAGAACTCGATTAATTAACGGACAGAATTCGAAGGACGGATATTGTGTGTATACAATATGTATAACATGTGTATAACGAATAAACGATCGATGTACAAATTTCACGTGCGAAGATTATTGATACACTTCTCTAGAATGTCCTTTCTAATTCTTGGATAATCCGAATTCTGTTTCAGCACTTCGTTGCACGCATCGATAGCCTCGGCGTAAGCCTTCGCCTTCAGGCAGCAGTAGGCCAGTTTGTAACCGACAGACAGCTTCGTCTTGCCGCCGTATTTCCAGGCCTGAGCATATCTCGCCGCTGCTTCTCGATAATTCTGATCCTTTTCAGCGATGTACCCTGAAAATTATATCAAAATCATCAATTTTAAACATTTAATGTTCCGCAACAAGGAATTAAGATACAATTAAATAATAATCTCTCTCTATTTTACAATTGTCGGATAACTCGATACTGATTTAAACTCTGCTTCTATCATTTGATCTTCAATGACCTTCAGTGTGTAGTTACTGAATTCGTCATGATAAGGGCTATAAACGTATCAAGGTAGCAAGCATATATGTCATTTTGACGTTTGATGACGTCAAGTTGTTACTTAAGTGGACATTTTTTAAAAATCCCATTAAAAAATATAAAGTTTAAGCGTCTAAATTTAAATGTAGCATCCTATACTTAAAACTTGTCCTAACCCGACAGTTCATGAGCTCGCACGCAGGTAGCATTGTGCTGCAGCACCCGTTTGAGCAGGTCGTTCGCCAGATCGTATTTGCTGGATTGCACGTAGATGTCCGCCAACAGCAGCCAGCAACGTTCCAAATATTCGGCGTCCTCGAACGTCCAGACGTTCTTGCTGACGCGCTTAAGATGATTGCGGGCGCGTGGCGTCTGCTTCAGCAAAATATGAGCGGTAGCCATCCCGAGCGCGGGTCCTACATGATCCCGCAGAGTCTCCTGGCTGGCCAGCGCGGTGCAATCCTGCAGAGCCTTCTCGATGTTGGACTTTTGCTTGGTAGCCAGCAAAAAGAAATTACTGAGAAGCTTGTGAGTCAGTTCCTCGTGAGGACTTCCCTTGGGATTTAATTCCTACAATCATATATATGAAAAGTAAATATTTAAATTCCTCACGGTAGGATATTTAAGCATGATGAGGTTTTGAAAACGTTATTCTTAATTTCCTCGATTAAAAAAAAGTTGAAATCAAAACCTGAAGCAATCGATAGGCCGTTCTCAAAGCCATCGTCCTCGAATCCTGATACTCTACGTCCTCGTCGTTGAACGCCTCGTTGGACAGAGTGGTGTCATCGTCGGGATCCAAACAGATCTCGATCATGTTGTAGATTGCTTGCTGGCCCCATTCCGGGTCGCGTCGCGCAAAATTGAAGTTGCGTAGAGCAGAGTTCAACTTGCCCGTTCGCCAATCCAGCAACCCGGCGCAGTAGTGATAGCCAGCCTCCACGTTGCCCGCGCCCGTCGCACTCTGAGCACGTTGCAGCCACTCGTCGAGATCGTCCATGGCGCCTGTTCTGCGCGACACCTCTATCAATCTCGCCAGGGCGGTCCAGTAGGTAGGTTGGCGCATCAGCAACTGTCGAAAGTGAAAGGCCGCGGTCTCAAAGTCCACTTTCCGGAATGCGAGGTCCGCCATCATCACGGACGCAGCCTCGTTGTTGGGATCGGCATTCAACAGAACGGAACAGTTCTGCGCGCACCGGTCCAAATTGTTCATCTGCATGTACAGCTTCGCCAGAGAGAGCAGAGCGTTCATGTCCGTGTGCTTGTAAGTCAGCGCCTCCTTATAGTACACAATGGCCTCCTCGTAACTGCGCAAGCTCGACGCGTAGTCGGCCATCGTCAGGCAGATGTTCGCGAGCGCATGCTTTTGATCCGTCACATCCGGCGAAATGGCAAGACGCTGAATGTACCTGTGCTGATTCTCCTTGGCTTCCTTCAAAGTCAGCAACGCGCCCTTGATATTGCCCGATTTTTCACGCACCTTCGCGAGCAGCAGCAACTCCTGTCCTCGCGTCTCCAGACTCAGCATGTCGGAGTCGCTTCGCTTGTCTAAATCAAAATTATATCAAGAATTGAATTGATTTTATATTAAATTTCTATTCCATAATAATAATTTTTTCTATAATAATAATTCTATAATAATTTTATATTAAATTTCTATAGTATTAAAAGTGTCTTTTGGCTAAATAGATTTGAATTTATTAATTATCGATGTATCAATATTGATTATAGGTATTATTAGCCAATGTTAAAAAGATCACCTTGCAACTCTTGCACCAAGGTTGCTTCCGCCTTGTCGTACTGTTTCATCTTCATGTACAGCTTGGCCAAGTCCAATTTAAGAGCGCCACAATTGTTCTGTTTCACTATGTCTTTGTAATAGCTGATTGCCTTTGCGTACTGATGCGCCTTGACGAGCGCCTTGCCCATTTTATTCGCAATATCTACCTTGTCAACCGGATTCTGCGAGAGCGCCTGCTCGTACGCCTCTATCGCCCTCTCAGGTTCTTGTATGGACATGTAAGCGTTGCCCAACATGCTGTACGTTCTCGGTCCGGGACAATGCTCCACCAATTCTCTAAAAAGCGCAATCAACATAGCAATCTTATCTTAAATATGAGTTTTGTGCAATATATACATTGTATATTATAATTTGTAATAACTGTTTAACAAAAAATTACTTTTAATCATTTCTTATAGTTTTTTGGATGCTGAATATAAATCCGCAATAGATGAAAATCGAAATCTCTCTGTACCTGAAGCACTTGGCAAAAGCCTGCCGGTCTTTCTTGTAGTTCAAGTTAATCTCGGCCAACCTGGTGTGCGCCTGCAAGTAATACGGCCGCCCCGGATGGATATTCTGCAAGCAGGCGACAGCGTTCTCCAGCTCCCCCATCTCCAGGTAGACGTCAGCAGTGCCGATGGTGATTCTTCCCAGCTCAGCGGTGCCGGCGAGGTTCGCCTTCGCCTCTTCGACGAGGGCCAACGCCTCGGCAAACCGTTTGGTCTTGCTATAGACCGCGATCAGTTCCAGATACAAGGTCGCCCAATCCGACGCGGACATGTCGGACTTTCTGTGCGAGCCGCCGGTCAACTTCGCCAGCGACATCGCCGTCTGGCAGCTCTTAACGCAATTCTCCAAATCGCCCGCCTGCCGCTGTACCATGCCGATGATCAGATGATAGACCGGCTCGTCCCGAATCTTGAAGTTGTAGCTCAGGCCGACCTCTAGGCTCTGCGAGGCGACCTGGTACTTGCCCTGATACGCCAAGATCTGAGCCATCGTGAGATGCGCTTGCGCGTTAGACGGTTCCACAGTATCCAGCAATCTCCTCAGCAAGGTCAACGCGCCCTCGTAATCGCCTCTCTGCATCCTAGCCTTGCTGAGCAACAATAGAGCTACGCTAGAACCCGGACAAGCCTCCACTAGCTGCTCCAACAAGCGAACGGTCGGTTCCTTTTCCCTTATGCTATCCTGGTTAAAAAGTTTAATGTAATGTTAGGTGAAAAGACAAAATTGATGACGTAATTGACATCTTTAAGCACCAAGTTACCTCGTCGTTCGTCAACGATTTGTTCAACGAATACATCAATCGCTGCTTCGCAATCTCGAGACATAAATTCGGCCTAAGCTCACTGAGATATTCGTAGCCATAAGTGAGACCCTCGCAACTCTTCAATAAGACGTTCGCTGCTGCGTCAAGGTAGCCGAGTGCTTTAATGCTACTATCATTGGCGGCAATCTTCGCGGACATGAATAAAAGCAACACATTCGTCGAGTGTGGTTGTATCTCCATCAAAATTTCCACCTGCAAAATATACAGGATAAGCATATCATTCGATCAGTTATCTATTTCTTAACAGTAATAGCAATGTTATGTCTGCTCTTTTCAGCTAGTTCAGAACTTATTTCTTCTCTTCTAGTGTGAAATAAGAAAGAATTAGTAAACTCTAAACTAGCAGCCAGTTTAGCTGAAAAAAAGAAAACAAATTATAATCATAATCTCTACGCTCTTGTAATTAACTAGGTGTTTAAATCCAGCCTTTAGAGCACCAGGTCCAATTTTATCCATCTCCTATATGAAAAAAAAAAATTAAATTCTTAAATACACTTAACTACCTGCTGGCGCGCCTGCTCCAGGTCCTCCGCAGATCCTTCCAACAGTTGGCAGTGAGCCAGGCCCATGAGCGCGACGAAGGAGGATTGATCCGCGCAAATAGCATTCTTGTACCAGCGCTCGGCGTCCTTGACATTGCCTAATGCAACATAGATATCGCCCAGCTCCGCCATCAGCTCCGCGTTGCTCGACGACGTCGCTTGCAACATCTTCTCGGCCATTCGCGCCAGCTCCGACAGAATTCCATGATCCTGGAAGGCGATGCCGGAGAACAAACGGAGGTTTTCGATCAGTACAAACTCGTTCTTCGGCTCAGCGAGCAGCAAGTTCCGCAGAAACAGCTGCAACTGCGGTAGACCTTCGCTCGGATTGCCGTCTCTGCAGAGCGCCACCACCGAGCTCGTCCTGATGGCGTCGAGGTTGTTCGACTCGATCGCCAGCACCCGGTTCACCATCTCCAGCACCTGCTCCCAGTCCTTGGCAGCCAGCAGACACCTCATCTTCTCGATAAGCGGCAGCGGCAGCTTCGGATAACGCACGATCAGAGAGTTCAAGGTCGCGATAGCGTCGGAGTACTCTCCGACGTGTTGCTTCACCTTTGCGGAGCCCAGTAACGCGCTCAGGTTCCTCGGCTCCTCCTTCAGGACCGAATCGAAGCAGCTCCCCGCCTCCGCGCCGGACCTCAAGCTGGCCTCCAGCCATCCCTTGGCCAGCAACACATTTATATTCGTAGGTTTCAGTTTATAGGCCCGGTCTGCGTACTCCTTCGCCCTTTCCGCGCGACGAGCGAGAATTAACACAGACGCCGCGAGGTACAGCGCAACGCAGGAGGCCTTCCTGCGCTCGTCTCGTATCCTGTTCTCCATCTGAGTCACGACGCTCCGCTCGGCGTCAGCCAAGGCCACGCTCTGCACGAGTAACACTGGTAACGTGAAGTCTGGATGGCCCAGCAAGCTGGAGCTCTCCTTGATGGCCTCGTGGCTCTTGCCAACCAGGACGTACGCCAGGCAGAGCAGGAGCCTCAGTCGCTCGCTGTCCGGGTAAACGTCGCGCGCTTGCTTCACGCTGGCCAGCATTCCGTTGTAGTAGTGCTGGCGACAGTGCCACTCTATCAGAGTTATGTATTCCGTCTCGTCCATTTCTTCCTCGGTGTTGTATATCCCTTTTGATTTTTAGATTTTTCAATCAAGCCTGGAAATAAATATATGATAGTAAAATATAATTCGAAGGATCCAAATACATGGAATTTTGGCTTCCGATGGAATTGGCTTTGTAGCTTTGAGTCTATTAGATTTTTTATTTTTGTTCAGCGGATTGATAATATATTATATTAAGCTACAATATATGAGAGAACTAGCTAATCTTACTAAAATTAAATAGCCTCACAGCTAAATATTAAATAGTTAGTAAGTTATAGCCAGTCAAACAACTCGCAAAGTCCTAATTTTTCGTGTTTAACTTATTGTAAATCAGTAACCATTCATTATTAACTTACAACATATGAAAATAAAATTCCAGCAAATTCCACCAAAAGTCAAAATCCTATGTATTTGGTGCAGAATCCTTTTTTAAAAGAGATTTAAATTCTTAAAAATCTTACATTATTAGCCAACTTCTTTCCTGATTTTTTAAAATATCTTAAATCCATGGTAAAGATTTGCAGAATCTTAGAGATCTTTAAATATTCCAATTTCTAAATAATTTTTTGAACATATAATTAGTTGGTAGTTCTCAGAGTGTTGAAAATCTTCTACCGAGTCATCAAAACTTGAAATCTTCAGGATCTGGCAGTTTATCGATAGTATCAGGATCCAACTTCACTGAATCAGGACCTTCGAGAATATGAGGCGGACCAACAATACGTTCCTCCAGATCAGAATTCTTCACAGCACGATAATACTTCTGCAAGTACTCGCATCTCAAGTACATATAATAATTATTTACTATAGCATAGGTAAATGCTGTCTGAAATATAAAAAATTCTTTCGCAAACACTTTAATACATTTTGGCAATTAAATCATATAACTTTCACACACATACCTCAGCTAAGAGTCGTGCTAAACCTTGGCCTTTATAGTCTGTAGGAACAGTCACCGATTGCATGTACAGGATTTTTCCTTCAGTTTTGTATCGTAACACTGCTCGTGCTGCAATCAATAATTTTATATAACTTTTTAATTAATTAATATATATTATATATATTTATATTATTTTTATATTATTATATTCCTTATATGTTAATATATTATATATATGCATACATATATATATATATGATAAATGACTAATAGTTTTTATTATATTGTATATAATAAAAATTTTATTACAATTTTTTTATATTTTCTATTTATTTTTTTATATTTTATATATATATATATATATATATATATACATATACACACATATTTATTGTATATTTATTATATATACATACATATATATATATATATATATATATATATAAAATATAAAAATATAAATAAAAAATATAAAAAAATTGTAATAAAATTTTTATTATATACAATATAATAAAAACTTTATTAGTAATTTTTTCATATTTTCTACAGCCTTACATTCATCGTCCAGCTGAACATAAAAAGTGCTCCGGTCCACGTTGTGATAAACGACGTGCAGGAATCGTCGCTGACATATTACATTACTTATTGCTTGTTTCATTTATTCGATTATTTCCGCTGTTTTACATTTTGCTAAAATATATATTGATATATTAATGCAAAATCATGACAAATGAAAATAACAAGAGGTTATGTCAACGTTGACAATCAGCCGTTGCCTGGCAACTGCTAAATGTACTACAGAAATCTGCATTACCCTTTAGCAGAGAGAAAAATCAGTTTCTTCATTGTGTATGTATATGTACAGACATTGATTATAAGATATTTATAATTATAATATATAGTCATATTTTCTATCATCTTATGCAGAAAAAAAGATAATTAAAAGAATAATTTTTGCGTTTTTTTTTTTTTTTTTTTTACATTTTATTCAACCAACATATGTATATAGCCTGCAGTTCTGAGACCAAGTCATATGTTATAAAGAATCTAAGTAACAAACTGATGCCATTAAATGGCAAAATATCATTAGAAGTTATTAGACATCATGAAACGTCAAAATGATGTCATTACAAGTCATTGGATGTCAAAATGACGTTTAACGATATTTAAATTCGATAAAATTCGACGTCTATGACATCATTTGATGTCTAATGACATCATTCGACGTAAAATGACATATGCTTGCTACCTGAGATGTTATAAAGAATCTAACAATAAGTAGCAAACTAACGTCATTAAACGTCAAAGTGACGTCATTTAATGTCAAAATAATGTATGCTTGCTATCTGGAAATTAACAATATTAATTAAAGTCGTTAAGTTACAGGTTCGTAACATGTTCATATGGATTGTATACATTTAATGATAAGCTTATGTTTCTTGGAAACATAAAAATACATCTAAAGTTCAACTAAAGAAGTATTTTGACGACTGGACTTTGTTGATGTCGAAATCACCCTTTTTCGGTAGCTTCTTAAAAATCTCCAACGAAAGATCGTTGTCTCTTTGTTTCACGAGCCTAAAATTTTAATTAAATAATTTAGCTAAGAAAGTTTAACTTAGAGTTAATTTTAGTTAAATATTTCATTTTTTTTCTATTTTATAATTTTTGTATTACACGTGCAGACAAAGTGGCACTTTGTGTGCGTGTTTTCTGTGCGGAAAGCGGCCGATTTCCCACGCCGCCATCTAGCGGCGACGCGGTGAGTGAATAAGCCGCATTCAAAGCCATTGCCTACGGCTGAACCGCGTTCAAAATCATTGTCCACGGCTGAAGCCGTAGGCAATGTATTGAACACGGCTATTCCCGCACCGTGCCGCCGTAAGATGGCGGCGTGCGATCGGCCACCTCGCGCACACAAAGTGCCACTTTGTCTGCATGTGTAATACAAAATAGTATGTGTATCACGTGCGGATTGACAATCAACTTTCCGCACTTGATATACAATATACTATTATATATATGCCTCTAGATTCTTAATTTTTTCAGATTTTTCTTATGGTTTCGCAACTCACCTCTGGCCACTTGTAAAGTGCTTTTCGTATCGCTCACTAAGGAACTTGGACAAATCTTCGAGAATGGGCTCGCGATGAAGCGCGATAAATTGTTCTCGACAGATCTGAAAAGAGAATGTCATTGATGTAATATTTAAAAACAGAATCAACAAAATAAAACATGTAACATCTCCGTAAAGTTTCTTACTTTATTCATAATATCTACAGTGCAGGCATGCGTCCAGAAACAGTCGTGCACCGACATGAACGTGATCCCCGCTTGTTCAGAATGCAGGCTTGTCAGCATCATGTGACTGGAGTCCAAAGAGTGGATAAAATTCGGCGGAAAGGCATTCTTTTGCTTCAGAGTGTCCGGTTTCCTGCAAGAAAAAACCACATATATTTTCCATCAGGTAAACTAATGTCATTTTGACGTCAAATGACGTCATTAAACATCATTAGACATCATTAAACGTCAAAATGATGTTATTTTTACGTTTAATGACTTCATTTTGATGTTAATGATGTCTAATGACTTCTAATGATGTCATTTTGACGTTTAATGATGTCTAATGACATTATTTGGACGTTTATGATGTTTAATGACGTCAGTTTGCTACTTGTAGTGTCTCAGCTCTATCCATAAATAAAGATCATCAGTTTGGTGCACTCACCTGATCAGCTTGTTCTGACTAGACGACTTGATACGCTTAAAGTAGGGTTGCAGGACCGGAAGGCCTAAGGGAGTCACCCACTGCACGTACTGATTGCATCTGGTGGAGATGACGCGAGCGCAGTCCGTGAACCAGTCCTGGATCTCTTTCGCGCTCGTGAACATGGTTCGGAGGGATTGGAAGGTCTTCTCGACCAGGTAGAGGCTGCCGCTCCAAGTGTAATTCTGATTGAACTCCTTCAGGTCGCTCAGCTGTCGGGCTATTTGAAGTCTACCACCGAACTTGGTCACACCGTAAACCGTGGTCATCACAGTCTGCTTGATGACCTTCCTCGTGACGTAGCCCTCCAAGGCTATGGCCACCTCGTCGCCGGCCTCCGCGTCCTTCCTCCTGTACTCATCAACCATGGTCGCTACGACGCTGTACACATCCTGCGGTGTGTCCGCGGGATACAGGTTCACGCTTTCCGCACCAATCTGATCCCTGCCGAGGGCCGCGTAGTGCTGCAACCCGTTGCAACTGCCGTCCTGGTGAATCGGTAGTTTGCAAACGTACCTCTCCGGGTCCGGGGACTGCAAAGCGTTGTCTATCTCCTTGCACGCAGCCAGAGTCTGCCACGGCTCGTCAGACTTGGTCCACCACATCTCCCCCGTCAAGGGTTTCCTCGCGCTGTCCACAATCAGGTCTAATACCTCGTTCGCGAACTTCAACCGGGCGTCTATCGGCTCCCTCTTCTTCATCCCGGTCAGGTTTATCGTGTGAATCTTCAACCAGTCCAAACCCCGTGAACCCAAAGGTTTCCCTTTGGCGAACATGAGAATTGAGCGGCCCAAATCAGCAGCTAGGTGGGTCAGGTGAGGCGGCACCGGGTAGGCTCTGCCCCTAAAATCCAGATTGTGCGGCAGCCAGAAGACTTTGTCCCTGAAGTGATTAGCGAGGGACAGCTTGTAGAGGCAATCACACCACAGCGAGTACATTTCGTTCTTCCTGCGTCTGAGCTGAAGCACCAGTTTCGCCGTCTTACCCTTGTTCACGTCACCCGACGAGATTAATTCGGACAGGGAGGGCAGCGCCGAGGATGGTCGAGGTACGTCCAGCTTCTCCGAGCCGCCCTCGCGGAAAATCCCAATCAGAAGGTCCAGCATAGGCTCATTAATCCTCCATGGGATCGAACCAAGCTGATTCAGGCAATCCAGCGCGGGATACAATTGCCTGATCGGGGTATTCCTCAGCAGGAGGGTCGGCGTCATGTACGGATCGCGGATGAAGCTCACTTTGGAGAACAGGTAGCCGCCGGTGTCTATGTCGACCCAGGGTCGCGGCGGCGAGCAAGTCGGCAGGAGGATCGTCTCAAAGGTCAACGTCTCCGGATGCGAGTCCTTGTAGAGCCGGTGCAGGTAGGGATGCGGTTTGATCTCCTCCGTCAGGAAGTGATTGGTTTGCTTCCTGAAGAGGAGGTAGAACGCGGGTATCTGCCGCTCGGACGCGTCCGGCTTGGACCCGTGCGGGATTTTCACGTCGTTCAGAATGATCTTGTACAGGAATTCGCCTACACTGAGCAGAACGTTGCGCGGCCACTCCGGCACCGCCATCTCGGAACGGATGCCGGACTGGTTGGCCTCCTGGGCGAGCTGCTGCCACTTGACGCGCCCGTTCGCGTCGTCTACGCGCTTCTTCTGCATGTACCAGTCCAGATATCTCTCGTAGAGTTTAATGGAGTTTTCTATAACGCCGGCCTTCAACTTTCTCTGAAACTGAAACAAGTTTGGAAAATAAGTCTGATGACGAGCGTTTTATTTAAGACTCCTGGTGCTTCGCCGACCATCTTAGAATTGTGACGTCAGAAGCGAGAGATCTTTTCATTTCAAAATGTTTTCTCTGACGTTACGATCTGACATGATCGTGGCGAGAATCCAGGAGCCTTAAGATAAAATATATTAGAATATAAAAATAAATATATAGATAATGTATAATAAAATAATAATAAATAGACAATAATTATAATATAATAACATAATAATAATATAAAAAGATAAACAAAGCAAACAATCTAACATGACGAGGATCCAGGAGCCTTAAGATAAAATATAAGAAAACATATAAAAAATATATAATAATAAAATAACATTAAAAAATAACAATTTTCGATAAGTGCTATATACCTGATACTTTTTATTAATATATTTTCCTAGCGATAGGTATAGATTCGTCATAGAAGTGCTGTACGCGTCGGAGAATCTAGCTAATTCGTTAATTTCACGTAGAATCGCGTTGATATACTCCTCCTTGGGCAGCACTTCTAGAAACGGGTGTAATGCCTTGAAGTCGGGTTTTATCATCAGCTCCTTCTGTTTCTGATAAGTCAAGTTCCTCTCAAAAGCATGCGTCACCACAGTTTTCCAAGATTTTTCCCATTCCGTGATTCGTTCGATCTAAATAAAAATGCAATGCACAATTAACTAATTATTGGTATTTTTATAAAACATTCTTTAGATATACATATATGTAATATAATTTTTTTCTCACAATTTTAAAATACAGAGTTGAGTAATAACTAGTTAATTAGTTAAAAGTTAATTAGTAATTTTTATGTTCATTTGTCATCAATTGTAATTACCAAAAAATATATTTCTATATAAAAATCAAAATTTCTTTGTTATTTGTTATTATACATTTTAAAAGTATTAACAAACAAAATTCTAATTTAATATAAATAATATTTTTAAAAATTAACTTTTGATTTAACTTTAGTTAATTTAATCTTAATTTAACTTTAACTGAGTTAATTTTTTGTTCATGCAACTTTTAACTTAACTAAATTAATTTTATAAGCAACTATAACTTTAACTTAACTTAGTTTTAAAAAATCATTAATTTACCCAATCCTATAAAAATATAAGTTTACACAAGAGGAAGTTAAACACAAACTGTAGGTCTGTTTTTTTTCAGCTGAACTGGCTGCTCTAGTTCAGAGTTTATCTCTTTCTTTTTAATATGGAGCAAAAAAGATCAATTCTGAACTAGAACAGCCAGTTCAGCTAAAATAAACAGACCTAAAATTGATTTAAGATTAAAGTTGACGATAAAGGAAGTTAACTTACAGCTTGCTGCCTAACGTCGGGATCTCCGTTGAATGGTGCGATGCTCTTCACCTCCAGCTCGCACTGCCTTTCCATATCAACTTGCTTTTTGACCATGTCCCGCAGCTCATTCATATCTACTACATTCCTGGCTGGGCTCTGATAGTTGCTGTTCTTCATCAGTTTCCGTAATAATTTGCAGTTGTGGGCACTGTTGATTTCCCTATATTGTACCTCATATTGCGGATCCAAGAATTGGATACATTGAAGAACGGTTTCGCGTTGCGTCGCATTCATCCGCGTGTTCATTACGTCATTGAAGGAAACGCCTCCGCGACTCATGTCCGCTACCACTTCTGTCCCGCAATCTGCAAGAAGCATCATACATTGAAAACAAAAAAAAATTGAAATTTGATATTTTTCCAAACGACAGTGCACCAAATACATAGGATTTTGACTCTTGATGGAATTGGTTGTTTCTTCTTCATATATTGTGGCTTATGACTTGCTGAACAAAAAATGTAATTACCTCAAAGCTAAATATTGGTCAAACAACTCGCAAAGTCCTAATTTTTCGTATTTGACTGGCTGATCAGTAACTATCTATTATTTAGCTTTAATCCTATTACATTTTTTGTTCAGCAAGTCATAAGTTACGTGTGAGAAAATCAGCTGATTTTACCAGGATTCAATTTCATATAGATTAAAAAACACTGTACTAATCATATAAAGTTGAATCTTCATAAGATTAGCTGGTCTTTCCATAACTTATGATTTATTGAACAAAAGATTGTAATAGTCTCAAAGCTAAATATCTGGTACTTACTGACTTCCAGCCAATCAAACAACTCGCAAAGTCTTAATTTTTCATGTTAAACTGACTGTAAATCAATAATCTATAATTTAACTTTGAGTCTATTACATTTTTTGTTCAGCAAATCTGAGAAAATCAGCTTCCAGGACTCAATTTTACATGATTAATACTGAATTTTTAAACCTATATAAAATCCTAAATATAAAATTCCCTCAAATATAGAGTAAAAATGATAAACTCTGAACTAGCGCAAATATAATCTCAAAATCCTATGTATTTGGTGCAAAGCACTTTTTTGCAGTTACAAATATCTTCAAGAGCCATAATCATTCACACACCTGTTCGTTTCTCGTCATTCTTCATCCTTCCGATCATTTCGAACATGAGAGCATACGTTCGTCGATTTGGTCGGACAGACTCCACTTTCATCAATCTGTAGATTTCAAAAACCTTTTCCAGGCGCGAATTAGAAACGTAAGTCTCCATGAGCAGATTATACAACGTGACGGGGGAGATATTGCTACGCTTGAGCTGATCCTTATTCAACATCAACATCTTGAAGGCTCTACTCGACATTCCGATCTGTATGTAGACGTCCATGTGCGCCTGCAACTGAGATATCAAGTTCTGTCCGGAGAGAGAATCTTCGTTATGATCCTTTTTCGTCGTCATGCTAAGCCCTGTAGATGGATTTGGAATCTCGTCGTGCTTGAGAAACATCTGTGTGCTGAAAAAGCGAATTAAGTTGGTAAAGAAGATTCTTTAAAAAAATATCCTGACTATACGCATACTAACATGTCCTCCTGACTCTTGTCTGTGTTGTCACTCTGCAACGTATCCAGAAAAGAGGAGTCTTTAATCAACATAGTATTGTCACTCATGCCGTACTCCTTTAAATCCTCCACTATGGTAGATTTGTCCTTTAAATATTCGTCAGATTCTTTAAGAACATTGTGAGATACATTGTCCACGTTGTCTTCCTAAAATACGACATAACAGTTCGATCTTTGTGAACAATGGAGTAGAATTTAAATATACAGGGTGTATACTCAAATCTTATAAATAAATTCCATGATTTTCTAGGTACTTTTGTTCAAAATTTCAAATAAAATTAAAGTATTTAAAAAATTTTTAAATACAATTTTAAATTAAGTATATTTTTGTTATACATAATTTTTTAACATAAAATATTTTTTAATATATTATATTTTATAATAAAATATATTTTCATATACTTTATATAAACCTAATAAATTTTATACTCTTTAAAGGTATATTTTTTTGTTGATATTGAAAATAAAATCAAAGAGGCAATTTTTTAAAACATTCCCTGAGTTTAAAATAAATTCCATAAGTATCCCAATATTTTTCAAGGTAGAAAAAATTCCCTGAGAATTCCAGGTTTTTCCAGGGAGTATACATCCTGATATAATTTCTATGCAAAACCATGTCTCATGATTCCAATCATTTTTTGTCTTGAAGAAAAAATGTTACAACGCACTTACAGGGTAAACCAAATCTTTCTTAGGGCCAGCTTTAGTATCTTCAGCTTGTGTCGAAGCTGTTTTCTTATCGAGATGAAAATTAGAGATCCTATGCAGTTTGTCCAGTGTCACATCAGGCTGACCGACCAAAATAGATACATAAGCGGAGTTTAACTTGTGCACCGCTGCTTTTCTGTTGCTAGTTGTCTGATCGGTTACTGTTATATAATAAAATAAGAGATAATTAGTTACTTATTATTCATTAGTCACTTGTTTTTTGTTAATTATATAAGTCCATTATAGTATAAGTATTAAAATGTACCTTCCAGTAACTCTGCATATTTCTTAGAGCGACGTTTAGTCTTCTTCTTCTGAGGAGCATGCAGTTCTATGGTATCGGTTGTTGCATAATGACGAAGCAGAGTGTATCTCGCTGAAAGTACATAAAATAAATTGTTTTTTTCAACTATTTAATTTCTCATTATTAACAATATTCCTTCATTAAGTGGTGCTACTTTCCAGTAATAAAAAATAATCAGAATAAAATTGCAAGATGGAAGTTTCTTCTTTCTCATATAATGAAGTAAAAATCATTCCATTAGCAAAATAAAATACTATATTTCTCCAACAAGACTGAATGCGTCCCCAGAAGAAGAGAGTGTAATTTTCAGTATAAATCTCAAGAGACTATTGTTTATTTACAGTTTTCTTTCAGAGTAATAATATATATATATATATATATTTATGACGTTGAATAATGTCATTAAGAGTCGATTGTGTAACTTTTTCTAAAGTGAAAATGTGAAAAGTGAAAAATTTCTTCCAATTACACATCAATTTCATTTTAAAATCAATGCGTCAGAAATTTTTCACTTTTCACGTTTTTACTTTAGAAAAAGTTACACAATCGACTCCTAGACATCAAAATAATGTCATTCTGAAGTCTAATAACATCAATTTGCTACTTGAGTAAATATATCAAAAGAATTAAAATATATAACGAATACTTATGAATGTATAAAAACGTGTATATAAATAAATAAAAGTATGATATTTAATATAAATTAAAATATTAAAATAAATAAAAATACTCTTTTTTTTTTTATTCTAATTCATAACGCAATTCTACTTTGCACGTCAAGAAAATCGTAACAATAGAAGGGAAAATAATTTTTAAAGTATATAAGATGAGAAAAAAATTCTACAAATACGAAATGTGTATTATTTAGCGAATATCTCGTGAAAATAAACGAAAAGCGTTCACACGTGCTACGTACGTCCGAGAGAGCCGAGATGATGGAAGTGATTGCAGAAAGAGCAGACTGACATCGAGCGGGTTGACATAATACGAGCATTCTGCATCGAGGCCGAGGTCCTCAGAAAGTTGAGCATCTTCGCACGCGGTCCGGAGATCGTCAGTCGCTAGAAAAATCGTCGCGTAACTTAAAGATGCCTCCGACCGCCATACCGCGACATTCGCCACTGAGGACTGAAGTTTTCAGGTTATATTTCTCGCGCAAATTTCTCGCGAACGTTTTCTTGATTTGCTGAACCCCTATTTTTGTCAATGGTTAAATTACGTTGTATTTTATGCACCAGTTCTCCTCCGATCACTGAAGTTAAGCAACGTTGAGCATGATCAGTACTTAGATGGGTGACCGCGCTTGGGAACACCATGTACTATTGGCACACCATCATTTTTTACAATTTAAATATTAACAATGATATATTTTTGTTTCAAATGTTAAATTATAATGACGATAAATAATTTACAGTAGTTGTCTTAAAATTCTCAAGTTATTAATTCTTTAGCGACCACCCAGTAAGCAAAAAATCATTGCTACAACGTTATTGCTGTTGTCAAATATGTAGTTTTTAACATATTGTATGCAATATTATTACGAACAAACTTTAACATCGATATTTAGATGTTTCGGTAATGTAGAAATAAACGTTTATGAAATATTTTATTAATATTTAGAGAACAATTATTAAATAATAATTTTAAAACATTTATAAAACATATCAATTAAAATATTTTTTAAATATTTATTAATAAATTTTTTAACCATATTTATAAAACATTATATCATAACGTTTAGAAAATTTATATAAAATCAACTAACATTTTAAAATGTTGGTTAAATATTTCTTGCTTACTGGGCAGTGTTATTTTTGCTATGATTTGATGAAATAAATTAAACATTATATGTATAATTAGCAATGCATAATAGTATTATGATATTTAATTTATTTTATTAAATCGCAGTATAAAAATAGCACAGATTTTCTTTGAAAATTAGCATGCTAACATGACAGCAAGCAGCATGCATATAAAATATCATAACTAGCATGTTAATTCGCATACGATTGAATACGAAAAAACGCACTGTGTCGTAAGCTTTTAGCATTTAATTACTTTTCTGCATCGAGCGAACATTCCTAAGCGAGTGGACATTGTATGATCGTAAATGATATCTATATTATTTGTGTCAATTTGAATCTTTTGGTTCATTTTTTTGTTTACTTCTTAAAACATTTTTCTTCCTTTTTGTAATACGCGTTAATTTTTTTACAAATATATTTTGAATAGAGATTGGGTTTAATTTCCATTTTTCGCTCAATAAAGCAGGATTGAGTATAATAACTAAAGTTAATTAAATTAATTAAAAGTTAAAAAAAAGTTAAAAAATTAATAACTTTTAACTTAGCTTAATTAATTAAAAATATATGTATTCATTTTTAACTTCAACTATAGTTATTTTTTTTTATCTTAAACTTATTAACTTTAAAGATATAATAAATAACCATAAATTAACGAGCAAAAAATATGAGTGTTAAATATTAAACGATATTTGAATTCTTTATCGATCACTTTATTAAAAGAACAAAAAATCAATAAACGTTTTGACTTCGCAAAGTCTTTCTCAGTATAATATAAGTAATAAAACCTCACGCATTTTAGTGTCTAGACCTCTTAAAGTGAAATTAACAAAAAAGGAATAAAATCGTAATAAGAAAGATTGAAACGCAACATTTCGGTCGAATTAATACATTTAAAAGCTACAGTCTATCCGTTTTTTTTGAGTATATTAGGTGACCAAAATTATACTGAGGAAGACCGCGTGCGGTTGAAACATTTATATATGGAAGGTTTTTTGTAATTTTAATATATTGTTTATATGGAAGGTTTTTGTAATTTCAATATATTGTTTATGAAATAAATTTTAATTGGATACATCTTAAATATTGCTCGATAAGTTGGCCTTTTGTGAATACATTTGTTGTTTTATACAATACACGAGCAAATTAAAATTTTAAACTTATAAATCTTGATATTTTGAGAAATAATATCTTTTTTTTTTATCATACACATGTTGCATCACGTTAAATAATACATCTCAGATAACAAAATTAATTATGTTGAGGTCATTTCAACATCAAATTACATCAAAATGACTAATTTTGCTACCTGGATTTGTTATATGCTATGTGATGCATATTTGTACTTTGTACACGCAGTAAGCAAAAAATCATTGCTATAACGTTATTATTATCAAGTATGTCGTTTTTAACATTGTATGCAATATCATTATGAACAAACTTTGACATCGATTTAGAGGTTTCGGTAATGTTGAAATTAACGTTTTTAAAATATTTTATTAATATTTTGAGAGCAATACGTACGTTATTAAATAATATTTTTAAAACATTTATAAAACATCAATTAACATTTTTTAAAAATATTTATTATAAATATTTTAAACATATTTATAAAACATTATATCGTAACGTTTAGAAAATTTATATAAAATCAACATTTTAAAATGTTGATTAAATATTTCTTCCCAATTCAGCGACTTTTGGATCTATATTTTTCTCTCACATTTAATTATTTATTTCAATAGAGGGATCAAGGGGTTTTTGGAAAGAAAATCTCAAGTAAGAGATTATTTCAAAGTCTTGGTTAGTACACCAAGAGTAATATGTGCCTTGTGCACGATTTGTTTCCACAGCAACATCCGCGTTTAGCTCTTCACGCCTTCTTACAATTTAGATTTATATTTAAATATTTTTTGCTTACTGGGCATACATTGTATAAAATCTTATTCACAAAACATGGATCTTAATGTAAGTATATAAATCCAAACATCTAGATATAGCTCTTCATTGTTGCACCCTTTGAGACGCTCAAAAGTCAATTGCTACTTGGATAAAATGCTAAGGAAGAAGCCGAGTTTCATTTGCCTCTTCACAATCATCACCATCATCGTTGTTCCAATACAAGCGGATCAGCAATCTCTACCGAACCAATTCCATAATCTGTACGACGATGATACCAACCCACCAAATTTAACAAATATATTCAGGACGACCAACGGACTCTTGAATTTCCTGAAACAGAGTCAACAAGATCTAAAGCAGGAAATACCAGAAACGACCCCTGAATTCGGAGCCATATACGACTTTGTAATAGTTGGTGCTGGCACGGCAGGTACTGCAATAGCCGCAAGATTAAGTGAGATTCCTCAAGTAAAGATATTGCTGATCGAAGCTGGCTCCAACGAGAATCTTCTCATGGACATTCCGCTATTCGCTTCTGCTCTACAACTAAGCAATGACATCAATTGGAAGTATCAAACCAAGCCGTCCGACAAATATTGTCTTGGTATGAACAACAACAGTTGTAACTGGCCTAAAGGAAAAGTGATGGGTGGCACCAGCGTGCTAAACTACATGATTGCTACCAGAGGCAACGCCGAAGATTATGATCGCTGGGCAGAAATGGGAAATGAAGGATGGGCTTACAAGGACGTTCTTAAATACTTCAAAAAACTGGAAACAATTGATATTCCAGAATTGCGATCGGATACCACTTATCATGGGACTGAAGGACCGATGCACATTACTTCTCCATTATTCCATACACCATTAGCAGAGGCTTTCCTAAAAGCTGGCGAGGAGCTAGGATATCCACTAGTAAATTACAACGGAAAAGATATGATGATAGGATTCTCATATATGCAGAATACGATTATGAACGGCATCCGCATGAGCAGTAATAGAGCGTACCTGTATCCCATACACGATCGCAAGAATCTTCACGTGACTCGAGAGAGCATGGTGAGAAAGGTGCTAATCGATCGTCATACAAAACAAACGATTGGCGTAGAGATAATTAAATATGGTCGGAATATCCCGGTGTACGCGAGTAAAGAAGTGATATTGTGTGCAGGTTCTATTAGATCGCCTCAGTTGCTAATGCTGTCCGGTATCGGTCCGGCTGAACATCTTAGCGAACTAGGAATAGATGTTGTCCGAGATGCACCGGTTGGAGAAAATCTGATGGACCATGTCATCTTTGGCGGATTAACATGGACGATAGACGCACCGGTAGGAATAAAAATGCAGAACATGATAAATCCCTCTTATCCATATATGGCGGATTACTATATAAACCGGTCAGGCCCGTTAACGGTTCCAGATGCGTGCGAAGCTGTTGGTTTCATCAATACTAAGCATCCAGAGAAATGCAATAGTTTGCCAAACATGGAATTAATATTTTTCAGTAGTGGTGCAAAAGGGAATACTCTTTTTCCGATTGAAACGGGTTTGAATGACCAAATACGTCAGATATGGAGTAAGTACTTGAATAAAAATACCTGGACCATTCTACCAACACTGTTGAATCCAAAGAGTCGCGGACGGATAAGATTATTGGCGAATGACGTTAATATTAAACCTGAGATTGTGCCGAATTACTTCGACAATCTGGAAGACATCGAGACGTTAATTGCTGGTATTAAAGTCGCGATAAGTGTCGGTCAAACAAAGGCGATGCAAGCATATGGTTCACGATTTACTAATGATACTATACCTGGCTGTGAGAGCTTTAATTACGATTCTCATGCTTACTGGGAATGCGCGATCAGAACGATCCTTTTTACCGCTTATCATTACTCCGGTACTTGCAAGATGGGACCAAGGGGAGATCCAACTGCTGTTGTCGATCCCACATTGAAGGTATTTAAAGGCTATATAGATCATGGATATTTTTAAAAGATACATAATATGGAAATATTTATAATTTACAATTATTTTACTTACATGGCATTTATATAATTATACGATTATTTTACTTACATGTCAAATTTAAGAATTATGAAAGCGACATTTTGTACAGGTAATCGATGTTCAAGGATTGAGAGTAGCAGACGCTTCCATCATACCTGAGCTTCCAGCGGCGCATCTAAACATACCTATTATTATGATTGCCGAGAAACTGGCAGATATGATCAAAAAAGAATGGGGATACTTGGAAAAACCATTAGCATGATGTTTTGTAAATTAACTTTATCATCAAATAAAGTGGGAGTAGATTATAATTAAGGAAGGAGCTGCTGTACGAATTTTCGATCTTGATTTCGGACCATTATCAGCAATTATCAGATATATATATATATATATATATATATATATAAGTATGTCGTTTTTAACATTGTATGCAATATCATTATGAACAAACTTTGACATCGATTTAGAGGTTTCGGTAATGTTGAAATTAACGTTTTTAAAATATTTTATTAATATTTTGAGAGCAATACGTACGTTATTAAATAATATTTTTAAAACATTTATAAAACATCAATTAACATTTTTTAAAAATATTTATTATAAATATTTTAAACATATTTATAAAACATTATATCGTAACGTTTAGAAAATTTATATAAAATCAACATTTTAAAATGTTGATTAAATATTTCTTGCTTACTAGGTTGCTATATATATATATATATATATATATATACATATATATATATATATATATATATATAATATGGAATATTTTCCAACATACCTGAATGTGCATCACATATCAAAGCTTATCATAATTAGTCCAAAGAAACCCCCACCAAATAACAAAAAAAAGTTTAAAAAGACTGTAATAAAAATGAATAAATATATAAAGGCCGTAATATAATAAAAATAATATATTATTAATATAAATATATAAATGTAATATGTGTGTGTGTAATTTGCTCTTATAGTTGAGAAATAAATAAGAAGCAATAAATAGAAAAAAAAGAGCAACGCGAAGTATAATTAGATCGCAAATACAAAGTTCTTTTATTTAATAAAAAAATCTTTTTTAATTACAACTCTTATACATACATCATCATAGATATAATGCCTGCACATATATAGTAATAACAAACTACCTATTCGTAAACCGGTTTAGATTCGACGTGCATGACTTTGAGAGTTATGTCTTGATTATTTATTTGATTAGGAATTAAAAATAGCGGTAGATCCAATAGCGCTGCTACTATTTAATTTTTCACTCTTAACTTTGACAAAGAAACAAAATCTTTCACAAAAAATTTTGATTTTTTCAAAATAAATAATTGAAACTAATAATTACTAAAATGTAAATCATATTAGGGAAAATTATAAGCTAAACCGAATTATTGTGATCATAAAAAATTAAAGAGTTTAATTATTTAAGTATTAATGTTACAATAATCTTATGATAAAATATTTAATTAAGTTTATAAAAAATTATGCACTAATATTATGGATTTTTATTACAATTTATAATAGTAATAAATGATAGTAATAGATGATAAATAAACATATTTTTATTTGATATACGTATAATAACAACTTATAGTAATTTCATACAAAAATTTTGTAGCAGTTTTTAAAGTTCTACAAATATTGAAAATTGAAAATAATATCAGCTTACAATTAACAATATTACAAATATTACAAATATTTATGTCAAGGAATGTAACATAATCTCATTTGAATTTGAAAAAGAAACGAGACAAAATATTATATATGCTTTTGCTACGAAATCCAAAAATATGTGTGAATTATAATGATTAATTTTAAACAAAAATCAACATAAAAAACATGATTTTAATTTTTAAATAAAAATTAAAGGGTCGGTTCTATCAATGTGACTTCTTGCTCGTCCGGAAGAACTCATCTTCTCTTGCATGTCTATTTCTTTTGACGTGGTAATAATGCTTGACAATGTTGCAATCGATTCGGATCGAGATTTTGGCAACAAACTGCAGCCGAATCGCTTAAATAACATGCGCTTGATCTTTTTTTTCCACACAAATATAAAGGCGCACAGATTCTGCATAATATCCAGCAAACTAAGAGCATACGAGCTGTAAATGGAATCATGTTCAAATGAGTCTGTCACTGTTATCGTGAGCCATCTTATGCCTATCAAGAGACACGGTAGTGTCTTGTGCTAAGTCCGAAAAAGAAAGAAAAAAGCACGCCGTGTCTCTTTACGCGAGTCAGGCAGTTGAGAGTACTCGATATTTTCAGTTCTCATTCAATCGAAAGATTGGGTCTTAATTATATAATGAAAGTGTTTTTATTTTTACGCTAACGTGCTATATAAACAGAGAAATCATGTGCAAAGTCTCTATCGTGAAAATTTCAAATAAGAAACGTCTTCGTCGTTGTTATTATATATCATCGTCGACCACTTTTGATATATATATATATATATATATATATATATATATCTTCCCGAAAAAGTGGGGCTTCCTATACCGATTAGTAATTAGTCTTCTATCATTACATCTGATGACACTCATGTGTTAAGAAAGTTTAAACAATTGTCTTTTTCAATTTCATAAGTGAATTTTAAACGATGGTGGTACGCATTAAAAACTGATAACATTTTATTAACCTTAGAGCGTGGTAAAATCGTGAAGATGTCGTCAACGTATCTGTAGTACACAGGTACATTAAAAGTCAATGAATTTAAACAAAAGGTTTCTAAATCGTCCAAAATGGGTGACAATAGAGAACCCATCGGGCTGCCAAAAACTTGTTCATAAAAGTGGCCATTAAAACTAAATGTCGTGGAATCTAATATAGGTTCTATTGCAAATGTAAGCTGTGACAAATTCAATATGGTATTCTGTGAGATTGTGTTCCATCTCTTTTTAATCGCCTCAATTACAAGTTCTTTAGGGATGTTGATGTATAGTGATGTTACATCTAATAAAATTAAAACTTCGTCGTCATTAATGTTCATATTTTTTACTTCTTTTGCAAATAACCAATCGTTTTTTATATGTGATTTCGATTTTTCTATAGTATTGTGTAGAATTTTATGTATGTACTGTGCAATATTGTATACAGGACTGCCAAGTTCAGATACAATAATTCGGAGAGGAACGCCAGTTTTATGTATCTTCGGCAGCCCGTAGCATTGCGGGAGATTTCCATTTGTATTATTTAATACCTTATACGTTGATTCGTCAATTACATTGTTATCACGCCAAGACTTTACCAAAGAATTAATTTTATTTGTTAACTTTTTAATAGGATCTTTGTCTAATTTTTTATAAGTGGTTCTATCATCCAACAAGGAGCTCATTTTTTAAATGTAATCACTTTTGTTCATTATTACTTGCCCTTTATCAGCTTTAGTTATTAATAAATTTTGGTTGTTACGTATGACAACTTTTATGTTTCTATTTTTAATTAATGTAATTGCTGAATAAGAACAAGTATGTATTACAGATCAAATTTAGTATTAATGTAATGTTAATTTTGCTTGCCAAATTATGTATTTTTGTATTCTGGCACTTGAAAAAGACCACAATGTGGGTCGAAACGTAGTATGTACTTATTTTCAATAAATGAATAGCCAGTTTTTGGTCGAATTAAATTGCATCTTATTATTTGTTAAAATTTATCACTGGCGATCAACAATTAATTGTGAAGAATATTATAAACTTATTTTTTAATATTCTAAATCTATGACTCAAATAATCACAAAAGGAAACAGGAGAGCCAATTAAGAGCCAAGCATGACAATTAGTACGCTAGTATAATTTTGAATAATTCTATTTTATATATTTGTTGTACGTTTTGGTCCTATAAGTTGGACTATCTTAATTTTTACTTCAAATATACTGCAGAAATTATAGAGTAACGATAAAAATCTATTTTACAGTTATCTTAAAATTCTCAAGTTATTGCTTTGGCGACTGAAGACATACCACGTTGTATAATGCACATTTTCTGTTGAATCACGGAGTATATATATGTATATGTGCTGCTTGCTCGCACAGGCATATAAGGTCTGTTTGTTTTATTATTAGCTGAACTAGCTATACTCTAGCTCAGAGTTTATCTTTTTCCTTTCAATGTCGAGTAAAAAAGATAAATTCTAAAATGGTGCCAGTTTAATTAAAACAGACTTACAGTTTAACTGGACCGAGTTTTTGCCTTTAAGAAATAGGAGTAGGGGTATATGTGCACATATATGTCAATTTCTCTTTTACATACTTACGATATTATAGTTACAGATATCAGATATATATTATTAAAAGCTAAAACAGCGGATAAAATTGTATCTGCGAATCCAAAAAAATTTATCTAAAATCTAAAAAAATATTTCAAGAATTCAATTGTCCACCTTTGGCTGCAAAAAGTGCTTTTTCCACCACTATGCCACGGCGCAGTCCGAATAAAGTTATACTATTTTTAGTTGTCATGTTGTAGTGAAGGGAATGGCGATATATTTATTATTGTTAGTGTTTAGTTTAGTTTTACTGCGGACTTTCTTCGCGCGAGCAGATACTACAATTTATATATATAGTATGTCGTAAATGAGCTACTGCTTGCGTATCAATTTGGATCTTCTGTTTCGTTTTTTGTGATCATTTCTTCAATTTTTAAAGACATTTTTCTTGCATTTTAGCTTTTTTTACAAATATCTTAAACGAAAATTGAGCTTAATTTCCATTATCTTATATATATTTGTTAAAACTGAACTTTCACTATATTCACCATTCTATGTTTAAGAAAGAAGATTTAAAAAATTAACCGCAAACAAAGCCGCGGATATAACTACACAGTTATAATATGTAAAAATCAAAATAATCGATTATATGTGCGTGTGTAACTTTTTCGCAATATCTATTTTGATTGTTGTTAAAACTGGTGCATCAATACAAATAACATATTGATACTTTGTGAACTCAACATATATACGTAATCAAAATTTAGAAGTGCAAGTGCGATGAAGGAAGCTTATAAAATCATTTATCGCTTGCATATTCGCAATATTTTTCTTTATTTCACTGTATTAATGTTTCACAATAAACGTTAAATTCGTAATATCTTTCACTTTAAAAATCTGTGACGTTCCAACAAACACAATACAATAACAATAACATTAATGTTATAATTTCCCACTCAATAATATAACTATATTATGTACAAGCCATATGTTATATTATGCTCATATTATTGAATGAGAAATTATAAAACATTGATGTTATGTTATTATTACTTTGTACTTGCTGGGATCTTTATAAAACTTGTATTTTAATGTAGGTATATACCCAGGAAGAACATAAAACTCATAATGACATCATTATAACGTCACTTAAAAGTCATTTTGAAAAAAGCATAATGATCTCATTTGATACATTTTTAGCTATGTTTTTATTCTTTATTGATTTTAATATGATCTCCAAAGAGAAGAATATTATGTAAAATTTATTGATACACGAACACAGATAGCACAAGCTATTCGAAAAGAATTCATTTGTATGTCACCAATTTTGGATCCCTTTTCAAATATATATAAAATTTATTTTATAAAATAGAATTCATTTTTATAAAATGAATTTTATATGTATTTGAAAAGAGACTCAAAATTGGTGACATACTGGTGACATACAAATGAATTCTTTTCAAATTTCCCTTTAGCTTGTGCTATCTGGGAAATTTATTTGTATTATACATATTAGGAAAAACATACATATTATTATTATAAATAACTTTTTTGGAAGTTATATAATATGCGATTAATGCACTTAAAATCTATGATTCTTTTTGTCATCTTTAAATCATTTTTTAATCATTTTTGTTTGGGTAACTTTTAAGTGATAAATATAAAATCATGATGACGTCATTGTAAGTTTTATGTTCTACTTGAGTACATACACGAACATCTAGATATATAGCTCTTCATTAGTGCACCCTATACTTGAGACCTTGAGACGTTCAAAAGCCAATTGCTACTTATTGGATATAATGCTGAGGAAAAAGCCGAGTCTCTTTTGCCTTTTCGCAATCATCATCACGATTGTTCCAATACAGTCGAATCAGCAATCTCTGCTAAACCAGTTCTACAATCTGTACGGCAATGATATTAATATATCAAATTTCGCAAATATATTCAGGGCAAGTAAAGGAATCTTGAATTTCCTGAAGCAGGGTGAACATGATCTAAATCAGGAAATACCAGAAACGACCCCTGAATTCGGAGCCATATACGACTTTGTAATAGTTGGTGCTGGCACGGCAGGTGCTACGATAGCCGCAAGATTAAGTGAGATTCCTCAAGTGAAGATATTGCTGATCGAAGCTGGCTCCAACGAGAATCTTCTCATGGACATTCCGCTATTCGCTTTTGCCCTACAACTAAGCAATGACATCAATTGGAAGTATCAAACCAAGCCGTCCGACAAATATTGTCTTGGTATGAACAACAACAGTTGTAACTGGTCTAAAGGCAGAGTGATGGGTGGCACCAGCGTGCTAAACTATATGATTGCTACCAGAGGCGGCGCCGAAGACTATGATCGCTGGGCAGAAATGGGAAATGAAGGTTGGGCTTACAAAGATATTCTTAAATACTTCAAGAAACTAGAAACAATTGATATCCCAGAATTGCGATTGGATACCATCTATCATGGAACTGAAGGACCGATGCACATTACTTCTCCATTATTCCATACACCATTAGCAGAGGCTTTCCTAAAAGCTGGCGAGGAGCTAGGATATCCACTAGTAGATTACAACGGAAAAGATATGATGATAGGATTCTCATATATGCAGAATACGATTATGAACGGCATCCGCATGAGCAGTAATAGAGCGTACCTGTATCCCATACACGATCGCAAGAATCTTTACGTGACTCGAAAGAGCATGGTGAGAAAGGTGCTAATCGATCGTTATACAAAACGAACGATTGGCGTAGAAATGATTAAAAATGGTCGTATTATCCCGGTGTACGCGAGTAAAGAAGTGATATTGTGTGCAGGTTCTATTAAATCGCCTCAGCTGCTAATGTTGTCCGGTATTGGTCCGGCTGGACATCTTAGTGAACTAGGGATAGATGTTGTCCGAGATGCGCCAGTTGGAGAAAATCTGATGGACCATCCCTTCTTCGGCGGACTAACATGGACAGTAGATGCACCAGTAGGAATAAGAACACTGGATATGTTAAATCCCGCTTATCCATATATGGCGGAATATTTTACAAGACGGTCTGGACCGTTTGCGATTCCAGGTGCGGTTGAAGCTGTTTGTTTCATCGATACGAAGCATCCAGAAAAACGCAATGGCTTACCGGACATAGAATTAGCATTTATCGGTAGTGGCATAAAAGGTGATATTCTTTTTTCTATTGGAACGGGTTTGAATGACCAAATACGTCAGATATGGAGTAAATACTCAAATAAATATACTTGGACCATATTGCCAATACTGTTGAAACCAAAGAGTCGCGGACGGATAAAATTATTGGCGAATGATATTAATGTTAAACCTGAGATTGTGCCAAATTATTTCGACGATCTGGAAGACATTGAGACATTGATTAGCGGTATTAGATTCGCGTTAAGTGTCGGTCAAACAGAGGCGATGCAAGCATTCGATTCACGATTTACTAATGATACTATACCTGGGTGTGAAAACTTCAATTATGACTCTTATGCTTATTGGGAATGTGCAATCAGAACACTCTCTTTTACCTCCTATCATTACTCCGGTACTTGCAAGATGGGACCAAGGGGAGACCCAACTGCTGTTGTCGATCCCACATTGAAGGTATTTAAAGAATATAGGTATTAGGATATTTTTAAAAAATACGAGAGTTGCGACCGTTACTCTATAAAAGTAACGCGTTATCGTTACCATTACTTTTTGTAAAAAGTAACGCGTTACCGTTACTCAAAACGTAACAATTCATTACTTTTTCGTTACATTATTGGTTTTTGTAATGCTAGAGCCTTTTATTATTAAAATGTATAATTATATATAGAAAACGTTTTTTAATATTAAATATTTTGATGTATTTGTTACTTGATTATTGTAATCGCCAATAAAAATTAAATTTAAACTTATTAAATTCATAAAAGAACGACCAATACTGGACTAAAAAATTTTTCTATATTTATTTAACTTATAACGTTTCGACCTGTGTTTTAGGTCTTTATCAAATGATTAATTTTTTTATGATGTCAATATAATTAAAGTAGTGTTAATTTTTAAAAACATATCAATCACTATACATTAAAACTTGTGTCTCTTAAGATATCTCGTTGGTATGTAAGCCAGCAAATAAAGAAATTTTTTAGCCCAGTATTGGTCATTTTTTTATGAATTTAATAAGTTTTAATTAAATATTTATTTGCATTTATTGCATGTAATCTTCATGATTTATTATATTAATTTAATGTTAACTCAGAGAGTTAACTAAAAAGTAACGATAAAAGTAACGGGTAATTCGTTACCGTTACTGTAAAAATGTAACAACGTTACCGTTACCGTTACAGATAGAAAAAAGTAACAATTGTTACCGAAAAAAAGTAACGGTAACGGTAACGACGTTACAAAGTAACACGTTACTTCTCAACTCTGAGATACACAGTATAGAAATATTTATAATTTACAATTACTTTACTTACATGCAGATATTTATATGATAATAAATATGCGACTTTCTGTGCAGGTAATCGATGTTGAAGGATTGAGAGTAGCAGACGCTTCCATCATACCTGAGATTATATCGGCGCATCCAAGCATACCTATTTATATGATTGCTGAGAAACTGGCAGATATGATCAAAGAAGAATGGGGATATTTGATTGATGAAGAACCAGTAGCGTGGTATTTTGTGAAATAACTATGTTAGCTAATATAATGTTTTAGGATTAAGTATTCATATTTCGGAATGTTCATATATATTCTTTTTCTGTAAATGTCAAAAAAAGGAGAAAAAGTTTTGATTTAATCATTAAAAGTAATTTTTAAAAAGTTAAATATACCTTATTTATGATAAACTATACCGCACGAAAAAAAATTATAAAAGAATACGAAAAAATTACTGATATAATAATAATTTTTTAATAATATATTATTGATATGCTAGTAATTTTTTGTATTCTTGTAGTTTTTTTTTCGTAAGGGTATATACAAAAAAATTTTTAATCTAAAGGCAGACGAATAAAATTAATAATAAAAATGACAATTATTCAATACCAATTGTATCTAAAAATGTAGGAGTACTTTAATTTTATATTAGTTTTTCTTTATTTTTTTTTTCGTTCATTGATAATTCTTTTTTTTTTTTATCAATTATTGTTATTCTTTACAATTAAGTTTATAATAGGAACGATATATATTCGACCTAAACTAGCCAAAAAATTTTTATTTTATTTCCACAACGTTTCGACCATCTGTTTTTGATCCTTTTCAAGTAAAAAACTAGAATGGTACAATTAATTAAAATTAATAAACATTTTTGATGTTAAACGCAAGAATTAAAAATTTTTTACATACTTCTTTGATAAAAGCGCAGTTAGTTGACACTGTTGTCATGATTATTAAACAATATGATTATCGGAATTTTTTTAAAAACATTTGAAATAACTTTTGAAAGAACTTTTGAAAGAAAGTAACCGCATCTTATCGTTATGATGGATCGTCAAAAAACTGAGTATATAAAATTTTTATACGACCTTTATAATTTTGTCATAGATGTTGTTTAAATTCTCTGTGTCTTTATGTAGGTTAACTGTATTATTAACTTTTTTGATAAAAAACATCTCTGCGATTTCTCTCTTTCTAACATGTTTTTCATTATGTAATACAACGGGTGATACCCAATCAAATTCATGTCCCAACTCTTGTCTATGTTTGCTTACGACCGAATAATTTGTTACATGTAATTTTATATTCTTAGAATGTTCTTTCATACGAGTACGCAAATGTCTTTTTGTTTGACCGATATAAAGACCGATATTAAGTTTATGTTATAGTTTAATCAAAAATGTATTGCTACTAAATAAGATTTCTTGTTGTGTAATTAATATATATGATTTTTTTTATAATGTTATGAAAATTTTATAATACATAATATTTTAAAAGGTTTTTTTATTAAAACATGAATTTTTTTATTAACATTGAATATATTATTGAATTTATATCATTGAATTAAAATATAGAATAATTGAAAGAATATCGATACTTGTAATTTACTATACACATTATAAAGCATGCAGTTATATTTGTAATATCGATCATAAATTATTGGCCAAAATGATTGGCATTTCTCTAGCTTGATTTCTAAACCAGTTTTATATTATAAAAGTGCAAGATATGAAATCGAGAGTCCTTATGCAATCGCAAATAGATAAACACATTTGGCAATGATACATGCGTGTATACTGAATGAAAAAAGAGAATTAATTATTATTTTTACTTTCAACCACTTTCAAATATCGATCACTTTACCTGACTCAAGAATAACATTTGCAATAATAGGTTAATAAAAAATGAGAAACATTTTCATGCAAAGGTCTACGATAAAAAATAATGTTTCTATATAATATTATTTTAATCAGCATAACTTTTCTTTGGTTTATTTGAGAATATATTTTTGAAAGTAATGTTTCCAAAAATTATACAGTAAATCATGACATAAATTTAAAATCAGAAGAAAGAACATAATTATAAAAAAATATATTTAAAAATACAAATTTTGTATTGATTGCACATTTTCCGAGTTTTATATGTCATGTATATGAAAATTGTTTGCATTAATATTTAATTATGCGGTAACACTTATGTGCGTCTGATAAAACACCTAAAAATAAAATTACTTTAAAAATACTTTCAGTTACTAAAGATAAAATTGTGAATCTACTCTAAATCAAAAGGATTTTTATTTAATTTAAATATATATCTCAAACAAAAAACATTATCGTTATTGTTAATATTTAAATATAAAATGTGCCAAGCGGCACCCATCTAATTGTAAGTATACTGATCATGCTCAACGTTGTTTAACTTCAGTGATCGAACGAGAACTTTTTTTTTAAAGTTGTTTATTAAGAAAACTATTAAAAACTATCGATGTTTTGTATTACAATAAACAGTAATTGACATTATTTTAGGATTGTACTTGACGGCCAACTTTGGCACTCGCAAGACGCACAATTAATATTATTTAAAGGGAAAAGAAAAAACTTCACTATTGTATTATATTAAAAAAAATATCTACCGTTTTTATTTCTAATCGCTAGCAAAAACAGGTCATGAAAAAAAAATACCTAGCTTTCTTATAATAAATTTTGGGATAAATAAATAAATAAATAAGTTATCGTCATTATAATTTAACATTTGAAACAAAAATATATATCATTGTTAATATTTAAATTGCAAAAGAAAGATTGTGTGCCAACAGTACATGGTGTTCCCAAGCGGTCACCCATCTAAGTACTGACCATGCTCAACGTTGCTTAACTTCAGTGATCGGACGAGAACTGGTGCGTATACAACGTGATTTGACCGTTGTCGTATATCGTCTCATTCTCAATTGCTGAAGAAGAGAGTATTGTATATAATTTGAAATTTAAAATAACCCTAAATAAAATCAATTTTTATCTATCACTATAATTTATTCATAATTTATTTAATGTGATTTTTCGACATTTTTTAAAAATAAGTAATGTTATAAAACTCTTATGGCAATAATAATAAACTAACTTTTTATTTTTGACATCTTGTTTGTACCAAATAGCTCGTTAAAGTTGGCCGTTCTTTTTTTATAATTATCATTTTGATTTATACGAGTCCAAATATTAACACTAATTTTGTTTAAATAAATAATTTTCTTTTCTTTTTTTATTTATTTTTAAACAATTTTTATTACTCTCTTATAAAAAAAAATATCGCATAAAATAAAACATCATGTTCGCGTTAAAGTGACGTCACCGGAAAGGTGATCGATGATATTTCGCGGGGATGACGTAACCTGATAAAAGCGATCTGTTTTTTTTTTAGGTTATGTTGTCATCGCGCTGTCAGTCAGGTCGTAGGCAGGTGTAGCCGCTCTTCTCATTGAGGGTGTCTCTCCCAACCTTGTAAATCGCTTTGTCAGCTGATTATTATGGTACAATTATGCGTTACATAAAATGTCACATGAAAATTATGGCTTAATTTTAGTGAAAAGACGAAACAGCCTCAAAAAATCTCTTACACCGCGTCTTTACATGTGTATTTATACGTCTAAATTATATCGAAGTGAGGAAAAAAATTGCACAGCTCTTGTACATGTTTCTTTAATTGTTTGAAAACATTTTTGATTAGTTGATTGACGTTTTATTTTATCAAAATATTTGTATTATAAATATATATATTATATATAATACATATTTATATGTAATACATATTTATAATTGTGTATAATAATTAATATATATAACTTTCAATTAAATATATTTATATAAAAATATACCAATTTTTAAAATAAATTTAAAAGAGTATACTAACATTTATGTACTAATATATTTTTATTTATTTTTTAAATTGTTAGAGAGAAGATAGTGTTGCAGTACGAGAGCTATAGAATTTGACTGGAAGAAAGCAGAACCGCAAAACAGCAAAATGGTGTTTGAATCAATTATTGCGGAGCTCCTCAACAAGGTGATTGGGGAGTACATTGAGAACCTGGACTACACACAGCTTAAAGTCAGCCTTTGGGGAGGTGGGAGTGCATACAATATACTTATTCTGTCTATCTGATATAACTCTTCCATCTAGCAATTGTAATTCATGTGACAAATATATTTTTTTTTGTTGCTTTTAGGAGATCTTGTACTAAATGACTTGTTCATCAAAGAATCTGCATTGGATGTGCTAGATCTTCCAGTAAGATTAGAATATGGGCGTTTAGGTATGAAAAAAACTGTCAGCGATATAAGTTACAATAATTAAATTTATAATGCAGCATATTGATGTTTGAAATTCTTGTTTTGTAATAAAACACTACATCTTTCAGGAAAATTGATATTGAAGATTCCATTTAAAGATATGTGGAATGGACAGATCGATGCTATAGTCGAAGAGTTGTTTATACTGGTGGTGCCTACGAGTCAAGTTGCTTACAACGAGGAGAAAGAAAGCAAAGCACAGTTGAACGCCAAACGGGCGGAACTGGAGAGAGTGGAGAAGAGGAAGCAATTGGCAGAGCTAAAATGTATACAATTCTTTTAGAAATTAGTAAAGCACAGACTTCTAAGTTTTCAAATGTTTGCGATAACATTAAAATATATATATACAATATTCCAAGTAGCAAACTGACATCATTAAATGTCATTTTGAGTTGAAGAATGTCAAAATGACATGTAATGGCGTCAGTTTGCTACTTGAGATGTGTATACGTATATATGTATGTAAAAATATAAGTTTTTAAGATTCTTCAACTCTCTTGCAGCACAAGAGAAACTGGACGACTCGATGGTGGAGAAACTGATCGCCCGCATGATCAAGAACATCCATGTGGAGATCAAGAGGATTCATGTACGATATGAGGATCACGTAACCTTCAAGCAACACCCATTCTCCGTGGGCTTCACCTTGAACACTTTCATTCTGGAGAGTTGCACAGACTCATGGGAAACGACGGGCAATCTGAAGGACATGTATGCCATTCCGCAGATCTTCAAACTGTGCAGCCTGGATGGACTGGCTGTCTATCTCAACACGGGTGTGGAACAGTACAGCAAGAACCCACCATCCTTATATTCCAATCTATTTTGTCAAGGTATCGCGACCACGGACTATATCCCGATGGGTTATCAATATCTGCTAGGACCCATCAACGTCAAGTCCAAGCTCAGACTTAATCCTAAGCCTGAATCCGACGATAGTAATTATACCATTCCCAAGGTGATTGAAACGCGCTTATTATCGTTTTTTGAAATATATTTCGTGAATTTCGCGTAAAATTATCTAATTCAACCAATACAAAAGTCATACTTAAAGTAAATACAAAATTAAATATGAAAAAAGAAGGCTACTAATCCAGGTAGTAAACTGACGTCATTAAACGTCAAAATAATGTCATTAAATGTCAAAATGATATCGTTAAACGTTAAAATGACGTCATTAATGTCAAAATGATGTCATTAAACATCAAAATGTCGTCATCGACGTTAAAATGACGTTAATGACGTCAGTTTGCCACTTTGGAAGAATCTACAAATTTATTTTTAAATTCTTTACTAATTATTTTGAAAGCATCTTCAACTTTAATCTTGATACTTTAATGATATATACAAAATAGTGCTTACAAAGAATATTGTTTTGCTAGAGTTGCTAAAGATGACCCAAAAGGACCAAAACATCCAAAATAATTAGTGAAAAATTAAAAAACCAAGTTTGTTAGTTCTTATCAGTTCTCTTCATACCTAATTTGGTATATCAGCCTTCTTTCATTTCATTCATGAATAAAATATTTCTTCTCGCGCGCAGGTATGGCTGGACTTGGAGATGCAGAAATTGCGAATCGGCTTGACGAAGCGGCAGTATCAGACTCTGGTGCGACTGAGCGAGGGTCTGGATCAAGCGCGAAAGGCCGCGCCGTATCGGAAGTACCGGCCGCGACTGACGTCATATCGCGGCCACTACAAGGAGTGGTGGCGCTTCGCGTACACCTGTATCCTCGAGGAAACCGTGCGACGGTGTCATCGCAACTGGGATTGGACCCACATGAAAGCTCACCGGGACACTTGCCGCGAATACGCCCAGGCTTACCAGACGAAGCTGACCACGAAGAAGCTGGCGAAGGACATTGACGAACAACTGACGCATTGCGAGATTAAACTGGACATTTTCAACCTGGTGATCATCCGGCAGCAGATCGAGCTGGAGGTGGAGAGACTCGCGGAGCGGGAGAAAAGTCTGAAGGCGAAACGGGGTTGGTTCGGCTTCCTCTGGAGCAGCTCGCAGGCCGAGGAAACGAAGGAACTCAACTCAGCCGCGGCCATCATGCGCAGGTTTGATTCCAAACGTCCGCTTCGGTGTGTAGCTTCAAGCTTTTAAACTATTGAAAGCTTTTAAACGCTTTAAATGTTTAATACAATTCTTCAAGGTTCTATCTAGGCTATCACGATGATCGTTTTCAGATTCGAGGAAGCGATGACGCCGCAGGAGAAGGAGAAGCTCTACCGGGCAATCGACTACCAGGAGAACAGCGCGCCCGCGCACTATCCGGAGACGTACGTGATGATCGATACGCGTTTCTTCCTCCACGGTCTACAGATCTCTCTGCTGGACACGGATAAGGAACACTCCTGCGTCCTGGATCTGCAGCTGCACGGCGTGCAGGCGGGCTTCAAGTCGCGACCATCCGCGAACGCAATCCTCGTCACCGCCTCCATCAGCGACATGAAGCTGCTGGGCGTGACGCAGGATGGCCGAGTGCCCTCGCTCTTCAACTCCGAGCACGGCAGCTCCGACAGCGCCCTGGTCTCCGTGTCCTATGAGAAGAATCCGATCGACAAGCTCTGCGGAGACCGCGTCGTCGTCAAGTCCCGATCGGTTGATATTGTCTACGACGCGCAAACCATCATAGAACTGATGAACATGTTCAAGGTATGTTCAAGTTCATTTACATCTAAATTATATATTTAGAATTTGTTTTCTGGTTTAAAATCATTTTTCAAGGTCGTCTGAAAATCAACTTAGTTTTTTAAATTATTCTCATCTTTTTTATATCTAAATCAAAATTTCTTGTAATATTAAAAAATATTAAAAGTAGAGTAACTATAAAAAGTAAAAGATTGACGAGATATTTTAGGTTGACCTTCAAACGATCTTGAACAATTTTTTAAATCTTAATCTTTTTTTTATAAATCAATTCCACACAATAATAAAAGATTAAGGTAGAATAACTAAAAAGTTAAAAAGTTTTAAGATATTTTAGGTTGACCTTCAAACGACCTTGACCAATTTTTTAAATCATTCTAATCTTTTTTTTATAAATTAATTTCTTGCAATATTAAAAGATTATATAGAGAGAATAACTATAAAAAGTAATTTTTTTTTAGGTGCAAGACTCTTCGACGTTGAGCCAGCTGCAGACAGCAGCGGCGGAGCAGCTGGAGGGCTTGAAGGAAATGTCGGCGCTTGGGTTGGAGTACGCCATACAGAAACACTCGGTCCTAGATTTACAAGTGGACATGCAGGCCTCGCAACTTATCATACCGCACGGCGGTCTCTACGAGGACACGAAAGCGCTAATTGTCGTGAACCTGGGCAGTCTGAAGATGCACTCCCTGGAGAAAGGAAAGAGCGACATGGCTGGCGCCAGTGTTAGACAACTGGTTAGCATGGGCAAAAGCGAGGAGGAGGTGCTGCTACACTTGAGGGAGCACAGCTACGATAAATTTGTCTTGGAAATAGTCAACTTCCAGGTAACCCTTGATCTTTAATTTGGATGACGTTTAAAAATTATTTATATAAACCTTGTACGTTAATTTTTTCTTCATATCCAGGTGCTAGTTTCATTGCCGAATGAAGAGTGGCGATCGGCCCTTGCGAGCACCGAGAGTTCCCTGACGCTGCTTTATCCAACTACATTAGAGATTCAGTTCCACAAGTGCCTGGTGACAGATGATCCCCTGTTGCCGAAACTCCGGCTTCTCGGTCGTCTACCGTCGGTGAACGTGAACATAACGGACGTTCGATTGCTACAGGCGCTCTCCATCGCGCAAAGTATCCCCCTGCCCGAAGAGGAAGGACCCGGGGAGCTGCAACGAACGTCCCTCTCCAAATCCGTCTCACAGTTGTCGCTGAAGGAACTTGGCACCACGATATCCAGCATCGCCGACAAGAAGAGGCAGCAACTGGAAACAGCGTCCGAGTCGATCAAGCAGACGACCGACCTGGAGATGAAATTCGAAATGAAGGAGCTTACACTGTCGGTGTCTAGACAACGAGATAATAGCACAGAGTCGTCAGAATTTGTCAGGTTCGCAACGCATACTTTATATTTTTATATTGGTATTATTAAAAAAAAAAGTGTTTGAATATATAAAAAAACACCACATTTTTTAGCAAAAGTTGTTAGATTTTGAGGGAAAGAAGTTAATGACTTTGAATATTAATTTGTCATTTTTCAAGGTCGTCTGAAGATTAACTTAATTTTTAAAATAATTATAATCTTTTTTTTTATAAATCAATTCGTTGCAATATTAAAAGATTATAAAGATAGGATAACTATAAAAAGTAAAAGATTTACGAGATATTTTAGGATGATCTTCAAACGGCCTTGAAAAATTTTTTAAATCTTAATTATTTTTTTATAAATTAATTCCTCACAATATTAAAAGATTAAAGTAGAATAACTAAAATGTAAAATATTTACGATATATTTTATGTTGACCTTCAAATAACCTTAAAATTTTTTTTATAAATCAATTTTAAAATAGAATAACTATAAAGTAAAATATTTATGAGATATTTTAGGTTGATCTTCAAACGACCTTAAAAAATTTATTTTTTAAATCCTAATTATTTTTTTATAAATTAATTCCTCACAATATTAAAAGATTAAGGTAGAATAACTAAAAAGATTTATACGAGATATTTTTGATTGATCTTCAAACGACCTTGAAAAATTACCTTTTGGTTAAAATACAAAATTATTAACATATTTTTCTTAAAATCAAAAATCTTTGATTTAAAAGAGGTACAGGAGAATTCTTGAGATCCCAACCATAGGATAGAGATTCTCAGATTCCTTAATTTCACAATAACATTGCGTTTGGCTCTGTGGCCGAGAAGAAGGAGGTGTATATCGTGTTTCAAAAATCTTTTGTTCGAAACTTTATTTTCTAGAACATAATATTTTTTTTTTATATCTGAGTACAGTTTTTTTTTTTAATGAATTATCCTGTAAATTTAATTTTAAAATTTACTTTAAAGTTTAAATTAATTTTTGACTAATTTTATCTTAACATGTTAAATTTACTTTTCAAACTTTCTTCAGATTCCAGGTGCTACAGCTGGAGGCGGAAATGCTGCAGCGCACTTACGATCAGGAGGTGCAGCTGCGGTTGGGCGGCGTGCAGATGCGGCAACTGCACAAGGATCAGGACATCTTTGTCGTCAACACACCCATGTCAGCCGGGAAGGACGAGTATCTGATCATCGTGCGGTACATAAACGTGAATAAACGCTCGCCAGAATTTACGACGCGACACGGCTCTGTTGTGAAACTACTCATGCTGGAGTTCACCTCGCTGGACACACTGTTGCACCAGGAGGCGCTAATCGAACTTCTACGGTTTAGCTCGTCAATACAGGATCGAATGAGCGCACTCGAAGACGTCTCAAAGAAGGAAGTCGAGCGTCCTCGACCAACCCACCTGACTTCCATTCAGGAAGAGACCTCCGGTTTCCTCAGGGAGCAACTTCAGAAGCAAAAGCTGAAACCCACCGGACGACGCAGAAAACAAACCGTCGAATGTATCGATTTAAAGGTGAGTGCCAAGATCGGCTCGATAAATGTAAAAATCTCCAGCGTCGTCCGGGACATCAGCGCATTCTACATCGAGGGTATCAGTGCCAGCTTCCTCAGCAAGTCGTCGTACTCGCAAGTGAACGCCGACCTGGCCTCCATCAGTATTAAAGATCTCAATCCTGTTTCCGTGTACAAGGACATTGTGGCCGTGGAGAGTGCTGAATCTTTGCAGGTACGAAGTCCTTTGCATTTTCACATTTGTCGTTTCTGATCATCGATTTGAATCATATATTTATATGTGCACTTAGATTCAAGCGGTGATGTACAATATCGAGCCGTGGGAGGTGGACAAGAATAACATGTCCGTCAAGGTCACGATGGGTTGCCATCGTATCATCTTTCTGAACGCGTTTGTCACCAGCGTGATGAATTTTCTGAACAACTTTCAAACAGCCCAGAAAGCAATTAAAGACGCATCGGCGGCGGCGGCGGAAGCCGCGAGGACGAACATCAAGGACGTCCAGGAAAGCGCCTCTCGCATCGAGCTGTGCGTCAAAATCAAGGCACCGGTTGTATACGTGCCGATGAACTCCAAAAGCGAGCATAGTTTAATGCTGGATATGGGCAATCTTATGGTACAGTGTGACGAAACTTCTCAAGTAGCAAAATGACATCAACTTGACGTCTAATGACGTTATTTTGACATTTAATGACGCCACTTTAATGTTTAATGACGCCATTAGACGTGTCAAAATGACGTCAGTTTGCTACTTAAGTTAATCTGCAAACCAATTGATCCTAAGTAGCAAACTGACGTCAAAATAACGTCATTCAACGTCAAGTTGACATCATTTTGATGTCTAATGACATCAGTTTGCTACTTAAGATGTAAACAAAATACCCAGGTAGCAAACTGACGTCATTAAACGTCAAAATGACCAGTTTGCTCCTTAGGTACATATTTGTTTAAAAAAAAAAAAATATATATGTAGCTACTAATTGCAAATTACGTATTATTTTAGGTCTGTAATGTCTTCAAGAAATTGGAGGCGACGAACGAGGAGACTGGCGAGTGCCCCATAGTAGACGAGATGAAGATCGAGCTGCAGAACTTGAAGCTGTCGCGAGTCCGACTAAATACAGAGAAGTTTATCAGCGAGAACGAGGTGCTTCTTCTAGAACCGGTGACATTCACCCTACTGATAAAGCGCAACCTATCAACCGCCTGGTTCACCACCATCCCGGACATTGACATGTCCGGCAGGTTAAACAAGATCAATCTGCTGTTGAGCAAAGAGGATTACACTACGATTCTCAAAGTATTGGAGCAGAATCTGGGCGAGACTTTTGAAGACCCGAAACCTGTGCAAGCTGCGCCATGTGCTGTGACGTCCGAATACAGCACGGAACTGCAGGTGAATATGAGAAGAATAATATTACTAATAATTTTTAAGTAGTTTATAATAATTGCGTCATCATCATCATCATCATTATCATCATCATTATTATTATTATTATTATTATTATTATTATTGTTGTTGTTGTTGTTGTTGTTGTTGTTGTTGTTGTTGTTGTTGTTGTTGTTATTGTTATTGTTATTGTTATTTATCATGTATCAAGCTTCAGCCGGCCTACAAGTACGAGGTCGATACGTCGCGAGAAGCGCCGTCGGCAGAGACGCAAGAACGGCACGCCCACACATCGGTGAAGTTCGAGTTCATCATGGACAGTCTGGTGATCAACCTCTTCACCGGCGGTTCCAAATTGCTGCAATCGCAGTCGTCGCCGCTGCACCTACCCGAGAACGGACTGGCCCGCTTCTGTCTCACCCACTTCGCCGTAAAGGGTCGCGTGTTCGCGGACGGGCTGCTGGCCACGTCGATCCTGCTGATGAACTGCACCCTGGACGACACGCGGCGAAGCCGGGAGGGCTCGCTTGCGCGGATCATGGAGAGGACCAGCAGCGTGCCGAGCGGCGAGGATCACTTGGACAAGGAACACGCCAAGTATAACGCCAGGAGTATGCTGGACGTGACAGTGCGCCAGAGCCCGAACGACACCTTCGCCGACGTGCGAGTGTTCTCCTTCAGCATCATCGTGTCCCTCGATTACCTCATGAAGATCAAGGACTTCTTCGATGTGGACACCACAAGCAAGACCACCGCCGGTTCCCTGCAGTCCTCGTCGAGGGGCGAATCGACGGTGACGTCGAAGAAGAAACACCCGACGACCCAACAGCAGCCGGTCGCCTTAACCCCCAAAATGTTAACTGTGAATCTGCACGTGGAAAAGCCGGATATCATCTTGCTCGAAGACATGGACGACATCAACTCGAACTGCATAATATTGAACACGGAGTTGTTGTTGAAAGTGCGCATTATGGGAGAGCACCAGGTGATCTCGGGATCTATCAAGGACTTCTCTTTGCTCACGGGGATATACAACCCTACGAAGAGGGCCGATTGGATCTATCAGGTATTTTGAGGATATATTTGTATATGAAAAGTATAAGACAAGGATCTTTTGAATTAATTTTGTAGATATTTGTTTTACTAATATTATATGATTGCATAGGTTCTGAGACCTTGCAGCATCAGCGTTGCCGGTTCCACTCCGGAGGGCAAAGGACTTCATCTGGAGATCTGTTGCACAGATGTACACATCTCCGTTTCGCCAGGTAATTTGTGAATCGCCAAATCATCAACATCGACAATAGTTCGTAAAAACGCGACATTTTTACAGGTGTGATGGAAATATTGAGTAAGGTTGTTCACACGGTAACGAAGAAGGAGGAAGAGGATAAAGAAATCGTTAAACCCGAGCCTAATTACGAAGGATTGTGGATTGTTACGCCTTTTGAGGAGAGTGATTATTGGTTCCTGAAGACAGGTATTATAATTTTATCTTCTTTTTTTCTTTTCTCTTTTTTCCTCTTTCTTTTTCTTCTTTTCTTTTTTCTTCTTTTTCTTCTCCTCTTTCTTCTTCTTTTCTTCTTTTTCTTCTATTTTTCTTTTATTTTTCTTTTATTTCTCCTTTTTTTCTTGTTTTCTTTTTATTATTTTGCTAAACTGTTACAACGAATTGTTGTAGAAGTTGCAATGGAAGCTTTCGAGGAGTTCACGTATCCAGACGACGAGGTTGTAACTGCTTACAAGCCTGAATTAGCGATCGTCTCGGCTCCGACAATCTTGCTTACTCTAGAAGCTGGTGTCGGGAACAAGACTCTGCCCATGCTGCTGCTTCATGTGGGCTTCCAAAGCAACGTCAACGATTGGAGCACGAAAACGGTGAGTCGTCGATCGCGAGAAGTTATTGCTACGTCTCTTATGTTGCTGAAGAACACTCCATTGTTATCACGGCTTTACAGATGAGCATCGATTGTACGATGTCCGTGATCATGGCGTACTACAACAGCCGTCTTGCACTCTGGGAACCGCTGATTGAGCCGATAGAGGGTTCCGATAACGGCAAACGTGTTTCCACTCCGTGGGAGCTGAAGACGAAGGTGATTATTGCGTCATCTTTTTTTAATATTTTCTCCGTGTTTTCTCTCCGATTTTGTTCATTAATAACGCAGTCTTAAATTTTTCAGGTCCAATTCAACGATATTTTACTGGACTCGAGGGGCGCCAGCGCTGTCAGTCCCACTTCGGACAGCGAACCCGAAGAGCTACCGAGTCAATCCACCAAGATGTCCATCGACATTACGTCTTCCGTAAGCGAAGTTTCTTGCAAGCGGCAATATTGTCCTCAAATTTTGCCTGAAAAGAATATATACTCATGTCTTCTCGTGTTTATTTCTTCGGCTGCAGGATAACCTGGAGATAACTGTGACAAAGACATGTCTGGATGTGCTGAAACAGCTCGGCCAGTCGTTCTCCTCGGCTATAGAGGCTAGTGGGAAGGGGCCCACTAGAAAGGTGGCACCGTACGTGTTGAAGAACGAGACCGGTCTGGCGATGATACTGGATCTGGAGCACAGTCTCTTCAAGGTTCGTCACAATGAGGATCTCTTTCGAACTTGAATTTCTCTTCATTTATTTATATGGACTAATATCGGTGCTTACCTTAGATATTCGACGATGGATCAAGAATACGAAGTGATAGCGATTCGTACATGGAGGTGATCCTGGAGACTGGCGCGTCGATCGAGCTGGCGCCGAAGTCATCCAAGCTGGATGCGCGTCTTCTAGAGCAGTTGAAGGCGGAAACCGTGAAGGATAGGGATGATAGTAAATTTGCCGTTTCTGTAAGTTTATGATGACGCAGACGTAACATGTGCATGGCAAGAATTTATAATTTTTTTTATTATCCAAACGACCCCGCACAATCTTTATCGAAACTGGATTTCGATAAAATTGGCTGAATTTTTTTTATATTGTAGCTAATGATCTCTGCAGAACAAAAGATGTAGTAATAGCTTTGAAACTAAATATTGGATAGTTAGTGGATAGTTATTGGATAGTTAGTGAATGTTATTGGATAGTCATTGGAATTATTGGTTATTGGATAGTTGTTGAGTTACAACCAGTTCAAACAACTCGCAGAGCCGACACATTTCGTGTTTGACTTGTCGTAAATCAATAAATACCTATTATTTAGCTTTGAATCTATTACATTTTTGTTCAGCAAATCATAAACTATAACATATGAGAAAACTAGCTGATCTTATCAAGATACAGGCTTCTGAACCTATATAAAATCCTAAATGAAATTGAATCCTGAAATCAGCTGATTTATATAACATAGATAATAATTATATTTAATCACTATTCTATAACTTCACTGAATCTAATGTAATGAAATTTAATACAGTTTAAAGGTATCCAAGGCAAATTGGCGATACCTGTTCTGAAGGCAGACAAGAGATTTTTCTCTTTGAAGCATCGCAAAGAGGGCTCCGAGGAATGGGGCATCGTGTCGGACGTCGTTGTGGAAGAAGGCAGCACGATCGTCACTCTCAGAAGCATCCTCCAGGTAAAGTGAAGAGAAAAGAAATTGCAAATAATATTTTATAGATTATTATAATCAATATTCTGCAACGTTTCTGCACGAAGGTCCACAATCACTTTGCGCAACCGATTGCGGTTTATTACATGACGAAGAGGGGAAACGAGGTCGAATGTGTGGGTACAGTAGCACCAGATCAGAAGCTCAACTTACCCCTGGATGCCGTCTATACCCCAACTAACATCTATTGGCTCTTCTTCAGCGTTGAAGGGTAGGTTTTTTTATGTGATCTTCAAGATTTCTACTCTCTGAAATAATCAGGAAACCTGAAAAATTTAGTTTAATAAATTGCATCTTAAAATTCTCTACTTTATCTGGAACATTATTCTAGATATATGGTATCGGTTGAGCCGTTCATCTGGAAGGACCTACAGAAGACGGTTTCTATGACCAGGTTACTGAAATGTGAATCTCGATCCAAGCAGGACACCACGGAGCCATTTTATATTCAGGTTTATAATATTTGTGATAAAATTAATGACGTTAATTAATAATGATTCACATTGAATACTATTGATACGTATTTGTCTACACAGGCCGTGGGAGAGATCGAGCAGGTGTATTTCGAGAACACCACTCGTCATACCATGGCTAGTACCATCTACAACGTGCACCTGTACCCGTCCGTGTACTTGAAGAACTTCCTACCGATCGACATCATCATCTCCTTACCAGGCACTGCTCAGGAGAGTTTACTCGAGGCCAGCGCCTCCTTACAACTTCCCACAATCGATCCGGCCAAGTCGAATATAATTATTAAGGTAGAATGTAAAGCAATTCATGTGAAAATTAAGTTAGCATTATTAAATTATTATTTTTAATTTTTTATATGAAGTACCTCATTACTAACTTTATGTAAAATGGATTTCGATTAAATCGGCTGTTTTTTTCACGTTTGACTGATTGTAAATCAATAATTTTATTTAATTAATTAAATAAAGTTATTTAATTATTATTTGATTAATTAATTTAAATACTTTAATTAATTAACTAACTGGTTAATTAAATAAAATTTAATTAATTTATTAAATTTATTTATTTATTACGTTTATTGAAGCCTGTTGTTTATTCGGGTTGAATTTCTTCAGCTGCCCAATTACCTGGAGAAGGACTGGTCCTGCAAAGGCGAAATCGTGGCAAATCCAGCCGAATTCGCTGTCTGGTCGTTCGAGTCCTTCGACAGCGCGCAGAAGGTGACCCTGGACCTCGGAATGCACACGTCGCACAAGCACGGCTCGATCGTCATGGCGCTGTACTGTCCCTTCTGGATGCTGAACAAGACCGGCCTGATGTTATCCTACCGAGTACGTTCGCACTTCAAAGCGAAAAGCTTTCAGCAACTATGCGAGCGCAAATTGCGATTCAACATATCATGTTACATCTTTTTTTTTAATTTTTAATTCTTAATCAAGCTTTTTTCAGAGGATCTCTTTGCCTAAGATTATTTAGAATCCTTGTGAAATCTCTCTTCTCACGTTTCTCTTATCTCTTCTTGTATCATATATGCTAATGCTCGCTCCATCCCCCTTTTTTCCTTTCCTTCTGTTATCAGCTTGCGATATTAACCGGCATTGCATCCGCCCCTGATCAGAACCCTGTATTCATCATGCTCCATTATTTTACAGAAGTCAAGTAAGGGTGGCAAAGAGCACTCAAGTCCGATCAAGGTAGAGATTTCCTATTATCGTGCCGCATCTCATTGTGCTTTTCGTGTAAAAGCAGGGTGTCTACTTTCTGGAAGTGTATATCTGGGATTCTCGGGGTTTTCTTTTTTGGAAAGGGAATCATGGAATTTTCATTGATATATGTTTTTTTAAAGTCTCGCTAATTTTGCTCTTATGTGACTGAAAAAGTGAAAAATGCTTATCTTACATTCAGTACTCTTCATGTTCCACTTAAATCAAAATTTAAAAATATACATATAGAATAATAACAAATTATTTTAAATAATCGCAAAAAAATTTTATCTGAAATTTTGAACATACCTCAAAAAGTTAGATGATTGTAAAACTTTTTTTTTTAAATAGACACCCTGAAAATCGTCGACTCGTACGATATCGCTCACGAAATTAGCCGTCAAAATGATTTCTTCGTCAATATTTAATTTAATATATCTCGCCTTGTGAAAATGTACGTGGGGACATCTTTCAGAAATTCGTTTCCGCTATGAAACCCCATCAACAACGATACAGGAGGAGGAAAACGCGCGCGGTGACCCATCGCCTTATTTCAATATTAATTAATAATATACTCTGAGCTGTTCTCTCTCTTTTTGTGTTCGCAAGACATTATCGATTATTGCTGTGGGATAACAATCGTCTGATCATAGTCGATCTGTCAGACTGGGACCAACACCGTCGCAATTGTGTTAGAACCATCGTGTTGGTCCTGTAATGTTTAGTCGACTCTTAACAACAACCGCATTTTAAATCAAACACAGTAAATCGCGCTTGTCTTTATACATAATTAACGTTTAATTATTGCGCTTTTACCCATACGCTACTCTATCTCTCCTCTGTTTATCGTCTTTTACTTGAAGCCTTTATCTTCAATTCGTGAATCTCAGTTGTCAAATATCCTAATGATTCTTTTTTTTAGTTTTCTAGATATAAAGCACAAAGGTTTATTTAACAAGCTAATATTACGTTTAGAGTTTTTGTTACTTATCCTAATTAACTGCATGTGACGAAATATTATTTCCGCTGATTAAAACGTGAAGATTATTAATCCATACACGATTCTCGTTCCAGACAACGGATGATTATTTGAACGTTCTGTATCATCCGGAGCATTTCAAGGGGCCAATTCTATTCTCGTTCCGTTCCAAGGCCTTCTTCGGTAAGAAGAAAGCAATGATCCGAGTGGAGGACGGAGAATGGTCCGACAAGTTTTCCATCGACGTCGCGGGTAGCGAGGGTGTCGTGGCCTGCAAGTACAATGGAATGACATATCAGGTTTGTTGATGTCTCGTTGTTTTTTGTTACCTTTCTCAATCATTGCTATTCTTAATTATCTACTCCTAAATATCTTTACATAAATATTCTCAAATATCTTCCTAAATATTTCTAAACACCTTCCTCTCAATACTTCTAAACACCTTCTCAAATACCCCAATTTCTAAATATTCCTAATATCTTTTTCAATTACTTCTATTCCTTAATATTCCTAACAATAAATATTTTGCTAAATACTACAATTTCTAAATATTCCTAATATCTTCCAATCATTTCTCAATATTCCTAAATATTCCTAATACCTTTTTCAATCATTTCTCAATAATCCTAAATATCTTCCTAAATATTCCTAATATCTTTCTTAATTATTCCTCAATAATTTTAAATATCTTCCTAAATATTCCTAAATATCTTCCTCAATCACTTCTATTCCTCAATATTCCTATAAACATCTTAAAATACCTTCCTAAATACTGTAATTTTTAAATATTCTTAAATACATTTTCAAATACTCCGATTCTTAAATATCTTTCTTCATTACTTCTATTTCTAATTGTATTAATAACGGAACAGTAATTAGATAAACTATTAGATTTACTATTTTTTATTGTTTACTGTTATCTTTAGCATCTTATATTTTTTAATGGCCTTTGATTCGGTAATTTATTCTTTTTACATCATCATAAATTCTTGGAGCAATTAATTTTATTTTAACATTACAGAAATTTTTTTAATGTTATCCTGAATAAGAAAGTGAAAATAAGGAATAGAAAATAAAAATAATAAAAATATTGCTATTACAGATCGGGGTTCACAATCAGCTGACGTATAACTCCTTGACTAAACAAATCACCTTCACACCTTATTACATACTTATCAACAACGCAGATTTCCTTATCGAATGTCAAGAGGGTGATCGTCCGGCGGATCCGATAATTAAGGTAATTTAAATTAAATTAAGCAATTCAATTATTTAATTGTGTAAATGTTTAAACGAAAGATTACATTATAATATAATCATTCTGATAAAATTATACTGTTGCAAAGGTGCCTGCCGGCGAATGCGCAGCTTTATGGTCTCGAAACGAACACGAGAACAAAACTTTGAGGGCCAAGGTCGCAGGTCAACCTGAAAAAACCGCAGCGTTCATTTACACTGATAGTCATACTACTCTATTGAAATTGGATAATAAGGTAATGCAAAATGTCTACTCCGAAAGAAAATATGGAGAATCTGGAGTTATCAAGGATTTCTTTCGACCTCGAAAAAACAGGAAATTTTATTGTAATTCAAAAAATTTCAAACAGCCCTTTTTGATCATTTTAACATTGGATTGACGAAGAGAATATTGCAATTATATGCGATAGTTAAATGTTCCCTGTAATAGTTGAATGTTCATATTTTCATATATTCCTAATGCCTTCCTCAATAATTCTTTTTAATAATCCTAAATATTTCCCTAAATATTCCTAACACCTTCCTCAATAATCCTAACTATCTTCATAAATATTCTTAAATGTCTTCCCCAATACTCTAATTCCTAAACACTTTCTGATAAGACTGCCTCTCGTTCAACAGTACGGAGGGATCAACGTGGACGTGCAAATCAGCGAAGGCGGCGTCTACATCTCCCTATCGGCCTACAGTTCAGGCAACGCGCCAGCTCTGATCGTCAATCATACGCCGCATACCATCAATTTTTGGGAAAAGGGTTCAATCAATGTCAGGTAAAAGAAAAAACACCCAAATGTCTATTTTTCTATATATCGTTCTTCTAATATTCTTCTATTAAAAACTTGATGATCGCCACTCATTGTCAGTTAATTCTGAAATTTGTGCATTTACAGGTCCATTCAGTCATACAACAGGATGTTTTACACCTGGGAAAATCCGGCAGGTCCACGAAAGATCGTTTGGGAAGATAACAGCGGCAAAGAGCTCGAAGACAATCTTCGTAAGGTAAGAGAGAGAAAAAGAAAAAATAGAATAGAAGAAAAAATATAGAAAAGAGGTAAAACACCTTTCCAATTTTTAAGGATAATCTCGGTGCCTTCCAATTACCGGAAGTAGACGAGAAGCTGTTCTACGTGTCGTTTCTAGACGGCACTCAGCGAGTACTCTTGTTTACCAGAAACCTAAAGATCGCTGAAGATTGTCAGCTGGCTGGTGATCTCGAAGTGATCGATCAGGAAATCACCTTGAACATTCACGGCATCGGGTTCTCTCTTGTGAACAACATCACCAAGTCCGAGCTGTTGTACATGTGCATCGCTAGGTGCGTACATCAACTATAATTGCATAGTTTTTCATCATTTTTGCAATTATGTTATTTTAGAAAAATTAACAAAATATCTTCTTATATATATCATGCAGTTCCGGAATTATATGGGAAACCCGCAAGTCCCCCGGTGGTCGATGGCGAGCGTTAAACGCCAAGGAGGTCAACGCCATCGAGGAGGGATATCAACGATACATCAAAGAACTGCAGATCGGCAAGGACGCAGACTATCGGGTGATGCTGGAGCCGAAGCTGATGGTAAAATAAAGAGTTTCATCAGAGTTAATTTCTGATTCGATAACCGCGAACATCGATATTACATATACAGTGAACGTTCCCATTACTTTTAGGTGGATTATCTGAATATGGAGATGTTGAAGCCGCATCGTAGGTACATGCGACGTACGTTCCAGACCGGACTTTGGCTACAGTATCGCACCTCAGCGCATCAGGTGCAGTTGCACGCGAAGATCAACAGGCTGCAGATCGACAATCAATTGTCGGAGTGCGTCTTCCCGGTTATATTGGCTCCAGTTCCACCGCCGAAGAGCGTAACGCAGAGCACAGGTATCGTTTATCGTCTGCATTTGTTTTAATTATCAGCATAGGACTTGTTGCAAGTTTCTTCGTTTTTCTTCGCAGTAATGAAACCCTTTGCGGAACTCAGTATGGTCAAACGCCTGCTGGAGCACAGTACGGTGCAACAATTCCGATATTTCAAAGTTCTCATACAAGAGTTCCACATCAAGGTGGACATTGTCTTCCTGAATGCAATAATAAGCCTCTTCGAGGCGAACGAGGTCAACGATGCGGAGGAGGTGAGTCTCTTCTCGTTATTAAAATTTATTTGTTTAAAATCAAGAGAATAACGCAATTATTTCGTTCCAGAGCGCGCTGTTTCGTACCGACATGAAACTGGTCAACGAACCGCTCATGTACCACGTCAATCTAATCACCACAGCCGAGCAGAAGAACTTCTTTGATCTACTACATTTCTCGCCGCTTAAGGTTGGCCGCTAATGACTTGTAAATTACAAATATTATTTACTTCTCGACAGTGAATTTCATCTCCCTCTTCATTCGTAGATACATATCAGTTTCTCGATGACTGGCAGTGGAGGTGGACCTTCTGCAATGCCGCAGGTACTTAACGTGCTGTTGCAAGGAATCGGCGTCACGCTGACGGACATTAACGACATCGTGTTCAAGTAAAGTCTTTTCATCGTATTTATTAGAAATAATCTTAGTAATTTAATTAAAAATCTTTAAAACATATTATATCTAAAAACAGCATTGTATAATCTTCATATTTTTACACAATCTTTATATCTTCGTGTAATCCTCATATTCTCGTGCAATCCTTATATCTTTTGATCGCGCAATCTTTATATCTTTTGTAGATTTCGAGATTCTAAATTCTTCTGCTAATTTGCAGATTGGCGTACTTCGAGAGAAATTATGTATTCATGACGAACAAGCAGCTCATCTCCGAGGCGACCACTCATTACGCAGGCCAAGCGATTAAGCAGGCCTACGTGCTCGTGCTGGGACTCGATGTGATCGGTAATCCGTACGGGCTTGTGGTCGGGACCATGAAAGGCATCGAGGATTTGTTCTACGAACCCTTCCAAGGAGCCATACAGGGTCCAGGGGAGTTCGCGGAGGGTCTGTTTCTAGGAGTGCGCAGTATGTTGGGCCATACTGTGGGCGGAATGGCAGGTGCCGTATCGAAGATCACGGGAGCGATGGGTACGTCTTGGTATATTACTCTTAATCATTTTAATTTTAGTAATTTTTACATGTATTGAAACTTTGCTAAAAGAAGATATTAAATTATATTTAATTCTTATATAACATTTGACATTTTTTCTGATATATATTGTTCCTTTTGCAGGCAAAGGTATAGCTGCTCTGACCTTCGACAAGGATTACCAACGGAAGAGGCAAGAACAGCTGAACAAGCAACCCGCCAACTTGCAAGAGGGTCTCGCTCGAAGCGGAAAGGGCTTAGTAATGGTAAAGTCGTAGATTAATTAAAGTATATAGATCAATTGATTGCCCGCTTAGCATAAATTATTTATTAATTTCGTTCGATAGGGCGTGGTCGACGGTGTTACGGGTGTAGTAATGAAGCCTATATCGGGAGCGAAGGAGGAAGGAGTTGAAGGGTTCTTCAAAGGATTCGGAAAAGGTGTTGTTGGACTCGTCACCAGGCCTACTGCCGGCGTTATCGACTTCGCGAGTGGTTCCTTCGGAGCTGTCAGACGGTACGATTTATGATATTTAGAATCTTGATAATTTTACCGATGAGTAATAAAATTCCCAGGTAACAAACATACGTCATTTTGATGTTTAATGACGTCATTTAATGTCAAAATGACATCATTTTGACGTTTAATGATGTCAGTTTGCTACTTCCCAAGTAGAACAGAAAATCAAAATAATATTATTTTGATTTTCTGTTCTACTTGGGTTGGGTTGTCATAAACTTGAAATTCTATAAATTGTACGCTCCAGTAGCAAACTGACGTTATTAAACGTCAAAATGACGTCATTAGATGTCAAAATGACGTCATTAGATGTCAAAATAATGTCGTTAGATGTCAAAGTGATGTAAGCTTGCTACCTAGGTCATTAATTTGCATACATATAAACTAAATTTTTTAAAACCATTTCAGAGCTACCGAGCTGAACGAAGAGGCAAGGAGAGTACGATCACCCAGATTTCTGCAGCCAGATAGTCTCGTTAGACCGTACATAAAGAACGAAGCTGAAGGCAACAAGATATTGATGGTAGGAATTTTCTTTCTCTGTATCCCAGGTAGCAAGCATATGTCATTTTGACGTTGAATGACGTCATTAAACAACAAAATGACGTCATTTTGACATCTAATGATGTTAGTTTGCTACTTGAGATGTATTGTATATATATTTATACATATGAAATTGTTTTCCATAGGAACTGGAGAAGGGAAAATACGCACACACGGACGTTTACGTCTACCACGTATTTATTAACAAAGATGTACTGCTGCTCACCGATAAAAGATTATCATATCTGGAACATAGTGACCTATTTGGTGGTTGGCGGGTTGGTATCCACATCTTGTTGGTTTCAAATTAAAAAAAGAAACGATATACATATATTCTATCCTTACAGGTTGATTGGACTAATACCTGGAACGAGTTCGGCGAATCGCCAAAAGTCGTAGAAAAGGGTGTGCAGATCTTTCTTAAGGACGCCAGCAGGAAGAAAAAACTCGGCGGCCTCTTCGGCAGCGCCGATCAGTCAAAGATACTTTTAATAACGGATTATAACGTTAAACAGGTATATAAATGTGTCGAGTCCTAAATTATTTCTCTATCTCTACTATCGCCGTATTTCATCACTTTGCAATATCTTCTTCTCTTTCACAGTTGTTGTGCATTAAAATACAAGAGCAGATCAACCAATACGGGGTATAACGAATTATGGAAGTGACGAAAAAAGTCTCCTGCTCACTTCCGGAAGGTTTCGTGAGTGGATTCGCACAATTTGTATGCACATTTTTTACTGTTTATAAGACTGAGACTGTGTGCGCTCGATAATCGTAAGTCAGTCCAAGATAGAAGGGACATCAGAGTGAACTGAATGTTTAGAAATCGATTATGGAAGAACGCAATAATACCTTTTTCACTTTTTACCACGCAGTTGTTCAGAACTTTTTTGTTCTCGATATTATCTGATATCGAGGAAAAGAATGTTAGATTTTGTTGCAAAAGATTCGTCGAATAAAGTGAAAAAAGGGATATACAGGGTGTCCTACAAGTTTTAATTAATATAGCCGAATATTGTTAATATTTCAAGACCATTTATAAAAATTAATTTTTTTTAAATATGGAATTATACTTTTAGATAAATTATTACACTATTTAACATAAAAACTTATAAAGATATGATAGTCAAAAAGTGAATAATTTACGAAATATTTTAAAATTATAAAATATCTCGCATATCTCAATACTTTTATGCGTAAGCTAATGAAAGAACTCGATTGATGTAAAGAAAACATATAATTTTTTTTAAATATATAATTTACAACTAACCATTATATATTTTTGTTTAAAAGTATATATTTTTTTATCTTAATTTTCTCAAGCTTAATTTTTCTTTTTCTCCAAACCTTTTAATTTTTATAGGAAATATTTTGTTATTACACAGCCATAATTTCAACAATATTCGATATTATCTTAATTAAAATGGGACTCTGTACATATTGTTTCGAAGTAATTTTTATTAATCTAAATAGACATTTTTCACTCAAAAGAAATTTTTCAAAAGTGTCAAATCAATCAAATTTTATTTACACAAAGCGACACCTCGGAGAAAAAGCATCTTTTGCATCAAGCTATAAAAGTAGATATTCATATTACAAAGGAGAGATCAGTCTTTTTCAGATTTATATTTATATAGATTTTTCCCCAGAGAAATACAAACTCTCCATTTGACGGAGTCAATTGTTTTAGTCGCAAGAGAGTTACCATTTTATAATTTAAGGACCTAGATTTATATTACGTGAAGTCATAAAATAGGATTAATCGTTTAAACAACAAAGTCCTAGAGTACAATAACTTAATAAGTCAGACTGGTTAAATTGTTAAACTCGAATTGAAGCAAAAGTAAACAAGTATAGATACTTCGTATCTTGATATTTTTTACACAAGTTTAATTAAAAGATACAGAAGATTTTTTATTGAAAAAAAAACACTTTAGTATTATTTTATATTTACAGGCGAAATATCGCCTTATCATCATATATATCAACTAATTACATTATTATTGTTAATCCAGTAGGCTTTTAAATCATTGAGTGATATTCTCGCTAATTAATAATCAAAAATAAGGTATCGTGTGCTTAATTAATTATTATCTTTCTCTCAACGACATTTGACGTTGTTAAAGAATTTATTACTGACACATTGAGTAGACGCATTGTTAAGATATTTAATAAATTTTATCATCTATAGCTTTAAAACGCCTAAAAAAACTATAGTATGCACCGGTGAAATTTTTGACCGGCACTTCTACCTCGTTCTTTATTATCGCTATTTAGTATAATAAATATAAATCTATAAACATACATATATTCACATAATAATTAAATGGAATTATTTAAAATTGTATATAATAATTGACTTATCGATTAATATTTTCAGAACTATTTTTTCTATCAAGTTATTACTTAATTTTCATGAAGTTTTAATTAAAGCAACAGTAAGACGCTACAGAATTAATTTCAGACATACGACATATTTATTATTAATTATATAATATATTAACTAATTATATAATATATATATATATATATATATATATATATATATATATTGCGTTTATGACATATATATATTTTGCTTCGCTGTTCTTTGTTACAACACGTAATAAAATTATAAAATTAACATTTGTACTCTGTCTCTCTCGAGTTATGACATTATTTAATTATATATTTATCCAAGTTTATTTTTTAGCGTATTTGTATTATCAGAGATGATATATTTTTATATATATCTTAGAAGTTCTTTTTTTATATACATTTAATGCAAAAACATAAAAAAAGGAAAAAAGAGTTATGTAATAATATATAATATATTGAATTTAAATAAACGCGTGATTAAATTTATAAAAATAAAATATATTGTATACACACATTTCATATTTGTATACTCATTTATTGCTAATATTTTTATTTTGTAAATTACTCAGTGCATTATTAATATTTTGACATTTATTACAATATAATATAATGTATTATAATTGTTTTCTCTTTAAAAGTTACGCTTGAAAGTACAACAATTGATTAATCATAAAAATTAATATATATATATATCAAACACAGAAGTAGATGCTGCCTGACTGACATCACAAACTGGATCTTCAAGATGATATTTTCACCTTTTAACCGACCTGGAAATCGCCATAATAATCTTTATTCAAATATATACCTAGCTAAAGTCATCTGATACATAAACTCTTCAATAAAAATGAAAGATGAGTTTTATATTATCATTTTAACACTGTTTTCGAAATATAATGCAATATCATAATAAGCGACTTTATCTTTTTGTGAATAATTTGAGATAATAAAAATTACCTATATTTTGCCACATAAAATAATAATAATTGACGATTAAAAATATCTTCTATCTTAATTACATAAAATATAATTTTTGTCCATAGTTTCTGTTAGCATCTGCATATAATATTATTTTTAAACAGGAAAAAGTGGATTTAACATATATAGGGTGTCCCAAAACTCGGAGAAAAGTTTTTAATGGCAGATTCCTGGTATCATTCGGAGACGATTTTTCTTCAGCGAAAATGTCGAGACATCAATTATTTTCGAATTATAAACAGTTGAAAATAAAGACTTTTTTGGAAACTAAGCCTTGTGGAAATAAAATATTAACAGAACTACATTCTTCAGTTAATTTTAGATAGAGTTTGCTTTAATAGAATTTTAATATAAGGCTTAGTTATAAAGATACATAACAACAAAAATTGAGAACATGCTAAAAATGATGGCTTCCCTCAACATTTTCAAGGAAAAATCATCGTCTTCAAATAATACCAGGAATCTGCTATTAAAATCTTTTTCACCAGTTCTGGGACGCCCTGTATATGTACTTGTTTTTTTAAATATATAACGTTGAATTAAATTAACGTTGAAAAAACTGATTGCATAAAAATTAGAAGAAATTCTTTTAAATGGATAAATTTTATTCAGTTGTTATTTATATTTGTTACACACTTTGCAAAAATGTTGAAAAACCAACGCTTTGACTTTTCAGATTTTATTTTCTTGTATAATGTTGATTCTACTTTCTATGAAAAATTCAGCTACAAATAAAATTGCCCGAAATTATGTGATATATATTTAGAGATATAGATCAAAATACAACTAATAGTGAGTCTAATCATACCACATCACTTACGGAGAGTCCAAGAGGTGAGAGATTATATTCAATATATTTTAAAAATATACTTAGACAATTAGAGATAATCAAGACTTATTCTTTTCGAAAAAATAGAAAAGTTAAATGATGTATATTACGAGGCTATCAACCAGATTAATAGTAATTATCACCGCTAATTAAGCTGCAACTGGGAAAATATGTAATCAAAATTACAGCGAAATTAATTGAAAAGCAAAGAGAAGTTAAAAAACTTTTCTCAATTAGAATCTGGATTTGAATGCTGGATTACACCTGGAAAATAAATAGATAAGTGTTAAAATAAGAAAAATTTATAATTAAAAATTTAAAATAATGCAACTTTTACTTTAAATTTTTAAAAGAATTAAACAATAAATCAAAATTACATATATATATATATATATATATATATATAAACAAAGTTAAGATTGTATATTATATATTTTAAAACATTGAGAAAATTATTAATAAAATCGTAAATTCCACAATGTTTTAATATAAAAATATTCAAAATGTTTTTCTGTTTACTTTATAATATTTATTGGTGAAATAAAATGTATAACATATGTTGAATTTATATTATATGTAAGTTATAATATTATCTTGTTTTTTACATAAGCATATGTGAGACAATTTAATAAATTGCGTTCTTTAAACATTGTCAGATATATGGTCTTTCGGTAATTTAGATAGCAAATCCATTTAGATATATATCTTGCTAATAGAGGCAACAATTACATATAACAATTCCTTTTATAGTTTTATAACAATAGAATATATTTAGACATTACATTAAAGAATATTATCTTTATATATGACTTCACTTTCAAACATAATTTGAATTTTTATATTTACTGCTCTTAACAGCCTTTTATCAAATTTATTAGAATATATTTACTTATTATTTACAATAATATATAAATATACGCATATATTTACTTATTATTTACAATAATATATAAATATACGCAATATATTTATATATATATAATTTGTTAAAATTAATATTAGTTGAATTTGAGAAAATAAAATATATATATATATATATATATATATATATATATGTATATATTTATTCTTTCATTTGTTAATCGTGGTTGCGTTGACAGATATATTTAACGTGTATTTGGATGCATTTAGATTTAGATAGCCATTATTGATACAAAAATCGCAAAAGACGGAAGATTTTGAATATATATGCTAATTAATAATTATTCACGGCCTATTCAATGCGGTCCGATGACGATGTCGAGGAACTACAGCAGATTCCTCATCACATTCAAGGTCCTCCGCAATTACCGCCGTTAATCAAAGGGCAGAAGCTGACGAATGTGAGTAATATGACGTTTCAGCAGATCTCAATGAGTCCTCATATAAGTTTTCTTTTAATTCATATTATATTTGCAGTATCACACTCATCTAGATATACAGAGTGTCCTATTTTATAGTTTAATTTAGTCGAATATTTTTTCTTATTTCTTCTCTATTTCTTCTTTTATTTTCTTCTTATTTCTTTTTTTATTGTATTATCCCAAGTCGTAGTAAGCGATACGTCATGTTGACGTTAAATGACGTCTTATTTGCTACTTATGGAATATTTCCTTTTATTTTCTTTATACATTTTTTAATTATTCCATCATTTGCATTAAATAATAGTAATTATTATATTATGTAAAATTGTTATATATGTTAGTAATGTAATTAAAATAAATTTAATAAAAAATATAAATAAAATTAATGAACAAAATTAGTTAAAATAATTCAAATATAATTCTCAAATTAACAGATTAATTTTAATTCTAGGGACCGTACACCATTACGGTGACTGATGAAATGGTAGCGCAAAGAGAAAGGGAGAACCTGGAGCTGTACAAAGCGTGGGTACGAGAACAACGTCGAAGGAATATATTACCAGAAGAGGAGGCCGATGAATATATCGGCGACTTCAAGGAAGCCATGGTTAGACGGAGCTTTATCCGCAAGGTCTTTTGCCTCCTTACGCTGCAATTGACATTTACCATCCTCGTCATATCTATCTTTATGTTCATGTGAGTAAGAATATCCGCGGAATAAGGATCTATCTATACTTGCGATTGAAATATTTTTTCTCTTTATAACTCCTTTTTAGTTTCTATTTTTTATAATTTTGTTTACTTTGATCTTCATAAAAATATTTATATACATGTAGTAAACTGATATGTCATTAAACATCAAAATGACGTCATTAAACGTCAAAATGACGTCGAATGACTGTTGTCTTCTTTCTAGCTCTTTCTATATATATAATTTCTATTTTTTCTAATTTTGTTTACTTTGATCTTCATAAAAATACTTAAAGTATAGCAAACTGATATGTCATTAAACATCATTCGACGTCAAAATGATGTCACTTTGACATTTAATCACTTTGACGTCAGTCTGCTACTTGGGTAATCTTTGAGGATTATGACATGATTTTTCAAATTATTTTCCAGACACGAAGCACAAAAGTTTATGATACTGTATTGGTATCTATGGATCGTCGCCATGTAAGGATTTCTTCGCTACTTGTATATACAATTTGTATGTTTTATTATAGTATTAAGTGAAAAAAGATAGAGAACGAAAGAGAAGAAACTATTATATTTTTCTTATTTTTTTTCATTTTCTTCTTATTTTTTTCTTATTTTCTTCTTTTTTTTATTTCTTCTTTTATTTTCTTATTATTGTCTTTTTATTTTTCTTTTATTTTCTTAAATACAATGCTCTACAATAGAGTTGACACACAAAAGAAATGCAATATTTTCCAAAAGTTTCTTATATCAAGTGAAAGAAAATAGAGAATGAAAGAGAAGAAACTATGTTTTTTTCTCCTATTTATTCTTTTTTTATTTTCGTATTTTTCTCCTTTTTCTTTTTATTTTCTTCTTAAATACAACACTCTACAATAGAGTTAAACATGGAAGAAATGCATAATTATATAAAAAATTGCTTTTATTTTGATATATATATATATATATATATATATATATATATATCAAAATAAAAGCAATTTTTTACAAACGGATAATTTGCATATAATAATGTAAAAAATAGACATACACTACCGCTCAAAAGTATTTGCTCACCTAGATAAATTGTGTTTAAATGACTATAAATAAATAAAATTTGTCTATTACTCTTTCCAGTCTTATGAAATTCGATAATTATGCCTTTCTTCTTTTCAGTTAATTTTTTTTTACCATTTTAATATCACGTGGAAGAAAAAAAACAGAAAACTATTTTTGCAAAATATGCGTTGAAAGATGTCTGTTCAAATGGCAGCAAATAACTGACACAAATCTATATTTGCTCACGTCTCTGTAGTAAAAACTTAAAAGTACTCATGCTAAGAAAAGGAGTCATAAATATTTTATTTGACTTTATAGCTATCTGTTAGTAAACATGAAGTTTTCGAGTTTTCTCTTAAATTAAGGGTGGGCAACACTTTTGAGTGGTAGTGTATATGTATAATACGTAATATAATGTATATTTCTGTGTTGTTATACAAAAGTATATTCATTTTTTTCTATTCTATTTGAACTCTAAATCTAATGATAAAAATATCTTCTCAATCTTCAGGGTCTTCTTTATCATTGGTTATTGCGCTGTAGCCTGTTCCGTGCACGCCAGGCGAACACCTCCGTACAATTACATATGCCTCTGTCTATTGGTAAACAATTTTGAATCTCAGATTTTTCCCTCACAATAGGAATAATCGATGTAAATTAATCCTGGATGAAATGCCACGTCGCAGACGCTGGGAATGTCGTACCTGGCCGCCTTCGTCTCCGTGTTTTACAGCATCGAGGTGATCCTCATTGTTATGGGGATGACCGCGATCGTCACGACGACAATAGCCCTCATAGCGACGTTCTCCAAGGTGGAAAATACTCTATTAGAGTCTTAATATTCTATATACTTTCTTAAATTTGTGCCTTTAATACGTAATGTACCCCAGAAGTAACAAGAATGATTTTTCTAGGCTCCTCAGAAGGGCTGGGTGAGGAAAATGGGGGTTCAGGGAATTGAGGGGAAACTTCAAATATACGGTCGGATCTTTCATATTGTCAGCTGAGGCCTTTTGAATAGTCGGCAGGTCTGTTCTTTTCAGCTGAACTGGCTGCATTGGTTCAGAGTTTATCTCTTTCCTTCCAATGTGGAGTAAAAAGGATAAATTCTGAACTAGTGCAGCTATAATTTAGCTAGAAAGAACAGACCTAATATGTTGCAGAAGTACACTTTTATTTTTAAACAGCCTCAGGAAAAGATATTGAGGATAGTATGGGTGAGCTGCTGTCGTCAGCCCAAGTTTTTCAGTTTTCAACAGCTGACGCTTTTTCATTCTTGAAGGTTTGGGTTATCTGAAAACTTGGGCTGATGACAAAACAGCTTCCTCATACTATCTTCAACATCTTCAGCGTTTCTGAAGCTGTTTTTAATGTTTTAATAAATTTAGTAAAATTTAATAAATTTAATAATTTTTAATCAATTTAATTTAATGTACCGACTATTCAAAAAACTCGGATCTAACTGAGAAGGATCCAACCTGAGATCCCCCCTCAATTACTTCAACTTTTTGAGGAGCGTAAAAAAATAATTCTCATTACTTTTGAGACACACGATGAATAATTAATTTTAATATTTAATTGCTAATTAGATGACTTATTAGATTTATATATCACTTCTCTTCAATTTGATTTCTATATAAGTATAATTTTTAAATTTATTTTATATATTAAGTACGACGTTGATCGAAATGTGAAGAATATATATAAAATGAAGATTATTATAACAAAAATTATTGTTACATTATGACATGATTATAGTTTGACCTGACAATGAGACCAGGCTTATTAATGATAATCGGATTGGTTTCGATTGTGGCTATTTTTACGGTATTAATAATCCTACTATTCACACACGTAATGGTTTTACGTCTGGTAATCGCTATCATTGGAACGTTATTACTATGCTTGGTTAGTGCACAAATATTATAGATTTTTATGAAAAATATAATTTTTATCTAGTAACATATATTTTAATTTGATCTCTAAATTTTCTCACATCTCTGAAAATTAATTACAAGATGTACTAATTTATTATAATGTGTATATGTATCTTCTCAGCTAATTATTTCATAGAGGCAAATGCAGGCAACAATAGTTGCTTTCCATTTACATCAAAACTCAGATAAATTTCACTTCTGTCTTTCTTCAACATCCATGTTAAAGAAAGACAGAAGTGAGATTTGCATGAGTTTTGATGTAAATGGAAAGCAACTAATTTAGTGACAGATCTGCTCTTGCATTACACCCAACTTTTGGTGTTAGAATATATGTACATATATGCTTTCAACCTTTGATTACAATTAGGGTGTATGCGAAGACACAGTAGACCCTGAATTTACAGCTCTATTTAGCAGAAAATTGTTTCCCGATTATTAACAATTTTCAAGCAAATGGTTAGCTGGGTTAATTTATTTTAATTTGGAATATTTAACAAAATGTTTTATATATTTAATAATCTTATTACGCATATATATATATATATATATTATAGAATATATATTATCTAATATATATCACACACACACAATTAATAATATTCTATTAATCCGTGATAATATTATTATATTATTATAAATATTAATATATTATTTTCTTAATATATTAAGATATTTAAAATTTTGAATATTAATTTAATATATTCAATATAATATCTTATTTAATTATAATATTTGAAATTTAAAGTTATTTTGAAAAATATTTTTCTAAACACACCAATAAGTGAAAAATTATTGAGTAAATGATATAAATATATATTGAATATTAACATTTCATTCATTTTCAGTATTTGTACTTTGACGTGCAAACAATCATGGGTGGACGCAGAATAGAGTTGGGTCCTGATGAAGTCGTCTTTGCAGCTACACAAATTTATGTTGATATTGTACTGCTGTATCAGTACTTGTTGATGTTTATGGATTCTTTCATCGATAACATTAAACTGATATGACATACATATATCTTTATCTTGATGCTATTTTATATATTATATTTTACATATTTATTGTATACACATAATTATATATTAAATACAATATATATAATATTTTAAATATATTAAATATATTTTGAATATTTTAAAAATATTATTTAATATTTAATAATATATGTTATTTAAATAATATTTATTATTTAAAAATATTTAAAATTTAAATATTAATTATTTAAATTTAATATTAATTAATATTAAAAATATTTATAAACGAGTAAAAAATAAGTGAAAAGGAAATTACTAGAAAATTACATAAATACTTGAACTAATTTATAAATTATATCTATTAATTATATATTATAAAATAATTATTTTCTGACAAAATAATATTTATTTCACAAATATCTTGTATAGCAAAGACACGAACCACTTCACGGCTTCATCTTCAGTCGATAAAGAAATACTCTATAATTTTTACAACTCGCGAGAGATTCGTCTCGCTACTAAATAACAAACCATGTCAAACCGTATTCAAGTTATATGTTTTTTGAGTGCCGTTCGTCGCAGTTTCGAAAATTATGCGACCCTTGCTGTACTAAATAGATAAACTTCGAAAGAAAACTCTCGCATATCAAACGCGAAGGAAGAAACAACGATTCTGTCCCAAGTAATCAACCTAAACTTTTATGATCCCCATTTGACTTCCTGACACTCTTTCTCGATTGCATTTTTTCAATTTATCTGTCATTTTACGCGATATATTTTTTCTCTTAGTTTTCTCTTGGTGTTTTACTATTTTAAATTATATATTATAAAGAAAGAAATAAACGTTTCTTCACTGGTTCAAAAATTTGTGGATTAACCTCCTATTTACCTATATTTTGTAGGAATGAAAATGGAGAACGACCGATTAAGTAGTAAAGATACGAAGGAAGATAAGGTCGAAGCTAAGCCTAAGGAAGTATTAGGCTTGACCACCAAAGTAGCCTTGAATACCCTGCATCGTGATGTTGGACGTGTTTTACAGGAATACCAAGAGGATCGCAGAAGAAATAAGTAGTGTCTTGTACAGCAATTGTAATTGTTTCGAATAACAAACATGTATTTGTAGATATATATTATGAATTTGTGCTCATATGACATCCAAGTAGCTAACTGACATCATTTTGACATTTAATGATGTTTAATGGCATCATTTTGACATTTAATGGTTAATGATGTCATTTTGACATTTATGACGTTTAATGATGTCATTTTGATGTTTAATTATATCATTTTAATGTTTAATGATGTTATTTTGACATTTTATGACATTCAATGACGTCATTTTAATGTTAAATGACATTGAATGTCATTTTGACATTTAATGACGTCAGTTTACTACCTGGGCACCTGTGTTCACATTGTGATGACTCTTTGATGTTTCAGAAAGTACAGAAGTTGGCTGAGGGACTCTTTACACCATCGCAGCCAATATACAACGCTCTGTTGGACCTCTGCTTTTGCGCTGTTGATTAATGCTGTTGTTCTCATGGTCGCGTTCTTTGCGCTCAATGAATCATGGTGCATTGAATTTACAAATATCTATAAATATATATTGGCTATTAACTCATCCCTTTTGTTTATCGGATGATGGATGACTTCCAGCAACTGTATACGCTTAAAAAATAACTTGAAATTTTGAAAAACTAAAATGTGCGACTGCTCTTAGGTAAAGAATAAGAAAGCTAAAGAATATTCTAATTATAAATTTTATCTAATTTTAAATAACTGTGTTTCGTTGATAGAAGGCATCCAATAGCTAAAGTGATAAAAATAGTATTCTTAATAGTATCTTACTTGCATTTCATAAATGAGTATCGTATCATTATAGGTATTCTACACTGCCATACGAAGGACTGATAGTCTGTTGTTTAGTAGTATTCAATTTTATTTTAGTAATGTTGGATAATAAATTACGACACGAGGAAATCCCTCATAGAGTGAAGATTCTTCTTGACCAACTCAACGGTATGTATTTTTATTTAAACAATGTATTAAATTTATACAATAGAGCGCAATCTGTTGCTTCAATTTCAATTTAGATTTTGTAGCCATTTTAGGGTCAACTTTTTCAACAGAAATCCAAGTTTTATGTGCAAACTCTAAATTACTGCATTAGATATATTCTTAAATTTCTAGATTTAATATTTTATTGAAAATTAAATCCAAATTATAAATTAAAAATACGATTTTATTTGTCACTTAATCGTGATTATTGTAATATTTGTTAATTTAACACTCAAAATTAATATTGCAAATAATTTTATATTTTATATATGTCCCAAATAGCAAATCATTCTGACGTCTAATAATGTCATCAGTTTGCTCTACTTGGGATATTTATTTTATATATTATATCTCAGATAGCAAGCGTACGTCATTTTGACGTTTAATGACATCATTTAATGATGTCAGTCTGCTACTTAGGATATTATATTATGTATTTATTTTATATATTATATCTCAGATAACAAGCATACGTCATTTTGACATCTAATGACGTCAGTTTGTTACTTAGGATATTATATATTATATATTATATATTACAATTTTTCTAGTATGTGATATATGTACATTTCAAAATTGCAGTCGCGCGTTTAACATGCAGATGGAAATCTGAGAACTATCCACATCTGTGCAGTCCGCAGTCACCTTGCCTGACCCTGCAGTGGACGTATCGCGACGGCGAGATAGTCAACTTGCCATGGGCGTTATTGGTGGCTGGTGACGTGATCGTGATGAAGCCAGGCCAGCAAGCGCCCGGATATTGCGTCCCTTACGACGTACGTAACTTCCATATATCGTATTTACGCGACTTTTTAAATTGTCATAATTACATAAGGAAGTCATTCGAGCTCTCTAGCTCAAGAAGATACCTTCTGATGCTGAAATCGAAATTTTCAGGATCCAGAAGCGCCGGTTTTGCACATCAGGGAAACCTACAGTCCGCCTGTGCACGGCGCCAACGAGATCTTCTCCACGCCACAGGCCCGGGTACCCCTGAAGAACAGGATCTACAAGCTCCAGGAGACGCCATACCTGGCGAACCTGAGAATGGCCCTGGACCAGGCGCTCAATCGACCAGTCACCTATCACAATCGCAAGCGTCATTTGCTGATGATCTGCTGCATCGAGCACATCGCCTATCCGATACTTCTGATCGTCATTCTGGTGGTCAATCTGCTACGTTACCTGTATCTAGCGGAGTATTTCGGCACTGGCCACTGGAGCGAGATGTTCCTGCTGCAACCGATCGCCGTGAGTCTTCCGTTGCTGCCGCTGGTGTTTCCCTCCTGCTGGATATTCCTTAATTGTTTCGGTATGGCTCGCTTCAAGGCCTTGTACAAGCTCTATCTGTCAACGAAGAAGCTTCAGGTTGGTATTAAGTATGTAATTTGCAACTACATAGTTTTTAAATAGCAGCTACATATTTTTTTCAACTAGTTACATCAATTGATTCTTCTTTTTTTACGCATAAAAGGATTAAGGAAGGTCATCGAAAAATAAATATAAAACAAGATATTTTATATTTTATTCATTTTTTGATTATCCATTCTTAACTCTTTATGAAAAATAATGTGAAGGATTAATCTATATATTAAAAAAAAAGAGAATTCTATTTAAACGAATAGGTTGACTTTGAAATAACCTTCCAAATGACCTTGAAATATTTTTGTTACAATTTCAACAATATTTTCAACTATACAATTAATTAAAATAAAATCCTGTATGTATATTTATTACATAAATACTATAGATGTTTATCAATTTAGTTTGTAGATCCTTTCGAGGACGCGGATATTAATGGTCCCAATCATCCGGATGTAGTATACAATTGGCTCGAGCTCAAGAAATACTTTTCGACATTCTTTTCGGCAGGGAGCACATGATGTCGCGATCTGCGAGTATCTTGCACGTTCTAGGGTCTGTAACTGTAAGTATGATTACACGAATCTATAATATTATAAATACTTTATCAAATATTACAACTAATTCTGTGTACTCTTCTTTACAGGCCTTGTGTTGCGTGGACAAGAAGGGAATTCTCTCGTGGCCTAATCCCACAGCGGAGAAAGTATTTTTCCTACGTAACGCGAATAAGACTTTGTCGCCGAGCTCGAGGTAGTCATCTTGTAGTTGCCCGATATGCGAGATAATCCGAGTATCTAGAAGAATTTGATATTCCCTCAAGAGAGAGAGAGATAAAGGAATTTAACGTAACTTAAAAATTGCGCAATGAAACCGAATAGTAGCAAAACCGCGTCCACGTGACTACAGCCTTATTATTTTGCAGCACCGGCAGCGTGAACAAGACAACGGACAAAACCCAGGAGTCCGAGGAGACGAAGGTGAACACCAACAGAACATCTTTTGTGCAACATGGTGAGAGAGAAGAAAAAACTTAACTCAGAATTTTTTATCTTCGCTGAATTAGTACAGCCAGTTCAGCTGAAAAGAACGAACCTTGACAACTTCGACGCTTCGTAGATATATCGCACTCCACCGCCGAGGTGTTGGATCTCACGCACGACCACGCTCTGCCATTTCGGCTGCAGTTCGACGATCACTCCTGGCGGCAGCATCTCAACTCGCTGAAGCCGCTCGGCCTGGCGATCCTCCTCAATACGTGCAATATGGACACACAGGAACATTACGCGCAGTTCTGCTGCCACGTGACCTGCGAGGCCCTCTACAACGAGAATCTGGTCCCGGTTACGAACAGACGGTGCGCGTCCTTCATTTGTCATTAAGGCTCCCAGAGCTTTGCCACGGCCAGATTGTGACGTCAGAGGCAAGAAAGCGCACGGACTGAATCTCATATTACTCAAGTAGCAAGCATACGTCATTTTGACGTCGAATGACGTCATTAGACGTCAAAATGACATCTAATGACGTCAGTTTGTTATTTGGGATAGTCTCTTTAATTTCTAATCTCGCATACTATTAAAATGACGTTATTTTGATATTTAATGACGTCAGTTTGCTACTTGGGTACAGTCATTTTACAGCTGTTAAATGAAATATCTTTTCATTTAAAAATGGTGTCTAAGAATTTTGTGCTTTCTCGCCTCTGACGTCACAATCTAACATGGTCACGGTGAAGACCCAGGAACATTAATTTGTTATTTTAAAAAATTAAGCAATATATTTGTGATCGCGATTTCTCTTCATAATTTTTCGAGATAATTGCAATAATAATAATATTTATAGTGATAATAATTGTAAGTTTTTGATTTTAATATTGTTCATATCACATTAGCAGATGCCTGTGTGAACTGGCGAAGCAAATCGGCTTTCAAGAGCAAGCACAGACAATTTTTCAATTGGAGCAACAACTATGCACGTTTAGACACGTGGTAAGTATCAATCATAATTATATATTTGCATTGTATAAAATTAAGAATGCATAATTTTTCAAATCTTTTATGTAAGATTTTAATTTTAGTTTTTATTTTTCGGAGAGCATATAGATTCATCTACTGATAACATCAATAATAAAAGCATATTGTTTGCACTTATTTAACTTAATTCTTAAAGCTATTTTTAATTTGTTTTTCTAAAAAATAATAAATTATTTAGGTAATGAATATTTTTATTTATATAATTAATATATAAGATTAATACATTTTATATAATTAATTTTATTATTATATACATATCATAAAAATTAATTATATTGTTGATACATTATTATTATTATATATTTTCTATATTATATTTATCTACTGTAAGTTATACTACATTATATTATTTTATTGAACTATAAAAGTAGACAAGAACTAATTAAACCTTTCGTTATTGGTAGCAACCGGAAATGGTCAGGCGGGACATCAAGTTCGCGCGTTCGCTGAGCATCGCGACAAAGTTGAAGTTCCCGTTTCCTCACATGGTCGCCGTAGTCGTGAAGGAGCGCACTGGCGCCGGTCTACAGTTATTGACGCAAGGAACAGCCGATATAATTCTGGACTCATGCATCGAATACTGGGATGGTCGCGATCTCTGTCCTTTTCCGCGTCCGACAGGTACGTCAAGTTGTCGGAGGTATCTTTTTATATTTCTGGGAAACTTTTTTTTAGAGATGTTTAATCAATCACGTTCGTAATGCTGGGCCGAACGTTTTAGAAACTGTCCCTGACGCTCTTTCTTTTCATCGTCGCAGGAAGAAAGTACAGGACTTCTATCAGAGGACCAGTTTGACTTCCTACTGCACCGCGTTTGCTTATCGACCACTGGCGCGGGCCATCAAGGACAAGATGTCCGAGATATATCTGGAACTCCCAGCGGACAGCAAACACCTGTACACACCCCACAGGAGTCCAACCCCGCTGCCCTGGGACTTTAGAAATGTGCTCGATCCTAAAGTACGAGGAATACTCGGGCAGTTTCATTCAACAGGTTGTTACAATTAAGTATTTTTTTATTTTTATATTAATTTATATTTTAAAGTAATTTGTTTTTAATTTTTTTTTATACTTTAATTTTTTTAATAATTTAATAACGAGAAAAAAAATTATAATAGTTGCAAGATAAAAAGAGAATAATGAAAATAAAAAAGAGAAAAGATATAACATTTGATTTTTGTGTTTAATTTCGATATATATGCTTTTTCTATTTTTACTATAAATTATATAATTTTTATACTTTCTTTTTTGAATAAAATGTATGTTTGCTTTGCACAATTATTTCAACTAAAACATTCTTTACTTCTTAGACTCTTTGTTGTGCAATGAAAATAAGGATGATGATGTAAGCGATGTCGAAGGCTGTTTCGACGTTCAGTGCAATCAAGTCTTCATCGGAATGGTCACCATGCAGTATCAAGCACAAACGGACATGGTAACTATAATACAATTTATATGGTCAATTATTAATCGATTTTTCATATATATTGCATATATTGCAATGTATTGTATATAGTACTTTGTTTAGTATTTTACATATTGTGTATACTTGTCTTTTTGTTTCTTTTTTTCATTTTCTTCTTTTCTTCTTTTACTATTTTACATATATACATTTATATACTTATTGTTATATACTTTTTTCTTTTCGTTTTTATTTATTTATATATTATATATATAAAATAAATATACAATACATTTAAAAGAAGAAAACAAGAAAAAGAAAAGTAAAGAGAAAGAAAAAAGAAGAGAAGTAAAAAACAAGAAGACAAGGAAGAAGAAGACAAGAAAAGAAAAAATATGTTATATATTATATGTAATTTTTTCTTTCCTTTTACTATTTTACATATTATTTATATACTTCTTGGTCTTCTTGTTTTTTCCTTCTCTTTATTTCTTTTCTCCCTTTCTTCTTTTTTCTGTTGTCGTTCTTGTCTTTTAAATATTGTGTGTATATATGTATATTATATATTTTATATATTATATATTATATATTATATATTATATATATATATATATATATATATATATATATTATCCAATTAGAAGAATATACATTTAGAAGAAGAAAAAGAAAAGAAAAAAGAAGAGAAATAAAAAACAAGAAGACAAGTATATAAATTATGTGTAAAATAGTAAAAGCAAAAAAGAAGAAAAAAGAAAGAAAAAAAATGTTATATATTATATATAATTTTTTTAAATATACAGGTGCAACTGATCGAACAATTGGACAGGGCGTGCATAAGGTTCGTCCATTTCAGTAAGGAGAACGAGCTGCGCTCGCGTGTCTTCTCGGAGAAGATGGGTCTGGAGAGCGGCTGGAATTGTCACATCTCGTTACTTAGCGAAGGAGCCAGGTATCCCGCGTCGGAACACTAGCTTTCTTCTTCGATGTCTCTCGAATTTGTAATGGGTTATATCCGTAACTTTCTTTCCATCGTCTCGAGAGCCTCTAATCGACAATATTTTTTTTATTCTTTTGATTCCTAAGAGATTCTATTCCAAGGAGAAAATTTAAAAAGGAGAATTTATTCGAAAGATTAGAGGAGGGCGATTTAAAAAGAAAGTATTTCCGACCGAAGGGGTTAATTGTAGAGCAAACAGGCTGCACGCATATTAACAACTAAGCTCTTGTTAGAGCAAGCGAACTGCCCTGAGGCTCGAATGTAAGATGTATCCGTGTATATTGCAGGAGACAGCAATGGCTGGAGAGATTTCCACATTTGCGTGTCCCGTCGTATATGTTTGTCTATACGTCTTTTATTACCTCTGTTATATTACTGTTAATCTCGAGCTGCATGTTCACACATGTCGTCATCGTGCAGGATGTCTCGAAGAAAAATAAAATATATAAAAATATATTATTTATTTAATAAAGGAAATTGTCTCGCCAAGATCAAGAATTTCTAAGATTCTTAAAAATTCTTGACCATATAGAGAAGTAGATTTCATTTAAAGTCAAATTTTCTGATGGAAAGAAATATTTTCCTCCTAAATTCCTCCGAGACATTCTACATCTAATCTCAGATAATGCCACATGATTTGGCTGCAGTGTTCTAATACTGATACATGATATTAATATCAATCATTCTTTATTCGGGGCGTCGAGAATCGCAAGTATCACATAAAATTAAGAATACTTAAAAAATTGTATTTAAAATTTTGAAAATATCTAGAAAATTAAAGTATTCTTAGATTTTTTCTTTGAAGATTGGAACACATTTTTACATACTTTAGGTTTGTTCTTTTCAGCTGAACTGACTAGTTCAGAGTTTATCTTCCTTCCAAAACGAAGCAAAAAAAAACTCTGAACTATCACAGCCAGGTCAACTGAAAAGAACAAACTTTTTCTCTCGTGTCACTTTTTGTCAAATAATTATGCTCTCGAGACTGCGAGTCGACGCCCAGTTGAATCATGCGAATACACTCATGCGAGAAGAAGATATACCCGCTCATCGTGTATACTTGATTGTAATTAACACACACACACATGACAATATCAGGTCCGAGAGTCCAGTGGGTTGGTGGGTGAGCCAGGCGGCAGCCATGTCCTCACCCACTCCTTCACCCACGGCCCAATCTCATCAGCCTAATTACTCCTGCATGGACGAGGCCAGCCACTTGCTTAATCGTGTCTTACCTCGGTACGTTGCGCTGATTACATGTAGAGATTAATATACAGCTCGCTATATTATCAGATCAAACTTTTGCTTTGCTTCTAAAAAAACTATATATATATATATATATATATATATATATATATATATATATATATGAAGAAATTGAAGAGACTATCTCAGGTAGCAAACTGACGTCATTAGATGTCAAAAATGACATCATTTTGACGTTTAATGCTGTCATTCCATATCAAAATGGCGTATGCTTGCTACCTGGGATTCCAAGTAGCAAACTGACGTCATTAGATGTCACCATAACGTATGCTTGCTACCCCAAGTAAAACAGAAAATCAAAATGATATTATTTTGATTTTCTGTTCTCCTTGGGTACCTGGGATCCTAAGTAGGAAATTGACGTTTTGACGTTTAATGACGCCATTTTGACGTTTGATAACGTTTTGATGTTTAATTACGTCATTTTGATGTGGAATAACGTCATTAAACGTCAAAATGACGTATGCTTACTACCTGGGATGTTGATCTTAGAATGCATAAGCTATCTTGATAAAAGCTCTGATTTCGAAAGTTTCACGCGGAGGTGTCGAGATTTCTTCAGGGACTCAGAAGATGAAGAGAGAAATTTCATTTGAAAGAAAACTTGCTCACGCATTCTATGATCAATTCTCTTGGCTTCTCTGGTAATCTTGTGCTGATGTGTTTCTATTCGATTTAACTAAAAAAATATAGAAGACCTTGTTTCATCAATACGAAATATGCCTTTCGTTTTAGCACCAACCTAAATAACAGCCGAGCGATGAGTATGTCGGCGCCGAGCGCCATCAACACGGATTTCACGACGGTGAAATTTGACGACGAGACCACCGAGTGGAATAACACCGGGACCTCGCAGCCCAAGAGCGCGATGAGTCACAGGTAGGAAGAAGCGCAACGTCGCGCGATGTTAATGTTCGATTGGTGATTCCGACTCTCGCTGCTTCAGGGAACAGGACACGATGAGAAGCGAGGACAGCGTCCTGGTACAGAGCGTCGATCTGGGCTCGGGTCAGGAGGCTTGGAGGTCCTTGAGCTGCCTCACCGACAGCACCGAACAAAGCGCTCCGGTCAACTTTGACCTATCCAACAGAGTAAGCGGATTTTCTTTTTTCGATTAATTATATATTATTGCTATATATATAGTAACTATATAGTAATCAATAATTAAATATAATTATAGAAATTATACAGTAACTATGTAGTAATTATAATAATTTATGATTGTAGTAACTATCCAAATAGCAAGTATACGTCATTTTGACATCGAATAACGTCTTAGACATGAAAATGACATCATTTTAATGTTTAATGACGTCAATTTGCTGCTTGGGTATATAATGATTATAATCAACTATAATTATAGCAATAACTATTAATATATAGTAATTGTGACCGATTATAGTTATCGTATAACTAACAATAAGTAGCAATTTTAATTAACTATATTTTCAATTAACTATAATTGTAATTGCAACTATTTAGTAACTATAATCAACTATAGCTATAGCAATAACTACCCAAGTAGCAAAGCGATATCATGAGACGTTAAAATGACATTACTTCGACGTCTAATGGCATTAATGTGCTACTTGGGTAATAGTAATTCTGAACTATATAGTAATTACAACTATATAATAATTGTAATCAACTATAATTATTGTAACTACCGATTATAATTAACTATAATTAAAGCAATAACTATATACAAGTGATTATAATCGACTATATGTATAGCAACTATATAGTAATTGTCTATAATTATAGCAACAACTACGGTGATTGTAACTATAATTATAGTGACTATATCAATTATAGTAACTATAGCGATCGTAATTAACTATACTTGCAGTGATAGCAGCTATACAGTGATTACAATCAACTATACTTATAACTGTAGGGATCATAATTAACTATAATTATAAAAATTACAATACCTATAGTAACTATGCTCAGCTTTAATTACAGTAACTATATATTACAGTGACTAGATATAATTATATTACAGTAACTATATATTGTAATTATATATAACTATTTACTACATGTAATATGCTATAAAACTGATTGAAACTTGTACTGTGTAGGCTAAACTACCGAGAGGCATAGACAAGATACGTCCGCACATAGAGTTGATCGACAACGTGCCGCTGCTAGTGTCCCTGTTCACCGACTGCAACACCACGGTAACTCGCGAGATGCTGCACATCATGCAGGATTACGGCGAAGTTGTATGCGTCCTCGGCTCGGCCGCCAATGCCGAGAACATGCCGATATTTATGCAGGCCGACGCCGGGTAATTTTATTCCCAACTTCTCTGATCCACGAATCTAATAAGCTTCTCAATGAAAACTAATTTCCGAACATCTCTGTAGAGTGGCGGTGGAGCCACTGTATCCCCAGGTGTGTCAGAAGATGCCCGTGCTGGTGTCTACCACGGAGGACCAAGGGATCTCTCCCGTCGACCTTAGCAGGGCTCTCAACTCCGTCGCCTGCTCGCTGAGCGTGAAGCGCGAGGATCCCGTGGCGATTTTTCATCTTGTCATGGAGGTACGACGTTACACTTCTAGACCTTCATATACATTAGTCAAAAAAATTATCGCAACACGCTATTAATATCAAAATTTCCCGTAAATTCAAATAATTGTATCTCTGCGAAAAATTATCGTATTTGAAAAATTTTTTTTTGTTTTAAAGAGTGAAGTCTCTACTTTGAAAAACTTTCGTTCGATTTTGATTTTATCTTCTCCCCCTCTCTTCATCCTTTTAAAAAGTAAGAGTTTTTTCCAAAAAATTGTAAAATTTAACAAACTCTACGGGCTAAAATAAATTTTTTTCGCAAATCTAATCCAAATTTTTGTAGAATATAGACTTTTTCCTACAAATTCTTCATTAGCAATTTTTCGCGCAATCATCGTTGGTGCGCGTCGGGTATCGCTAATGCTGGTAATAAGTGCACAAAAATGCATAGATAACTTTGATATGTCGTAACTCTGCTAAAAAAAATAGTATAAACTTTGCTTTTTTCTAATTTATAAAAACATCTTACTTTTTAAAAAGGTGGAGAGAGGGGGAGAGGATGTAATTAAAATCGAATGAAAGTTTTTTAAAGTAGAGACTTCATCCTTTAAAACAAAAGAAAATTTCAAATACTATAATTTTTTGCGGAAATACGCTTATTTGAGTTTACGCAAAATTTTGATATTAATTGCGTGTTGCGATAATTTTTTTGACCAGTGTAGTTAGCAGACAAATTTGATATTCCCTTTATTATCTTATTATACCAATCGCTTGGGAATAGTTTGGACACATTTAGGAATAGTTTTCTCATAATTTAGGAAATAATAGTTTATTTATAATTAATTAAAATTAATTGAGCTTGTAATTGGTAGACAATAATTATAAAAATTTTTTTAAATTTTAATTAACGTGAAATTATTTAGGAAGCAAATCTGTAATGTTTTTAACGTTTGGGAAATAATTATTTAATTTGAAAATCAAATTTTAAGTACGCTTAGTGGACATCGATTGGACAAATAATATAAGTACGATATATTAACAAAAAATCAAACGTTCTTTTGGAAATATATATTTCCTATAGTCTGTCGCAAATATATACAATTGATAGCTCTTTAATGGTTTCGTATTGCTCTATTTTTTACGAAATTGTACACATGCACCCGTGTGCGTGTCGTGTGTGCGTGCGTGCGTGCGTGCGCGCGCATGTTTTCAGATTTCTTAACCCTAATACAGAGTGTATACTTCCTAGAAAACCCTGAAATTCTCAGGTAATTTTGTTTTACCTTGAAAAATCCTAGAATTATCGTGGAATTTGATTTGAACTCAGAGAATTTTTTAAAAAATTGCCCCTTTGATTTTAAAATAGTTTTAAAGAATTAAAATTCATAAGTTTTATATGAAGTATATATTAATATATATTTTATTATAATATAATACTACATTACATTATATTTAAAAAAATACTTTATTTGTGTTAAAAAATTATAACATATAAACGTATTTCAAAATTGTATTCTAAATATTATTTAAAATACCTTAATTTTACTTGGAATTCAAATAAAAGTAAGATTTGAGTATATATACATCCTGTTTAATTTTAAGCAAAAACGCGCCAATGAGTGCAAATTTATTGATATTTAAGGTGAAGTAGCTAAACTGATTATCAAAAAGATAAACTAAATATTTAGTCAATAAAGGCTCGCATAAATCCAAAACTAATAAAAGGAAATTACTAGGCCAACTAAACGAGCTGAAAAACAGAAAAAAATTTTCCTTCTTTATTATTAATATCATTCGCATACATGCGAATGAGATATTAATAATAAAGAAGGAAAATTTTTTAACTAACACCTGTTTTTCAGCTCGTTTAGTTGGCCTAGTAATTTTCTTTTGTTAAGATAAACTAAGATAAGAAGAATTAGAGATGAGATGAGATTAATTATTTTTTATAATAAAAAATTTAAATATAAAATTTATCCAACTAAGCGTACTTTAAACTTGATTTTCAAATGAAATAATTATTTGCCAAATGTTAAAAACATTTACAGACGTGCTTCCTAAATAATTTAACGTTAATTGCAATAAAACACATCTTTTTATTATAATTAATGTCTAACTATACGCTCAATTAATTTTTATTATTTATAAATAAACTATTATTTTCTAAACTATAAGAATCTATTTTTAAATATGCCCAAACGATTTCCAAGCGATTGGTATAATCACCGACGAGGTACTATTAAAGACCGACGACCTTACGGAAGTTTGTGTCGCCCACTAAATAGACCTGTCGATGCGGTGTCGGTAACTATCAAATTTCTATTTTATATATATAAATACTTATATACATTTAATTATTAATTATGTTGAATATAAACTATAATTATTATTTACAATATAGTAGAATGAATAAAATGTTCTTATTAGCTATTTATTGTCATGATTATCCCAAGCCCACCGGGCCCACTTGTTAGAGACAGAAATTTACCCAAGCCCCGACAGTCTTTAACAGTACCTTGTCAGTGATATAATACCGCCATATTGGGCATGTACATTGTACGGTGCGTATCGGATGCGCAGTATGCTCGAGTGTGTTTGCTTACATTGTACAAAGAAAAGGTTGACTCCTGTCCAACTGAGGACGAGAGCGAGGAAATTGACTTCTCTCTTCTCTCAGTCAATTCTCTCCGGAGGACTAACCGAAAGGAGACAAAGATCAGACCAGATTCTCACAGAATCTTCTGTAATTACATCCTGCCGCAAGGAGTCCTTGTCCGACTCTTACAAGGTTCTGCCGTTGAGTCCCTTTGTACGGCGAGGTGCATGAATTAGCATCTTTTGATATTTATCTATTTTATTCATTTATTTTATAAATAATATATTATTTTTTAAATAATATAAGAGAACCGAATAAATGTACATTATTTTCTCCTAATCATGAGCAACCATTTACAGCATCTCCTCTAGTATAAAAGAGAAGAGACAGCTGTATCGTACCAATTTACATTGAGACAATTCTATACAGTGTGATAGCTTCAGCCTTTCCTATATTTACATACGTACAGGCTCGTCATTACATGAAGAACCTATGGAACTGCCTGCAATTCTGGCTATGCTGCTCGGTCACCATCGCCATCACGCAGACGTTATCGGCATTCTTGCTGCTGCCGCCGCTGTTCTCCATCGATCAAATACTCTGGCTGTGCTGTCTCATCATCCCCCTTTTGTCGACATGCATGATTGCCACGCCGATAGACCCGACGATAATGCAACGCGCGACCGGGAAAAACCAGTGCGTAGTCAACGGAGAGGTGAGCAGGTTCATTATAATTACTATCTAGTTATTGTAATTGCTGTATTTAGTTATTTATAGTTACTATAATTATATAGTTGAGTATGATCACTATAGTTTTTGTAATTGCTATAGTAATGATTCCTATATAGTTACTATAATTATTGTTGGTTATAATCATTATACAGTTATTGCTGTAATGATTCCTATATTGTTACTATATTTATAGTCAATTGTGATCACTATATAGTTATTGTTATTGCGGTAATGATTTCTATATAGTTGATTATGGTTGCTATATAGTTATTGTCACTTCTATATATTTGTAGTTACTGTTCTTCTCTATAATTATAGTTGATCATCACTATATAGTTATAATTGCTATAGTAATGATTCTTATATTGTTGCTATAATTATCGTTGATTTTAATGACTATATAGATGTAATTGCTATTGTTCTAGCTAACTATGATTACTACATAGTCACTATAATTATAGTTGATTGTGGTTATTATAGTTTTTGTAATTGCTATAATTAATTTTTATATAGTTACTATAATTATAGTTTATTTTAATTACTATATAGACGTAATTGTCATAATTATAGCTAATTATGCTGGCTATATAGTTGCTATAATTATAGTTGGTTGTAATTACTATATAGTTGTAAATGCTATAATTATAGTTAATTACAATGGCTATATTTGCTACAATTATAGTCGATTGCAATTGCTATACAATTTCACTATAAATATAGTTAATTACTATATAGCTACTATAATTGTATTCTATCGTAATTACAATTATTGTAATTGCTATAATTGTGTTGTAACTGTTTTATACTTACTATAATTACTGTAATTATAGTTGATTATAATTATTGTTACTATAATTATAGTTAATTATATGTATTGTTATCTCCCAAAATATTTACTCTCCGAAATTCTCGCAGTTTAAAACTAAATATACTTTTTAAAAATCACTTATTCCGATTTTTTCTTATTTTCTAATTTATTTTAATTTAATTTGCAATTTATTCAAAGATTTCTTATTCTGCATATTTATTTTAATAGCTGACTTTTATGAAAAATGAAGAGAGATCAGAATATTGATATGAATGTGTTGTAAATAGCTCACCCTCTTCGTGCTCTGGTGCTATGGTAGCAAGTTCCTGCCTACGATGATCACAATAATTGTGTCGCAATGTGTCTCCTTCCTGTCCCTCTGCCCCATCTACCTGCCGCAGAACTCCAAGTGCCTGTACATATATCCGGATCCGCGGGACCAGATTTGGAGCGGTTGGGGCAGCAAACCCATCGTCATCTTGGTCGTGCAGCATTTCGCTCTGACCCTCATAGTCCTACACTTTGGTAATTATACACTAAATATGATATAATATATTATATTAATAATAATATTAATAATATGTAACATCATATTGATAATATATTGTAAATTTTGTTTCAAAAAAGATTTATTCTTATAAAATAAAAAACGATATTTATCAATTGTCCTTAATCGAAATATTTACTTTTATGTTTTGCTTCCGCATACATTTCCTTCTTTGGAAAAAAACCATTAATGATCTCATTTGAAACTTAACTTAAAAGAGAATCTATGAACTTTTTAAATAATTATAATATAATAATTTGATATAATTATAATAAAATAATATAATAAAATATAATAAAATATAATAATTATAAATATTTTTTAATAATATACTAATATATATATACTATATATATATATATATATATATATATATATATATATATATATATTAAAAATTAATATAATACGTGCGCAAAGCTCGTTAATTAATATTTATCTTTTCTTTTTCAGTTACGATATCTGTCAGCTTTGTACATAGGGAATACTCGATATGGAGGAAAAATCCCATGAATAATTCTACCTGGTGTCTCAGCGTGCTTATCGTGTAAGCAAAAGTTTCTAATCAAATTATCAAGGTTGTTGTTTGTAAAAGTAACTCTATCGTAACCAAAATGTAACAGGTCGATGCAATTTTTTGTTACTCTTTTTTTTTAATTCTATTATAAGATCAAGTTATATATAAAACACAAAATTTACATTTTTTAATATTAAAAGAAATTTATAATTTCTATATGAATTATTTAAGCAAATATAAAATATATAATAATTTTGAATTTTAAGATCTTAATTAGAAGAAACTTTTTTCAAAAATATTGCAATATAATTGCGAGGAAATTTTTTTAAGAATTCAAATTTTTGTAACATGAATAAACAAAAACTTTTCTTAATTTTCCTTATAAACATATATATTATATATATAAATATATATATATATATATATATTATATATATCCTTATAAATATATAAAATATATATCTTTTGTGCATCTTTAATTTGTCAAATTTTAACAAGTCAAATTTTAAGAATTCTTAGCGTGTGTCTTCTCGCTTCTGACGTCACAATTCCAACATCGATTGGTCTTAAAATAAAATTATATAAAAATTGTTTACTAATAAAAGAATTTGTGATTGATCATTTGTATTTTGTTATTATAGATTATGCGTGCAGGCGGCATTTTCCGGCGTAGTGTTCCGCAGATTTTGGCGAGAAGAGGGCAAAAGAATGGAGAACTTCCCGACAAACGTCCCGTTGTTCCTTTTAATCTCTATTCCGCTGACGTTCGCGATCAACGAATTAATTAAGTGGCAAGAAATTAAGTAAGTTTAGCTTCTTACACATTCATAAAATAAAGCTGCAACCATAATTCGTTAAATTAATTATTAATTAATAATACTTATTAATTAATTATTAATTAATTTTCAGGGTCAACGTTAGGTATCAAAAGAGAGCACGTCTAGAATTCGGCACAAAGCTGGGAATGAATTCGCCATTTTAGTTCAATTCGCGCATTGTTGTTTGTCTTCAAAGTATACAACACAAAAATGTTTAAAAAAGAAATACGGGTATAATATTAAATATATTATAATTTAATTAATTAATTGGAAGATTAAATTAGACAATCTAACTTAACCTGAGATTAAGTTAGGTAATCTAACACATGTTAAGAACCAACGCAGATAAAAGTGAGCGTAATACAATTCCCATTTGTATATAATACTATAAATATATATGCATTACAATTTATATAAAGTCTATATATATATATATATATATATATATATATATGTATGTATAAGTTTGTATTATTTAGACCCTCACATATATTTACAGTATTTATAGAAGAAACACTTGTAAGCACTTTTATCTGCGTTGTAACTTATAGTCTGTTCAACAGATCTTGAATAGATATCTTAGAGCCATAAATATATAGAAATAATTAAAAAAGTATTGTACTGATATTACATTTCAGTTGTTCCAAGCAGGGATTATTTAGGACAGAAATTCATTATATCTTATAATTTTTAATCACGTGTCAAATATTGCCAAATAATGAAAAACAGAGCACTGGTATTTTTCTATAGCGACGTATAAATTATAATAATTTACGATGTGACGATGAACAAAGGCAAAGTCATCAATTACGAGCTTAAATGAGTTGTAATTTATAATAATAACGAAAAATCTGAGAATAATAATGCTGAAAGACTTATTTTTTCCAAGATCTGCAAGTACCTGATAAGTCTGAGGCATCTTGTGTTTGGTGATCTTTTGTTAGTGCTACGTAGTATGCTAACTTGTACATAAATGTTCCTGTTGTGATAGTAATTTATTTGTATTTAGCGCGATTTATAGAGATTAGGAAAGCGATTTTAGCGAATTTTAAATGTACTCGGCAAGAGATTGTGACTTTTATCCTAAGAAAAAAAAAGAAAGTTTGAATTCTTGGAGAAATATCTCGCTGGTACGAGGTTCTTTGGTTGTGAGATAATCCTCAGTCAGATATTTCGATCGTACAAATTTGTCGATTTTCTCGCGAGGAAAATGTGATGTAATCATCGAGATTTTTCTTTTTTTAAACAAATACAGTCAAATCTCCGCATAATCTTAGTACAAACTTTTATTCATCACTCCAACTAAACCTCCGCATAATTCTAATTTTTCCTCCTTATGTTACTCCATCATCAATTGAATTTTTTTTAAGATAAAAATAAATTGTGTGTGTGTGTGTGTGTGCGTGCGTGCGTGCGTGCGTGCGTGCGTGCGTGCGTGCGTGCGTGCGTGCGTGCGTGCGTGCGTGCGTGCGTGCGTGCGTGCGTGCGTGCGTGCGTGCGTGCGTGCGTGCGTGCGTGCGTGCGTGCGTGCGTGCGTGCGTGCGTGCGTGCGTGCGTGCGTGCGTGTGTGTGTATTACACATATATGTACCCATATACAATATATAATATATTGTATATTATTTATACAATATGCAATATATTATAATATACAATATATTATATATTATACAAAATATGTATTGTATAAATTATATTGTGTGTAATATAATATATATTAATATATTATATATACATATAATAAATATATTATTTATATTAAATAATATATTTATACAATACATGTATTTACATATATTATATATATTATATCACAAAATATAATATATATATTTATTTAATTATTTAAATGCATATTTGATACTCGTGCTGGTTTAATCCTTGTACAATGCGCAGCTAGGAGTAATCGCAGCTTGGAATGTAATCACAATCAACGCTACTAGGACACAACAGCACATCGTCGCGGAATACGTTGCCTCGTACAACAATTTCGGAGAAAACACCGACCATACGAAGAGATGATGACGCTGGCCAGCAACGATAATCATGTAAACGGTCATCGTTAGTAATCTCCATGCGATGTAAGTCCTGCTAGTGCGTCCAACGATATCTATCGTCCTGTAAAACGAATAGATTCCTGTTAGAATTACAATCGTAAACTGATCGAAAAGGAATTTTAATATTTCTTTTTAAATATAACAAATTTATTATATATTCAATATATTTAATATATAATATATATATAATATATTTAATAAAAATTATATATTAAATATATATAATATATTTAATATATAATATAATTAATATATATGTACTATATATATTATATATTATATATAAACTCCTAAAAAAGACGAGTCTAATCTTTGATCCTGAAGAAAATAAATTCGCGAAGTGACTTACTCATGTGTTTCGCTGAATTGTTGACGATAAACGAGCAAAAAGTAAGCCAGAACGGGCGCGGAATAAGTGTTGACGATTAAATATGCCCCAGTAACGAAAGGCATGTAGGAACGCAAACCAACATATCCCGCTGCGATGTTTATACTGGCGAGGCTATTGGAATTTCCCTGAAATATTATTCATGCATTATAATATATAATTATAATAATTATATAAAATATATATTAATTATCTTCAAATCAACTAACCAGAGATAGACCGTCTTATTTTCAATATCTAATATTATATAATTATAATATTAAATATTAAATTCTCTTAAAATTATATTTTTATATACACAATTTTCAAATATAATAAAAAAATGTATTTCAATATATTTAATATTTTCTCATTTATTTCATTTAATACATAAATTTGCTATATATTATTTAAATACATTTGAAATGTATTTAAATATGTTATTTTTATTATATTAAATTTTTCTTATATTCGGAAAAATATTCAATTATATATTTATATATAGGTATATTTTATATTGTATATAGTTGGGAAACGTACCTGATAGAAATAAAACACGTTGCCGAGCCAGCAGTGGACGAAGACGCCGAGCTCGAGGGTTAAATCATTTTCTTTCAACGCAGCATCGATCATCGAGCTCGCGATAATTTGCAACGGTAATAGGATCACGTTGTACGGTTGGTGCAGCATCGCCGAGAGCATCACCCAAAAATTGATGATAAAAAATAGCATCGTTTTCGCAAAACGTTGCTTGTCGCGTCTAATTATTGATGTCACTCGGTAGACAAAACTTAGAAGGAACAGCATCATTATTCCCCAAAACGTCTGTACTTCGTATATTCCACTGCAACAAATAAAAAATTACTTTTCAAATATTGTTTATTAATATTATTATTATAAGTAATAACAATATTATTATTATTATAAGCAAATATAATAATAATATTATTAATATAATGTTGTTATTATTATTATAGTTGTTTCGACGAATGATTTAAAAAATAAATTTTATTATATTTTAATTGTGTATAGTTAAAAAAAAAAAGGAAAATTATAATTTCCTGTAATTTTTTATATATAATTATGGTTTCCAAATTTCTTTATTAAATCACAAGGTGAATAAATTAGTAAATAAAGCTCCTGAATCTTCGCCGCGGCTATGTTAGATTGTGACGTCAGAGGCGAGAAAGCATAAGCTGAAAATGCTTGCTATTTTTAAATTAAAAAATTAATTTTTAAATTATAATTAAAATTAAAATTATTAAATTATTAGATAAAAGATAAATGATTATAAAGTTGCAAAAAGTTATTTTAATGCATTCTAATGTACTTCTTTGTAAAGTTGGAAAAAGTTTGTTGCAATATTAGCTATCAAAATGTTGATTACCCTCAACAAAATATTCTGATGATCTCTCTTATGTTGGAAAAAAAATTATTTTTTTTTGTTGAACAGTATTATATATTTACCTCGACGAGAAATATAATGGAATTCTTAAAACAGCATTATTGGTCATATGGCGAAGATATATACATGCCGCGACCGCCGTATCAAGCATCAACGATCGTAGTCTATATTCCTCATCTTCACATTCGTGCGCAATCCAGATCAGAAGAGCAAGCGCTGTAAAAAAATTAATATATAATATAATACCAAAGCTTATCTCGCCAAATATATACAGGGTGTCTCATTTTAATGTCCCACCCCAAATAACTTTTATTTTTGATTGTAGAAGAAAATGTTTCAGTTTCAGTGAATATTTGATATTAAAAATTGTTAACTGCGAATCTTTATAACTCAAAAAGTACTTGATCAAAAAACACTTTATTATATGGTTTTAGAAAGTTCTTGAAATAAGAAACTAAAGAATATGCAGTGAAAAATAAATGGTTCCATTTAAGAAATTGAAGATGACCTTCACGTGGCCTTCAAGGAATTATTCAAGGTCAAACTAATGGTCACCATCTTATGCCCTTCTCGAAACTATACAACTTTTATCCGCAACATTTTCTCACCCTGTATAACCTTCTCGATAAAAAAGAAAACCGTCTCACCAGTTAGAAGCAGGAGCGTCATCCCGATTTTGCTGTCGTCCTCCTTCAACCAGCGAGCTATATCAGACAGATGTGCCCATTTGTCTCCGGTGCTGTTCAGCTTCCGCAGAACTCTGTGTCCTATCAGTAGCAACAATAGCTTAGCGCAAAGTTCTACGTGGCGCGGACGCCTAGAATTCTCGTAACCGTGTCGATCCACCTCGGTTTGCACCCTTAGGTTTGCGCTCGTCGAGTCGCTATTGTACATCACACTGTTAGCTGGTGAAAGATTCAGCTGAACGACAGACATTCGAATCTGACTCGAATTTCATCATATTTTTATCTTGGAACATAATTATGTCTATACAGGGTTTGTCTATACAAGGTCAATATAAAAATGTTTAATTAAAATTCATATTTTTCCTTATTAATGAAAAAATATTTTATTATAATGTTTTGGAAAGCTCTTAAGATGAGCTTAGCTCTTAAGATGACAAGAATATACAGGGTGTTTCCTAAAAAGTGGGAAGTATTGGAATGGAGGATTCAAAACTATGAACTTTTTCTCTTATTCTTATGTTCATATAAATGACGAGATACTTCGATAAACGTCAAGATACTTCGTCAACGTGTTGAAGATGGTTGCCGAGAGAAATTCGAGCAATACCCAGAATTTTTGAAAAAGTCAGACAATCTATGATGAGACATTGAAGCCTGTATTCAAGTTAGAAGTAGTCATTTTGAGCACGTTCTGTAACCATAATTATCTTAATTCTATTGAAAAATAAAAAGCTATAACTTGAAAACAAGGTCATATTGGACATATGTTTATATGAACTTTTTATCTTATTTTTGTGTCCTGAATCCTCCATTGCAATACTTCCCACTTTTTAGGAAACACCCTGTATAATGAGAAATAGGAATTTTAATTTGAAATGTTTATATTGACCTTCAAATAACCTTGAAATTTGACCCCAAGGTCAAGATCAAGGTCACCATCAGATTGACCCCCTCTAAACCCTACAACTTTTGTTTGAAACATTTTTCTCTACTTCCCTGCAAAGTTACGAGGGATGACAGATTAAAATGGGATACCCTGTACATTCACCATGGATCGTATCCGAGCAACTTCCTGGAGTAACGATAGAGAAAGTACGAAATCGCACTGCACCAGAAGAAGTACCACGTCTGATGCTCCTCCTCGACGAAGCTGCTGCCGGCGAGGCTGACTATGTGCAACAACCCGCCGACTTCGAACACCCCACGTATCCTTGGTCTCTTCAGGAGCTGTGTCCAATTGTTTAAAAATTTATTAATTAAATATTAATTAAAAATTATTACTTAAAATTATCAATTATTATTAATTAAAAATTATATATTATATATTATATATTATTAAATTATATAAAATTTATATATATACTTATTTATATATAATATTATATATAAATATCAATTATAATATTATATATAAATATTAATTATAATATTATATATAAATATTATATAAATTTTATATTATATTAAATATTATATACATATTATAAAATTATATTACATATTAAAGATATTTCAAAAAAAATATTTTATAAGACATAAACATCTTTCTTAGCCACTCTTAATCAATTTATTTACTATTTTCTAATTAAATAAATAAAGTTTCTCACCTCTTTGAGAGATAAGTCGCAGTTTACGCAAAGATCGCAATTTATGTACAAGATGCTGACAATGAGTAGAACCAATAGAGCGTTGAATATACTCGTTCGGTGGAGCAAAGTCACGCTTTCAGAATTGTAAAGATAATATATGCCTAGGAAGAAGAAAAAATACACCAGAAAGAAGGAGACGCTTCTTTTATGCATCGTCCAAGCTACGTTTCGCGCGCAAAACATAATGGCAAGTATCTGAAAGAAGAAAAATATAATTGACAGATTTTTTATACATTGTGTTTAAGGCTCCTGGAGCTCTTCACTAATCGTATTAAAATTGTATTCCAATATGGAATTATTATTAATAATTATTATTAATTATAATTATTATTATTTATATTTTGCCAACCATATTGGAATTGTATTCCAATATGGAATTATTATTTATAATTATTATTTTGTATTTCAATATGTATTCTTTTTCAGAATCGTGTGCTTTCTCACCTCTGACGTCACAATCTAACATAGCCGCGGTGAGGACCAGAAGCCTTAAATAATAGAAAGAATTCTTTTCTATTATTCTTTTTATTATATAAGCTTTCTTGCAACAATCTTTCAATTATCTCTCTATTTTACTCACTTGACACTGGAAGAACACGGCAAGAGCCATCGGACGAAAGTCATACTCAACTATCCTGCTGATTAGAACAGCCTTCATCTCTTCAAGAATGTCGTTGTAAGATGAGACAATCATCCTGGTCATTTCGCTGGATCTGTCAAATGTCTTCAACCAAGCCGCATGCAAATTTACAGTGTTCAAATACTTCTGGTGTACATCTGGAAGATATCGTAGCAATGTTTTATTCATATATCCATTAAATCGGTTTCCAAATGCCTGATTTTTTAAATTTTTTAGTTTCTAATTCTAAAGAATCTCTCCCTCTCTCCCATCCTCCTCTCTTTCTCTCAAATTCTTACAAAAGTGGACTGTCAATTTCTTAATTTTTTCACGTTTATAATTTTACGTTTCTCTCATTCTTCTCTATTTAACTATTAATTTCCTTAATATATAATATCAACTTTCTCGAGAAAAATAAATAATGTATCAATTTATGTATATATTTATTTTTATCTAGAAAATAAAAATATTTTCCATTCGGACACTTTTTGCAGGACCTATAAATTATTCGATTTTCCTATTTTTAATAATTTTTTTATTTAGCTTTTTTTAATCTCAAAAGCTTCAATATTCAAAAATTAAAGTTGTTTATGGTATCAATTCCTAAAAAAGGTCACAATTAACTATACAGTTAAAATAAAAAATTGCTATATTTTAAATTAATTAAGCTAAGTTAAAAAGTTATTAACTTACCTTTTTTTAACTTTTAACTAATTAACTAAGTATTACCCAACCCTGCCAAAAAGTGTATAATTCTTAAATCAGTGCTCACATTCAATTTGCGACTCTTGATCGACGAGTTTCCGGAAACGATCGAGCACCTGCTTCGAATTGTAATGGAGAAGAAATAGCCGCTTCATATCATCCAGCTCGTAAATGCTGTCCACGAACGAAGAGCCGAGATTCCCGAAAGGAATAGGTAATCCGTAGATGGTCGACAGCGTCGCCGCGATGTCGAGTTGCTCGATCTCGACCGGTTCGCCGTCTTTCCGACGCGAACAGCGTGTCTGTCCTATTGTGACGAAGGGCACAGTTGTCTCCTGAGGTGTCGAGCCGCCGTGACCACCCGAATCTTTCATCCCGTGATCGCCACAGATAACGAAAAGCGTCCGTATTCGGTTGGCGTTCTAAAAATGAACCAGCCAAGATAAAAATTAAAAATTAAAGATAAAGGAGAAAAAAACAACCCAAATAGCAAGCATACGTCATTTCGACGTTTAATGGCGTCAGTTTGCTACTTGGAAAATAAATTTAACTTCTAATCTTCCCCAGTAACAAACTGATGTCATTAAACTTCAAAATGACGTCGTTAGACGTCAAATTGACGTCATTTTGACGTTTAATGATGTCAGTTTGCTACCTGAGAAGATTAAAAATTAAATTTACTTTCTAAGTCAATTTGGGAAGTAAAAATTTCTAATCTTCCCAGGTAGCAAACTGACGTTATTAAACGTCAAAGTAATGGCATTTTGACGTCTAATATCATCTGTTCACTCTACTTGGATAATTTTTTTTTAATCTAAGATAATAAATCTAAAATAATCTAAAACATCTAAAACATATATAGAGATAGTAGATAGCAAGCGTACGCCATTTTGACGTCATTGGACGTCTAAATAACGTCAATTTGACGTTTAATGACATCAGTTTGCTACTTGAGAAAGAATTACAAATTGAAAATTAAGGCATCTTTCGGACACCGACCCAATACTGCACTCTTCGAGCTATCTGATCGATGATCTCGTCCATTTCCTGTAGTTTGGGTTTAATCGATGGACCAAACGGACCCTCAACATGACCAATGTGATCGAGTCCCAGGTAATGGAGAATCAGCATGCTCCAATCATAGCTATCCAATTCTTGTCCTACATGTCGAGTTACATTATTATCCACCTGTTAATAAAATTGAAAATCTAATAAGTAATTGATCAAAAAACTAAATTAATTAATGAAATAATAATTTATCGTAATACGGTTTGTTGCCGGGGTGATCAGATTCTAATTACCTCTGTAAAGTCTGTAACAAAGAAGGAAGTAGTGCCGTCATGGCGCTCGAACATATCAGGAAACAGGGACAGCCAAGTGTCATCTCCGTAAAATATCAGTTTGTGGCCCTTATTTTTTGCTTGAAGTAACAAATTGTCGCTGTGCAAAGGTTTACTTCCAAAGTTCAGTACTATGTCTACAAAATTCGGCACTGTACCAGTCATCATAGCCTGTCGAGAACAAAAGAATTTTAATTAAATGTTATTTTCATATGAATAAATAATAAAATTACTAAGAATTCTTTTTACCTTAATTCTAGGCATTGTTACTGTTGGCGATTGCAACTTGACTCGTAACAAGCATCCTGAAGAGTTTGCCAGAAGCTTACTCGTCACTGGCATGGCAGCATTCCCTGTTGGACCTGCTATAAAATCCCATCGCAGCCCATCGATCACCATAATTATCAATCTTACTATCATCGGTTTATATAGTGTATGTATACGTTCCCCTATGCTGAAAACAATGTGTGTATTAATATATAGTTTTTAATATACATCTATAATTGCATTATTAATTTTTAATTTGATAGAAATATATATATGTTATTGTTATTTATTATTTATATTATGTAAATATATATATATATATATATATATATAGTATTTATATTTAATTTTTTATATTTATATATATTTTTTATTGCTTATATATATATGTATAAATATATATATTTTTAATTAGTGTATTAATTTACGCCTATAGTGACATTAAACATTTTTACTAATTTAATAGAAAAGAAATAGAAATAATAGTCAACATTAATAATATATTTTGCAATAAAACTTTAATAAGTAATACATTAAAAAATAATATATTGTAAAATATAAATATATATATATATATATAAACAAATAAAAATTAAAATAAATATATATTAATTAAAAATATTAAAGGAATTAATTTTGTCAAAAATTTATTAATACAAATAATATTTAATTAAAAATGGAGTAGCGCAAAAGTGAGGTTAAGTTAAGTTAGGTTAGGTTTACCTCACGTTGCCGATGCGATTCGGAATATCCAATCGCGAGGCGATCGCGTCGTCATGAGAAGCGATCGGGAAAAAACCGTATAAAAATAAAATAATGGAAATCGGCGCGATCAAAATCACATAGAACAACAATAAATTATATTTCTTGTATTTATGCATCTTGGCATTTTCGCGACTCGGAGCCGGCAATATCGAATATCGATCTATCGAATCGAACATCGATTTGCAAGATATTCTCGATTTAATTAATCGATATTTGTTCGAAATGCTTTGAAAGTCTCTTGATCCGATCTGCGATTTTTATAATACTTTTCTACTAATTATTGACGCACAACGCGTTGAGGAAATTTTATTACAGCTTTTGCGAATAATTTCCAGTCGAATATTAATATAGAGTCATCTATTATTATGAATAATAAAACGTATTTTATTTTATATCACGTGCAGGTCTATCCCAGGTAGCAAACGTAAATGACTTTTAACGTTTAAATGAATTTTAACGTTTAATGACATTGGTTTGTTACTTGGGATGTGATCTTGCTATTTTATGTCAATAGTCTTTATAATAATCTTTTTTTTTTCAAGTTATATACAAAATATATTCATGGTCCAGGTTTTTAGTGATCAAAGAGAAAATCCTAAAATTTTCAAAATTGTACTTTTTGTTTAAAAATATCAAAATTGGAAATGATAAATATAATAACAAAAAAGCGAAAAATAACAAATGCAATGTGTAAATCAGTTAGAAAAATTTACTATTAAATTTAAAATATGCTGTAATTGTGTTATTCAATTATTATTAAATTCGAAATTGATTATTATTATATAATTAATTATATACATACATATGTAATTGAAAATATTAATATTAATATTTTTATTATTTATATATTTATATGTAAATTTTTATTTTATATACACAAATAAAATATTAATATTTATATTTTTGTTATGTATATTTTTATTTTAATATATATGTATATACCCTTTATTTATTTTTATCTGAAAAATATAAATACTAATATATTTTCAATTCAATCACTTTTAGCAAAAACTATACAACCAAAAGCTTTATAAGGCTTTTCACCAAATATTTTTAATTCAAATTTAAAGATTTTTCAATTGAATATAAACCTGATATCAAAATTCATGATTAAATGTAAGAATCAATAATATGTATATAGCAAATGTCAAAATAAAAAAAAATTCATCAGATTCTTTTAATATTTTGCGACTTGGAAAACTTAAATTTCGACATATTGATATATATATTAATATAATTCTAATTATAATTATGTCGAAACTCCGTTTTAGAAATTGTTTAAAGGCGGATAAAGAGATCCATTAATGGAAATTTTTTCTGCTCAAGAGAAACAAAAAAAAAATTTTTTCTTCTATACTTAAATAGTAAGAATACGTCATTTTTTGACGTCAAATGACATCAAATTGACGTATTCTTGCTATTTACGCGAATGTAGAAAAAAAAATTCATTTCTTTCCAATTAGCAAACTGACGTCATTAAACATCAAAATGACGTCATTTAACGCCAAAACGACATCGTTCGACGTCAAAATGACGTCGGTTTGCTACCTGGAGAGAGAAAGAGAAAATTTTTTATCCGTGCTCGATGAAAATACGCGCCTTCATCGTCACGCGGAGTCAGACCACCCTATGTGTAGAAAGAGACTCGAATCCGGCCGCGAGGGTGATCAATAAGTGGAGGAGGAGGCCGTTTTGTCGACCAACGTAACGGTGACGCGACGTTAAAACCTGAGCTCTCCATACGTGGCGATGTCGTTTCGCGAAAAACGCGACCACCGTCTGTGAAATCATGTTTCGGTAATTCCTGCTAATTCCTGCTCGACGAGATTCCGGATTTCCTCCCTCAAGTAAGTGCGAATACATTCCGAGCTCTTCCGCTTACGTAAGGCCGAACCTCTCTGAGAACATTGAAAATATTATTCGGATTTTCTCGAACTCTCTCTTCCTCAAGATAGAATATTTCAGTTTCTAATTAATAAATTAATAAAATCATTAATAACATAAATATATTTATTAATAATAATAATAAAATTATTAAAGATATAAATATAATTAATTATTAATAAAATTTTGAATAATTAATATAATATTATATAATATTATATAATTAATTATTCAAAATTAATAATATATAATTATATAATAAGTATATAAGAATGTAAAAAATATATTAATATATGTATATAATAATTAATATTAAATTGAAAATTTTATTAATAAATTAAATAGCTCTTTTTGATGTTTTGCATGCATATTGTGCCAGAATTAATTGGAAGAAACGATTTTTTATTAGCGACAACATGGTATCCCTGGAAGACAGTTGGAAGGAGGCCACGGAAGGCCTGGACGATGCGATTTGCGACGCCTGGTTCACGCGTCTCCAGGAGGTTTACTCCGAGGAGAGACGCACATACCACAATCTGAACTCGCTAAGAGAGAAACTGAACCATTACTACGAAATTAAAGGGAATCTCAAAAATCCACGCGCCGTCCTGCTCGCTATATTCTTTCAAAAGTGAGTGACATATGTACTTTTAGATTTTTTTATACAGGGTGTAGGAGACCTACCGTAAAAAAAAACTAATTTTTTCTCAGTGAAAATGATGAGGGATGAGGCCGTCATTTTTTTTGTATCCCAAACTGACTTCATTAAACATCAAAATGATGTCATTTGCTACCTAGGATGTTATCAATTTTTGCCATCATGTATCTTCATACCCAAGTAGAACAGAAAATCAAAATGATATTATTTTGATTCTCTGTTCTACTTGGGTAACTTCCCAGGTAGCAAATTGACGTCATTAAACGTCAAAATGATGTCATTATAGACGTCAAAGTGACATCATTTTGACGTTTAATGACATAAATTTGCTATTTGAATTACTTCATCTATTAAACTTAAAAATTCTATTAAAATAAACTCTACCTGAATTTCACTGAAGAATATAATTTTGTAATATTTTATTTCCACAAGACTTCCCAGATAGCAAATAACATCATTTGAACATTTAATGACGTCAGTTTACTATTGAGTTAATCTAAAAATCCCCTTTATTTTCGATCACTTATAATTTAAAAATTATTGATGCCTCGACATTTTCATTCACTGACGAAAAATCGTCTCCAAATGATCCCAGGAGTCTGCCATTAACAGATTATACGGTATCTGAGACACCCTATGTATATATTTTTATTATATTAAATTGAATATTATTAAATCACCATTATTTTTATCGTTAATAATTCTGAAAATTCTATTTCTATTTCAGTTTTGAGTATGATCCCAAGGCTCTAGATGGCGAGGACAAAAATCTTGAACACTTCAATACTTTCGCCGATGAAGCTGAAATTCCGCCGGTTAGTATATTCCATCAATTTCATAATAAATCTAGTATCCAAATACATATATTAATATACAAATGCGATAAGCATATATATAATGATTAATACTCAAATTTAATTGTTTTAATAAATGTCAACCATCAAAGTTGAATGTATCCTTTCATAAGTGTAACGTATAATCTTCTTTCTCAAAAGGATGCAGAGCGCAGAGAAGAAACGTGCGCCCTCCTGAAAGTGGCAGCTACTCATAGCACCGAGGCGCATAAAGTAGGGGGTGCATTCGGTGGCGAAGATGCTCATTACTTTCTGGACCTGGACATGGCGGTACTCGGCTCCTCGCCGGACAGTTATGCCGAGTACAGGGAGCGAATACGGGGAGAGTATTCCTTCCTCAGCGAACCCATGTATACGGCGCTGCGACTGAAGGTAAAAATCACCATGTTCGATCGAAATATCCCAAATACCAAATTGACGTCATTTTGACGTTTAATGACGTCAGTTTGCTACCTGTGTGAAGATTAGAAATTAAATCTACTTCCCAAGTAGCAAACTGACGTCATTAAACGTCAAAATGACGTCAATTTGACGTCTAATGTCATGACGTGTAACTTGCTATCTAGGAAGATTAGAAATTAAATTTACTTCCCAAGTAGAACAGAAAATCAAAATAATATCATTTTGATTTTCTGTTCTACTTGGGAAACTAACATCATTAAACGTCAAAATAACGTCATTAAACATCAAAATGACGTTAATTTGACGTCTAATGACGTCACTCGACGTCAAAATGACGTATGCTTGCTACCTGGATTAGAAATTATCCAAGAAAAAAAAGATTTGATTTTTTCTTGTTCACGAAACAGTGCGATAGTATTTCTCTTCACGGATATTTCTACGCTTGTTACAGGTGTTGCAGAACTTCCTCCAGATCCCGAATATCTTCGCCACCATGGAGTTTCGCGACAAGCTGGAGGATCAGGCGCGCCAGAACATCCAGGCGGAGGTGGAGCTGTTGTCTTAGAAATCTCCGTCGTTTCGCTTTTGTTTTTCCGAGGGATTTCGAACCGCGAACGGTCATCGACCTTCAGCAGCCTCGAAGAAGATGCTCGCGGAAACCCTCTCGCTAGGATTTGTCAGGACTCGCTTTCGTCAAACAAGACGAGAGGAATTAGGAATTAAATGAAGGAGGATAGAAAAGAAAGAAGATAATGATTTCACGATGACGAGAAGGATTTCAATGCCTACCTCACGGAGAAAAACACTTAACGCCGGTTTCGCAAACACGCAGGGCAAATATATTAAATAAGAAGGGTATTAAAATCGTATCCTCTGTTTTTTTTCTTTTTTCTTCGATAATATGTCGAGTTAAAAATGATTTAATGCCCCCATGTAGCAGACTAACGTCAAAATGACGGCAGGCTGCTATCTGGGGCATCACTTTATAATTTTTCTTTTCTTAGTAACAATAAATTCAATAAATATAAATATAAAAATAATTTAAATAAAATTACATCGAATTAATTAAATTAAATATTTTTTTTTACAAATTTATGCAAAATTTTTTTCTTATCGCACAATTTATTTAATAATTGTTCGTTTCGCATAAAATTCTTGAGTTAATGCATCATAAATTTTACAATTGATTTAACGAAAAAGTTACCTGAAATTTAAGAATTGCGATTTAAAAATGCTTTCAATTCTTTTTATGTAACATAGAGGTGTAACACTATTAGATAATCAAAAAGTATTAGTCTAATTTTTAATCGTAAGTAAAATAATTATTTTTTTACTAGCAATGATTTTAATTTAACAATTGTTTGATAGATCGAAGAAAAATTATCTTGGCATTGCGATATTAGATGATGAAAAGTAAAATTTTGCAAAATTAATGAGACGGTTTTATCGTGACATATTAGGATTTGTAAATGGAATTGACGTATCGATAAATGTGTAATATGAATATATATATATATATATATATAAATATATGTATATTTTAGAGAGCGTATATTTTTCTCTCTTCGGCAAAAAAACTTTACTACTTTCGATAAATATTTAACTTTAAAAGTTCTAGAACTTTTGGCTGACGTTATAAAAATCCTCACAAAGAGATAACCTTGAATGACCTCCAAAGGACATTTTTATATTTTATTAAAAAATTATTAAAAAATAAAAGTTTGAGTATTATATTTTTTAGCAAATAAAAAGATAAAAGCTGATAAAAGAGACAACTGCAACAATTTGACTTTTACAGTGTAAAGGTAAAAAATTTATCATTTCTTACGTTTTTGTACATTCGAGGTTATCTTGAGATGCTTGAGAAAATAATTGTGTCAGTTTTTTGGAAATTTAAGCTCTTTGTAAAATGCATATAAATTTTAAATCATTTATCTTTGAAATAAGCGTTTACATTCCTTTATTTTTATCGATAATGCGAATTTTACGAAGTGAAAATTATAATTACTGCTATATACAAGAAAATGTTAAGGCTCGTATCAAAATGTTAAAAGAAAAAAGAATGAGTTATTGTTAAATAATAATAAGATGCGGCGTTTTTTGCGAAATTTGAGAAGATCGCCGATTGAAATATATATTACAAATAATGTACAATGGAATAAAGAAGATTATTAAATACATCTCACGTTATATTGTCCATGTTAATATAACATTTGTATTCCTACGCGAAGCAGAATAAAGTTGATTTCAGTTTAAATTTTTTCATGTAACAAAAAAGAAAAAAAGAGAAGAGAGAAAAAGAGCGATATCAATATTATTTACTGTTAAATTTTAATAAAAAAAAAATATAAATTTTATATATGTGATGTTTTATATAATTTACACTTATAATAATTTAAAACAAAATTTCGAAAATTGTAACGACTCGTTATACTTCTTGTGTGTAGTAAAAGTAATAAATTATATTCTTTTAAAATCAATAATTTTTTTAATTCATATTTTTCAAATTTTCCAAATTTTCAAATATTTTAAATTCATATTTTTCCAATTTTCAAATTTTTGAAAATTTATATTATTTCAAATTTTTGAAAATTTTTCAAATAGTGAGTTACATGAATAAAGTAACTATCCCAATTCCCTAGCGAATATTTATTTTCGTCCCTTCATCGATTGCTACGTTTCCAAGTAAATGACTGATTGTCGTTTACCTTAGATACGCAAAGGTACTCTTATAAGGAGATTAACTAAGTAGCTAATTATTGCAATAGAAGATAGCAAAGATTTATTTATCATCATAAAGATTGATATATATTATGCCGTCCCAACATGATGCAAATGAAAAGATTTGCGACGAAAATGAGGTAAAAATTTATACATATATATATATATATGAATAGCAGGTTTAAAAAAATATAATAAGGAAAGTGTACCTAAATAAGTGCGAAAAACTTTATAAGATAATTCTCTGTTAAAATTTAAAATAAGTTTTTCATATCTAAATTATATCCACACTTCTTCAAAGAGAGAGGTAAAAATTAGGCTTTTCTTTTTTTCTTGAAAACTATTGATTTTACGAAAAAAAGTTTCTAGAGCAATCAAGCTTTCTAACGCATATTTTTAAATAATCACATTTCCGTTCGATTAAAAAGTTCTAATAAAAAATTGAATAGAGGTTGTTTGGTTGTTAGTTTCATCCCTATACCGATATACCCTTATATACTAGGCATTAAAAAATACTAATAAATATCGTTTTTACAATTAGAAAGTATCCGCCAAATTTCACTTTTTTAATTTGTCCAAAATTTGAGAAATAAATTAAAAACCTAATTTTTATCTCCCCCTTTAAAAAAGTATATGTTTATATAAAACCTTTCTTTAATTTTTAACAAAGAATCATTTCTTAAAATTTTTTGTGTTTACTTAAGAATATTCTGTGATAAACAAAAATGACATAAAAAAAAAACTTAAAAAAAAATTAGAAAAATTTTTAAATTATTACAGGCGCCAAGATATCAAAACACTTACCGCATGGAATCGCGGAATCCGTTCAAGGCCGATTCGGTGGACAAGATCGTAAGATCAGTGCTGAATAATCGTCTAGACGAGCTCTCTTATGACGACACAACAGTCGCAAAATTGTGCGGCGACGTAGCCTCGGAGATACGTCGACGCGTGAAAAAACTTAATTTCGACAGGTAGTGTTTGAAGAAGCTGCATCCTCGAAGATTTAAATCTGACACGTTACGAAAAAAACGTTAGAAATTTTTTTAGAAGAATAAAATTAATTTATTTGTGAAATAAATTCTTCGATTTATTTTTAATTATTTAATTTTTTTTGTAAAATAAATTATCTAATTTACTTTTTAATATTATTTCCTTTAGATTATATAAAAAAAAATATGAAATTTTTGAAATATTTTTTAAACAATTTTTAATATTTTTGAAACACAATATATTTTAAAATTTTTTGTTTATCTATTATTACACTATATTATATCTATTAATTTATTTTTAATTATTTTTTTAATAAAATATATATTCTTTAATTTATTTCAATTTATTTTTTTCAATTATATATTTTTTTAGTATAAAAATATCAAATTTATTTAGTGTAAAATTATTAAAAGAATTATTTCAGAAATTATATAATTTAAAGAAAATAATATTAAAAAATAAATTAGATAATTTATTTGATAAAAAATTGAAATTGATTAAAAATAAATTGAAAAATTTATTTCTTAAATAAATTAATTTTATAAATTCGTCTAAAAAATTTTATAAAATTTTTTTTGAAAATATTTTTGAATATATTTTAAACATACTGCTATTTCATTTCTTCAGACACAAGATCATCGTCACGGTCACGATAATCGAAAAGGCTAGTCAGTCTGTAGAAACAGCGGTAGGTTTTCTGTGGGACAGCGAAAAGGACAATTATTCTCCCTTCTTTCTCGAAGGTCGAACTTTCTACGCTCAGTGCTGCGTATTCGGTGTTTATTATGAGTAATTATTATGCAAAAATTTATGAAAAGTTGTGATACATTAGTCGTTAATTAATTAATAATAAATCTTGCAATTAAATTTAGTATTCAAGATGATTCATACTAAGTTTTATTACAATTTATACATTCGTTTTTTTTGTAAATAACTATATAAAGTTAATTAAATTTTGAAATTTTTAAATATGTAATTATATCTTGTTATTTGTGGTATAGAAATTTAATTTAATATAAATATTTCTTTTTAATTTTATATTAAAAAATTCAAATTAAAGCTTATTTCAAAGATTTTCTTATAACCTTAATTTAAATTATTTAACTGAAATTTTTACTATTGAAATAAGCATTTTTTCGATACAAAATATATTATTCTTAGTATGTTCAAATTTTCAAAATTTTATCCTGTATCAAAGTATAAATTATTATAAAAATCGAGAATAACAATAAAAATGATATAAATAGCTAAAAATATATATATGTATTATTATAAATGAAAAATTGTTATTATTTAATTATACTTTGTATATATACACACTAGATAAACGTTATCATCTGACCATTGTTATAAAAAAAATGTCATGAGATACAAAATAGATCAACATCGATGTTACAATATGTATTCAATTATAATAAAAAGTATATATCACAATTAGATGTTTTTTGCAATATAATACAATATACAACATATGCGTCACGTGATGTAATTAACGTTGAAAATTCAAGATATAAAATGCGCAATTGTCATATATAATTGTCTATTGATTAGCGTGCGGGGGATTGCAATTAATTGTGTTTTCGCAAGTGATGAGTCATATAATGAAAGAGAAATGAACGAGAGCAAAGTTATCCGACGACGGCGAAGCAATCGTGTCGAGGTGAGCAAAACTCATATATATAACTTTAATTAACAAGTATATACTTGTTTACGTGCGTATAAAATTAATTGCTTAGTAATCCAATTGACTTAATCATCCATTTGATTTAATAATCCATTTCATCTATATATATATGTAAAATTGTTGTAGCAAAAGTACGTATTGCTGTTATTGCGACTTTTAAAAATGGATAAAAAATCGATAAAAAATTTATGAAACACACCTATTCAAAATTGAAGGATCCCCTCAAATATTCTCTCCTACAACTAAAACTAACAGACCTATTTTCAGCTGAACTGGCTACACTAGTTCAAAGTTTATTTCTTTTCTTCCAATATGGAGTAAAAAAGGGTTTGTTCTTTTCAACTGAACTGGTTGCACTAGTTCAGATTTCATCTTTTTCCTTGTAATGTGAAGTAAAAAAGATAAACTCCGAACTAGTGTAACCGATTTAGCTGAAAAGAACAGGTCTGTTCTTCTTGGCTGATCTAGTTGCACTAGTTCAAAATTTATCTCTTTCCTTCAAATTTAGAATAAAAAAGATAAACTCTAAACCAATTCAGCCAAAAGCAACAGACCTAAACTCTGAACTAGTGCAACTAATTCAGCTGAAAAAGATACAGACTTAAGATCTGTTCTTTTTAATTAAACCTAAAGATAAAGATAAAAGGTTTATTTTTTATTGCTGCACTGGAAAACTAGTGCAGTAAATTAAAGTAAAACAGAATATATTTGTTATATAATATATAAATATAACAGAATATATTTGTTTTATTTTAACTTATATTGCACCAGTGTGCACTAGTTTACCAGAGCAGCAATAAAGGACAAACCCAAACTCTAAATTGGTGCAGCCAGAGTTAAGCTGAAAAAAACAGACCTCATAGATCAATTCTGGACTCTAGTAGAGCCAGTTCAGCTGAAATAAACAGATCTATAGATAAACTCTGAACTGGTGCAGCTAGTTCGCTAAAAAAACAGACCCCATAGATAACTCTGGACTCTAGTGTAATCAGTTCAGCTGAAACGAACAGATCTAAAGATAAACTCTGAACTAGTGCATGCGGTTCAGCTGAAGAGATCAGACCTAAAGATAAACTCTAAAGTAGCGCAGCCGGTTCAGCTAAAAAAGCCAGACCTATGGATCGAACGATCAAGATGGAGAATGCCCACGTATCTCTAAAATCGGGTCGCGCTAACTCGCAGGTCGAAGAGATCGAGGTTGAAATGCACGTTAGAATTGCACGCACATACACACACGCGAGAGGCGCCAGGTTAGATGCAGTCCTCGGCTAGCGTTCGACAGGCAACCAGGCGCGACGATCTCGTGCAACAGTGTCAGACGGACCGCCGCTTTGAACGAACGGCGGCTTTGAACACAAGAACCTCGCGATCGGTGCGCGAAGGTGTGGATTGTTTACATTCCTCATATATAAGTGAAGCAGGTGACTCGAGATCGACCGCGCCCTTTCAAAGTTTCTTCGAGGTCTTTGAGCCTCAGCAGGATTCCTTGATCACTGAACATTCCCTAGATCCTAGTAGGTATTTCGGATCTTTTTCATGCTTCTCTCTAATATTTCCTCTTCTTTCTTGGGTTAATATCGGCAGCAAGTGGATTTTATTAATACTTTTAGTATCTTAGTATCTTTTCTTCTTTTTTCTCTGTCCTTTTGTCAAAAAATGGTAATGGTGATCCCTTTACATGTATCTGCGATATACACCCCACGTAGCAGATTGATGTCATTAAACATCAAAAGTCAAAATGACGTCATTCGACGTCAAAATAACGTGTGCTTGCTACCTGGGTAATCTTTCTTTAAGAAAAGATCTCAAGTAGCAAACTGATGACATTAAACGTCAAACTGACATTATTTTGACGTTTAATGACGCCAGTCTGCTACTGTTACGTGCCGTAACTCACGTTGCTATTTTATGACTTACATCTAAAAAGGACCCAAAAGAAAAAAAACTATAATAGATAGTTTCGCATTGCTAGTTCGAATACCTTCGATTTCACCATGTGTCATAAAAGAGAAACTCGCTCAATTTTTAGGTGTTATTGCACCAATATATCTGATCCATTTTTTTGTCCATTCTCACTCTGTAATCCTATTACTTTTAATCCTCTTCCTGAAACACTCCAATCCCGATTTCCCATACTAAACTAACGATATCATTGGACGAGACTCTAATTACTTTTTCACCAGTTTTCATGAAAAAGATCTTCCTTGGTACGTTGAATCGTTTTAGATTTTAATCGTAAGTCGTCTCTCGAAGTGTCAACCTCTCTAATACTTGCTAAATACAAAATCTTCTACACTTGTTTCTTCATCTATTTTAACATTACGTGGCTTCTCGCTCGTAACATTACCTGGAGTCTTTTTCATGGATTTTTCGGGTACATAAAATCTCTATATGATTAATTTTACACCAATTTCAGATTAGGGTTCTCTTGACAAAATACTCTCTTGGTGATTTGTTTTCCATAAGGATCGAATGGATTCGATATTGTTTCTAGTCGGATTTTAACCCGGACCTTCGGCAATAGAGAATTCGAATTTTTAACAAAATATTGTGTATTCTGTATTTTTAAAAAAATATTCCGTACTTTTTAGCTATAAGCATTTGTTTACTAAATTAAATTACCAAATTAATCACCAAATTAAATTATTAAATATATAGTATTATATAATATTCTTAATATTGTAAATTATTAAAATTCTAATTATTTAGAACTAGAATGGAAAAATAGATTTTTCAGTTCTCTTAGATCTACGAATATATCAGACTATTATTTGTACTAACATTTTCTCGATTTAGACAATTAGAATCTTACAACTTTAACTTTAAACATCTCGTTAAAAGCTTCAAAAATTATATAAATACATATGTATATGAATTATCGAACATCAATCAAATACTGAAAATATTATTAGATTTGTTTGGACAGCTGGATCTGAATTAGATACTCGCGTTCTTTTAAAAAAAATCTTCAATAATCATCATTATTTCTAGAACTCTTATAATTTTTCATCAATAATAATTTCCCAAAATTCTCGTATTCTGAATATTTAATCTATAATTTCCTAAAATTCGGAAATTTTTACATTCTCGCATTTTAAATCAAACCAAAATTCACAGATTCGCCTTCAAGCTGATATGAAAATCCTCGTCGGAGTATCACCGGAAACTCTCGTTTCGCCGCGACCTTGCGAAATTAACATATCGTTAAATTAACATGTAACATGTATATCCTTCGACGCACGCGAGATGTCTGATCTAATTAGAGACTCATTAATCTTTGGATGAGACATAGCCTGATAAATATCGTGTGCGCGCGTTCTCGTTTTCTCCTGCTAATAAATTCCTGTTATCCGACACGAAAATGCGCAGACGTTTCCTAAGTAGCAAAGTGACGTCATTAAAATGACGCCATTTTGAAGTCACTGACGTCATTAAACGTCAAAATGGCGTCATTAAAAGTCAAAATGACATTACGCTTGCTACCTGAAGATTTGCCTGAAAAAGACAAGTTTTCGTCCGATTCGATACACGTTCAAGAGAGTTGAAACGGATTTATACATCGATTGATATCGAGCGATACGGATTTCACTGGAAACGAACCTACTCTCGCGGGTAAAATAACACATGAATATAATTACACTGACTGCTTTCGTGCTCTAAGAATCATCGAGCGTGACCAGCGAGTCGTCGTCCTACTTTTGTGAACAATTGTCGCGCGCCCCCGCTATTTATTATTGCTGGAGTACGTGATCGGAGTATTTCTGTTGGAATTTTTACGTTTAATTTATTCAAGAATTTGTTCTGGAAATCAAAAAACTATATAAAAATCGACCATTATTTTTTAATTTTTATTTCTGTGAAGACAAAAATTCGAAATGATAAGAAAATTAACGAAATATTAATAACATTTCTTCAATTGTTTTCAATTATCTCTTCAATTGTTTTCCAATTATTCTTATTATTTTTCTTATACATGCGAATTGAAATTATATGTATAAAAAAGAAAAACATATATTTTATATATAATTATATATATTTATATTTGATTATAATGTATAGACTTTTCTTGGATAATCGACAATCTTTTCCTTGTATTCGTCATCTGTACATTATAGTTACACATCTGACAATAACATGCATTCCTTTATTGTGGATGTCATCATTACCGTTTCGCTGCAGCTGCGCAAAATTTGCAGAGAATATTCAAGCGTATCCTTTCTAAAATATAATGCAGTCAACATTAAAGCATCACGGTTTGAAGTCATCCAGAAATTATCTTCCATAAAGTTTTATTTGATTGTTTCTTGCTCCGATTTTCTCTTAGTTTTCATAATAATTATCCCAATCTTCTTTCTTTCGTAATATCCTTTTCCTTTCTAAAAGCAATTATCTCGATTTCTTTTACAAATCACGATGATATCTTTCCTTCTTAAATAATCTCAATTGTTAAAGCGATCTCGATTTGTGGCTCTTATTCTTATAATTAAATTTTCCTCCAATCGGTTTTATCATAACACTATTAATAAACTGATTCGTAGGAATTTCCTGCTATCTCAAATTCAAAATCGCATATCAAATTACCAGAATTAATTCAAAATAAATTATACACAGAGAGCAGTCATATAAATCTACAACTTCCAGAATAATAATTTATATAATAATTCATACAAAACATCAGCTCTATATTATACGAGAAAAATAAAGATTGAATATTTTCCTAGTTATCCCCACTTATTATATCTTCGAAATAACGCCTCAAGCGAGACGGAGGACATGGATAATGGATTTCACATTGAAATGAAGATTTGCAGCTCGATGCTTGCTTAGAGACGGTGTTGGCACTTACATGGTCAACCCGCGGACACAAGAAATTAAGCATAAATAGGCCAAGCGGTAGTAAAGTGTCATATCAGCGCGAAAGAAGAAGAAGGCTCTAATCGCGTTTCATTGCTAACCGCATCATTCGTCAACTGTTGCGCGTGAGCTATTTCTGACTTCCCGCTGATTGCAAAATCTCAAAGATAGTCATACACGTAACTGGAGGTTTCTTTTCTATTCCTCCATTGGCTGGACTGTGCACTAAGTTAGACTGACGATGAGAAAAGTATCCCAAGTAACAAAATAACGTCATTAGACGTCAAAATGACGCCATTTTGACATTTAATGATGTCAGTTTGCTACTTGGAATACTTGTCTCATCGTCAGTCCAGCTTAGCGCATTAAACGTCAAAATGACATCATTAAACGTTAAAATAATGCCATTTTGATGTTTAATGACGTCATTATGCCATTTAATGACGTCAGTTTGCTACTTAGATTTGGATTATTGCACAAGCGTGTTCAGCTATAATGCAGAAATAAAAAAAATCTTTAGAGTCTCTTCAGCCTTAGATGTACCCTGGAAACCGGTTTTCAATCCGATTAAGTTATTAGATAGACGATTAGAATACTACATAATAATACTACTCTCTCATACACGAAGTTTAGCCTTGACCTTCCCGCTGAACCTTTGACAACGTTCTCACGATGATTAAATCAGATATGCTTGCTCATCAGATAATTAAATCTTCGGTTCTCGCCTTTAAATCTTTGAATTTTCGCACGTTTTACTTCAAAATGTTTATTTTTTTCTAAAATTTTAATTTCTTCAGATATATCCCAGTATTTTCTCTCGAACAAATCACTCTATATATTTGTTGATGGAATTAAGAAGAGATGATTTTTCGAAACCCTGAGAAAGTCTGTCAGCGTTGTCTCGCTAATTTATAGCGTCTATAGCAATTGGCGGTTTATACCTGGCGATGCTCGCAGCAAAACTTGAGCGCAAACACTTCCGGTTATGCAATCGGCAGAGCCACGTTACGGTAGGTTCTTCACAAGGCTGGTAATAAATTTATATTCCGCGATGTCGTCAGCGGAGCCGGCGGCAACAAAATGTAGGCTTATTCCTGATGAGTGAGATAGCAAAGGAAGAGCGCGCTTCTTTTTCTTTTTCCGGTGAGAGTTTCTTCCGTTAAGATCTTACTCGGAGATTAACCTGTTAATGGCTAAACTCCTACAAATGCACAACAAATGCAAATTTATTTTACGCTTTCCATTAAATATCCAGACCATATAATTGCGCAAATTTCTTGCAGAAACGCGCGCTTTTCAAAAATTCAAGAAAAATTAGCATTTTATTTATACACATTATGCACATTTAATAAAATTATTCTTATGTTATTGCAGGAGCAGCAGCTTTTCCACAACACAAAATGTTGTCGCTGTTGCTGATCGCGTCCTTTTTGACCTTCTCGACCGTCCATGTGTCCCTCGCACGCGAGGTCGACTTCTGCTTCGCGAACGAAGATGATCCGTACTTGTACATGGCAACAAAACCGCGTATCACTTCGTTCACGGCGGCAAAACCCCATTTCAAACAGTACCGAGTAAGTATATGAACTGATTCGCGTCTTATACTTTAGTATCATCCTAAATTCTCTGATGCGACAAAAGCTGGATACCCAAGTAGCAAACTGACATTATTAAACGTCAAAATGACGTCATTTTGACATTTAATGACATTTGACGTCATTTTGACGTTTAATGATATTTGACGTCATTTTAACGTTTAATGACATTTGATGTCATTTTGACGTTTAATGACATTTTTTCTACCTGGGTATCATTTAAATTATGTATACATCAGTTTAAGAAGATTGATGAAAATAATATAAAAAATTTAATCGAATTATACTGTTCCGATTTAATGAAGATCGAATCTCCTATATCGATATCTTTGATAATTTTTGTTCGTATTCTTAATTTTTCTTAATTTATTTTGTAATTTAATTTTAGATTGCCGACCAGTTCAAATCTGGATGCTCGCAGCACATGGGACTCGCTGTCCAACTGTTGATGAAATCAACGAAATCGTTGCTTTAACCGATCTCAAGGAGCAGATACTTAACAATCATGAAACGCGTGGCGGTAGGTGTTTCCTTCAATATATGTATAAAGCCGACGCAAGTAGCAAACTAACATCATTAAGCGTTAAAATGACGTCATTTGATGTCAAAATGGCGTACACTACTTCTCAAGTAGCAAACTGACGTCATTAGACGTCAAGATAACATCATTTGATGTCTAATGACGTAAACTAGTTACCTGGGATGTTTTAATCAGTTTGAACCTTCTTGAACTTCTCATTCATTTCTCTTTTCTCGTAACGTTAGAGGGTCACATGTGCAATCGAGATCTGGATAATTTGCGAAGGTGGCAGCCGGATGAATACTTAGCACCTCGACGAGCGGAAGTCCTGACGCCGCAGGGAGTCGAGGACATGAAGCTGCTGGCGAGAAGGTTGCAGAGCAATTTTCCGGAACTGCTGCAACCCAACTACGACAGCATCACGCCTGCCAATTACAGGGTATTTTTCCCCTCACATATTTGGGCGTCGAAAAATTATTCCCGGATAGGATATTTAAATTAATATAATTAATAATAAAAATAACCACAAAAAAATAGGGACTATTATATTTTTATATTATATTTTCTACTATATATTATTACTACAATTTTCAGTTTCGCGCTACCGAAGCACGCGACAGTATGGCATCCTTTATGGAAGGTCTGTTTGGAAGTAGATCGGCCGTACTTCCTGAGGACAGTTCCCTTAACGATACCTTACTTACGGTATGTTCTTATTATAAGCTTCCAAAATAGCAAACTGACGTCATTAAACGTCAAAATGAAGTTTGCCGCCTAATGACATCATTCGACGTCAAAGTGACGTATGCCTATCTGGATTATATATTGTATGCTTCGCTAAAGTAACCGAGCCCAAGTAGTAAACTGACGTCATTAAACATCAAAATGGCGCCATTTTGACGTTTAATGACATCAATTTGCTACTTGGGAGATTTTTGAAAAATCTTAACAAATTTTTTAATAAATAAATTGTAAGAAAATAATTGTTTCTTTTTCTTTAATTAATTTGATAGGCGTACAAAACGTGCGGAGGTTGGGAGGAAAATAAGGAGCACGAACAATCGCACGAGAATACGGAACGTAGCAAATTCGATGCTGGACCAGAATTTCAGAATCTTGTAAAGAACGTCAGCCGACGACTCGGTTTTCTGTACAGCCTTTCCACCGGTACATCCACAATTATCGATTATTGCGTCGATTATTAGATCGATTTAAAATAATTAATAATATTAATTTTTAATGTGTAATAATATTTATATTATTAATAATAATTTATATCAATTATATTAATAAGAATAATTTAATTTTTAATAGTTTTAATAATAATAATAATTTAATAAAAATAAAATACGACATTAACTTCTTGAATTAATAGCAAAAAAATTAAAAATTAAAAAAATTTGTACATTCGTCGAATATTTGAAGAAACAATTGACATATACATATATATATATTTCTAAAAGTTAAACAATTAATTTCCAGAAACAGTCGACGCGATATACGACGCTTGTCGATATGAAAAAGCCTGGACGGTGACCAAACTTTCACCTTGGTGCGCCGTCTTCAGCAAAGAGGAGCTGCGGATCTTGGAATACAGAGAAGATCTCGATTATTATTACAAAGCTGGCTACGGACGAGAGATCAACACTCGTCTAGGATGTCCTCTTCTGCACGACATGATGCAACACTTCTGGTATTAAAATTTCCAAACGTTTTTGCCTCTTTGAATGTGAATTTAAAAATTCCTATTAAATCTTCCACTTTTATTTTTATTATATTCTGAATTTTTCTTTAATTTTTTTAGGAATATAGCGAACGATCAGATGTCGGGCGAACCGGCAGGAATCTTCTACTTTAGCGATGCAATTAGTCTGCAGAATCTGCTGACAGCTATGAATATAAACGAAGACTCGACGAAACTGACTAGCTACAACTATAAGGACATGGCCAGACGACAATGGCGTACATCCATGATATCATCCTTCGCCGGGAATCTCATCGCGGTATTTTACAAGTAAGAAAAAATATGCGCGCTTTTTTTATATATCTTATTTCTTGTGGAATAAGTGAAAAAATTAGCTTGAATCTAATATTTTTTCATATTTTTTTATTTTTGTTAAAAAAAAAAAGACCTTTTCTTCACTCTTTTTGAATAAAGGAGATTTAAAACAAAATAAATGTGTGAAAAATAAATATATAAAAATAAAAATATGGTATATAAAATAAATATATTAAATATACTATATTTCTAATAAAATAAATATATTTACTTTTATCTACTATATTTAAAATACTATATTTATTTTTATTTCTTATATGTATATTTTTTATACATTTATTTTGTTTTAAATCCTTTACTCAAAAAATGAGAAAAATCCCTTTTTTAATAGAAATTAAAAAAAAAAACAAATTGTTCAGATTAATTTTTTTACAAATACTTTTTATCATGAACCATTTTGGATCGATTTTTAAAATAATAAATTGAAGTCAATTGTAGATAACAATAATTAATATCATATACTTATTCACAATTTTTAAAAGCGCTATTTTAATTCAGTCAGTTTTAATCAAATTATTGTAATAAAGCAGCCAGTATTTTAAAAATCTTGTTTAAATCGTGTAAAATAATTATAGCCCACTAGCAGACTGACGTCATTAAACGTCAAAAGTCAAAATGACATCATGGAACATCAAAACGACATCATAAACATCAAAATGACGTCATTAAAAGCATCTTAATCTCTATATCATGTTGCAGGTGTAACGACAGCAACGAACGCAATAAAGTAATGTTTTACCTGGCTGAGAAACCGGTGCGATATGAGGGCTGCCAGGTAGGCCTCTGCGATTGGGAGTTCCTGAAGAAGAGATTCGGCAAATTGGTGTCCAATTGCAAGCTCGACGTCTGCTGGAAGTCAAGCGCAGCATCCTCCAGCCACCTGGAATCCATAGCCATCCTATCATTAGTATTCTTTGTTCTAGTCCGCTTTAGTTACAGCCGACGAATGTAAATAAGTTTTATTGTTAAATAATTTCACAGATATTGGATATGTTAAATTTTGTAAAAATTATTAAATAAGATAATATATCCAAGTAGCAAACTAACGTCTTTAGATGTCAAAATAATGTCATTTTTATGTTTAATGACGTCAAGATGACGTCAGTTTGACATTTAGTGACATCAATTTGCTGCTTATTGGAGAAATCAAAAAAAAAAAAAAAAATATATATATATATATATAAGAAAAATAACTATATGCAAAATTGCATATTAAATTCACATTGATAATTATTTTGCAGCTTTATAAATTTTAAATGTCACATTAAATATATTAGACGATTATATACGATAGTAACATATAATACATATAGTTTATATTATTATTATTTCCTAACAGCACAACATATCTGAAAGACATTCAGAGAATATTCAGAAGACATCTGAATATTCTCAGGATATCCTCTGAACGTCTTTCGGATATGTGTGCTGTTAGGGTTGTTATAAAATTTATAGAATATATATATGTATGTTCTCAATTTATTTTATTTATATATGACAAAGTTAATATATTTGTATTAATATATATTATTCATTATACAATATTAATTATATAGATTAAGACATTTTAATATAAAATATATTTATTATTACATCAAAATGCCTATATACTTTTTACTTATTATATACTTTCAATTTAATAATAATTTAGCCTAATAAAAGTTATAGTGTGATATATAGTACGTATAATATATTATATTAGTATTATAGTGTAATATATATTATATGTAGTGTAAAATAGTTCAATATATATATATTATAATATATTATAAATATATTACAAAATATATATTTTTTTATTATATATATATTTTTTTGTCAGAACATCTATTCTTGTAAAAAAATTTAATGACTTTTATAAGCATATATATATATATATATATATATATATATATTCCTTACTCGCATATTATTTTTATTTTTTTAATTATCAAAAATTATGATAAACATTATTATATATCGCGAAATCATAAAACACTTGTTCAAAATTCTGCAAGTGCAAATAAAAAGAATTTACTGAAGAATATTTATTAATTTCGAAAAGAATTTAATAAAATTGAACGTTGTTATTATCGGAAAAAAAGTAATTAAATAACATATGCAAATATATAAAATGCGTTACCTTCAAACTCTGCTTAAAGAAAATCACGGAAGAGATATTATTTGTTTCGCATTTAGCTGCGCCATTTAAAATCGACTGCGTTTTTTATATATTTCTTTCGATTCATCGAAACGTCATCGTCTATCGATATATCGATCGAGACAAATCGATGCGAGCGACGCGACGACCTCTCGCAACGACAGCTCCTTGTGACGTCAGATGACGTCAATACGTCAAGCATATGTTCCCAGGCGTAAAAGTCGTGTCCGACTTTCGGTGCAATATGTCTACGTAGAATGTCCACTTTTCCCATTCTGGAAGAACCTTTTGATATGTAATGGCTCTGTGGTAAACGTTTCTGCCGATTCCACTTTCGGAGTCTTTGTTCAATAAGTTTCAGAGTATCAAAATTTGCAGAGAAAATAATTATTTCTTTAAAATAATGTTTTTTTTCAAATTTTAAACCTTACATTCTCCACTTGGATTATTTTTTCTATTTCACATTTTTTAATTATTATTAAAAATATTTAAAAATTTATTATTATTATTGATTTATCTTATTAATATTGTATCTTAAAAATATTCTTGAACTTAATAAATAATTTCTTACATTTTTGGTCAAAAGTTCAATTAACTGTCAGTGTTTTATATTGAATTTCAATCTCAATTAAAAATGCATTTCAGAATTTTTTGACAACTGACCATGGCCAGTCCAAGGACACGACGAGTGCTGGGTGAAATCAAGCTGAAGGATGAGAATAACGTAAGATTGAAAATAGAATAACACATTATTACCTTTACAGATAAAAATCAGATGAATAACATAAGCTTGAGAATAGAATAAAACATTATTTCTATGAATCAAAATTAAATAAATAATGTAAGCTTGAAAATGGAATATAAATAACGTAAGCTTAAAGATAGAATAAAACATTATTATCTCTGTGAATAAAGATTAGATGAATAATGATGTAAATTAAAATGTACATTTTGTAGAAATGCTTTGAGTGTGGCAACCACAATCCACAATGGGTATCCGTGACATATGGGATTTGGATATGCCTGGAGTGTTCGGGCAAGCATCGTGGCTTAGGCGTACACTTGTCATTCGTCCGTTCTGTCTCTATGGATAAGTGGAAGGACGTGGAGCTTGAAAAAATGAAGGTCGGTGGTAACAGAAACGCTCGAGAATTTTTCGAGAGTCAACCCGACTGGGACGAGTCCATGTCTATCTCACAGCGTTACAATACAAAAGCAGCAGCATTATACAGGGACAAGGTGACGATGAATAGTTGAATAAATCTATTCCCAGTTGTCATCTCATTATTCATCTCTCAAACGTACATTTCTCTTTCCTTAGATTGCTACATTGGCACGAGGAGAACCTTGGAGTCCTAGCAGTTCAACAGCGAAGGACTTTGAGCCCTCAATATTCACTGAAAACAGACAAGATTATTCATATCAGAGCGATTTGACATCTTCTTATCAAAATATGGATTCCAACAGCCTAAAGACACAAACGGAATCTTTCTTTGCGAGAAGACAGAGCGAAAATGCCACTCGTCCAGAGTAAGTGCACTCATTTTTTTGTGTATCTCACATCAGAAAGACACATAATTTCACAATATTAAGTTTCATTAATTTTTATTAAGTTTTATTTTATATATTATTATCATATATTATATATTTATTACATATTGTGTATATTTGTTATATATTATATATTTAATATTTATATATATTATATATTATTATATTAATATATAAGTTTTATTAAGTTTTATTCATTTTATTAATTTTTTTTTCAGTAACGTTCCACCAAGTCAAGGCGGCAAATATGGTGGTTTCGGTTACCAAATGGATCCACCACCCAAGAGTTCATCCCAGGAACTATTTGACACCGCAGTATCTTCATTAGCGACTGTATGATTTTTAAACTTGATTGTTAAATCTTTATAATGCATTAATTAATGAAACAATCGAGAATTATTATTTGTTAATTTTACAGGGCTGGTCATTATTCTCTTCTTCGGCATCGAAAATAGCAAGCAAAGCTACTGAAAATGCTATCAAAATCGGTGGACTCGCGACGCAAAAGGCGAGTGTTAAAAAATGCGAGAAAATTCTTGAAAATCTAAACTAATTTAAGAACGGAGAAGTGACTAATATTAAAGAAATTCTGTTAAAATATTTATATTTGCATTAAGTTTAATTTTAATAATATTGACAATTTTGTTACTAATATGATATTTGGATTATTTTCGTATATTTATATTTAATCATTTTTATCTTACATCACAGACTTAATTAAATTTTGAATATTTTTAATTTTATTTCATTTTTCTTTGATTACGTTATTAGGTGCGTGACGGCACATTGTTAGAAGACGTTGGCAACCAGGTTAATCATTTGGTTACAAAGGTACAAAAATTATCCCTTTATTTGCTTTCTCTTTTGTTACCATTATTTTTTAAAACTCAATTATATATTTAAGATAATTATATATTTTATGCATATATTTACAAGGAAAAAATGAAGAATATTTTAAGACTCAATTGCGTGCATATAATGAAGAAGTTAATTATAAGGATGAAATCTAAGAAGAGTTGAAAATTAAAAATGGAGAAGTTTAAGAGAAACTGATGCGCAGGTAGGGGACATAACTAGACGAGGGGGATGGGGTGACATTGCCGGGACCAATTCAGCCGAACAGAAGCAGTACGATTCGACAGATCTGTATCAATGTTCCCCCAACAGCCCTAATGCGTATCAGAACAGCGATTCGATGCAGACAAATCGCTCCAACGAAAAATCATCTCTGGTGAGAAGCTCCAGTTCCAAGTAAGTCGCTTTTAAATTTCTAATAATAAAATAAGGAAAGGAACATAATTTCTCTCATTAAATAAATTTTATTAATTATATTAATATTAAAATTTTATTTATCGTATTGAATAAAATTTTAATATTAATATAATTTAATATATAATTAATCATTTTAATTATTTATTGTATGTAATAAATTTCAATATTAATATAATTTAATTAATAAAATTTATTTAACGAGAAATTATATTTTCTCTCCCTATATTATATTAATATATAAAATTATATATATATATATATAATATAGGGAGAGAAAATATAATTTCTCGTTAAATAAATTTTTAATTAAATTATATTAATATTGAAATTTATTACATACAATAATAATTAAAATGATTAATTATATATTAAATTATATTAATATTAAAATTTTAAAATTAATTAAATTAATTAATTTTATTAAAATTTTATTTATATATATATATATTATATACGCTATATTAATATTATATATATATTATAACAATAATATATATATATATATATATATATATATACAAATTTATATATTAATATATTAAATTCAATATAATGTAGGGATATTAAATTTTTTCGTGCACTACGTTGTAATTTTGCAAAATTTACTTTCTGCATAATTTATTTTAGGAGCAACATTTCCACTGGAAATTTCTCCAATGCGTCAAATTGCGATTGGGATTGGAACAATGACACAAAGCAATTAGGCAAGACGGTAACGTCGAAGAAACAGTCAAAGGCCGAGAAAAAGGAAGAATCGCTGATTAGTTTCGAGACAGACAATAAAGCACAACAAAATTGGAACACTAAAGCGGAAGACGACGCCTGGGAAATACTAAACAATTAATCGAACGAATTTAAGCGCCAACTTTGCGCGAATTAGAGAAAAAATATCTATACGTATTAATTTTTACGAATTAAAGAGAAGAGACGGATTACATGTTTCTCATAAAACAATCCATTCTCCTAATACTCGTGAAATATAATTCAATTTTATTTAATAATTCGACATACTATAAGTCGCACTGATTTTTATCAAGTAAATTTTCAATTAAAATAAATTATTAACATTCCAATTTCCTTTCAAGATAAAATAAAAAGGATAATTACCCCATTTTTTTAAATTTCACAATCCTCTTCAGTATTTTAAAACTTTGAGTCTAAAAATTTTAGACTAAAAAAATTTGAAAATTGTAGCCAAAAATTGAAAAAAATCATATGTAGTTTTAGAAGAAACGGTTCTTTGCTGCTTTTCTCCTCGGAGAAATTCCTGAAAGAATAATTAAGACAAAGGTTAATTTTTGATAGCTTTTCTTAGCCCTAAAATTAGTCCTTCGATACCCAAGCATTTAAAAATAACACAAATATACATGTAAAATCCGAGAGACTTTTGCATTATTAATTATATTATATACGATATGTTGTACTAGTTGATTTAAAAATTACAATATAATATATAAATATAATAAAGTATTTTCTCTATTTTGTACATTCAATACAAATATATATAATGTTAATTGAAAAAGGGAATGCATTATTATATACAGAGAAAAAATAATCACTAAATTGAAAAAAAGGTATCTAAGGATTAATATTCAACAAAACAAAAAACTAACTTTTTCCCGAATATGTTCTCCTGACTTCAGATCTGCTGTAAATATGTACATTGCTTAGATACTCGACAAGCTCTTGCTGCATACTTGGCCACACCTTATCTATTAATTCTGATAATAGTTTATGTAAGATCTTTGCAGAGTTGTGTGAAAGATGCGATGCAGTTTGATTTGTCGTCATCTTGTAAAGAAAAAAATATATTTCCCTGGAAAAAAAAATATTCCATCAATTATCGTTGAATATTCAATTTCTGTGGGTCTAAAAATTTTTACAGATATATAGAGTCATTTTAAAAAATTGAGCATAAAAAAATACAAATATATATCAACATATTTAAACATAAAAAATATCGTTTTAGAAAATAACGTTTCAAAATTGTTTGATTTTGAAGAGAAAAGATAATAATCTTGAATTTTAACTAAAATCATTAAAAGAAGTCAACTCTAGAATTTTTTAAATGGGACTCTGTGTATATATACATATTATGTTAAATATGTATAAATATATATATATATAAATAAATAAAAATGATGCGAAAGAAAATTAAAAATATTGAAATATATAAGAAAATGTGTGTATAAAGAGAAATTTAAAAAACTTTTTTACACCTAAAGTCGCATTCTTGATTTTCTTGTTCAGACAATGGATGCTGCTCGTACAAGCTAATAAATAACAATGCCAAGGGTACATTGCATTTATCTCCACACTCATCAAATATACTGCTGTTCAACCAATCGATTATTGAAGGCTTCTGATCAGTAGCGATCTTTGCCTGTTCAAATACTGACTGAATCGCAGAATAACACTCCTCCTTAGACATGTCTGGCAATATAGTTGGAGAAAGATCTGAATATCCATACTTGAAAACAGCGTTCAATAATGAAATCATGCCTTCCTTGTTATTGAAAGAAGGCTGACTCTTGTCTTTTTGTATAGTCTTGTTGCTCCTCGTCTCCATTTTAATCCTCCTTGCACATAATTTTTTGACAAGTTACTGGAAGAATATATAAATTATGTGAAAACTTATTGCAAATATAAAGAAAAAAATTAGAAATAATTCATTCTAAATATAAATTGCTCTAATAATATATATATAATAATAAAGATTTATGAAAACTTATTTCAAATATAAGGAAAAACTAAAATTAGAAATAAGTAATTCTAAATATAAATTGCTCCATTAATATATATAATTTATATTTATATATAAAGTTCATAAAATTAAAATCTAAATTTAACTAATAATAGGTAGCTCACATTTTTCACATCGGCGAGTCGATTAAATTAAATCAAGATTATTTCAAAGGAAATCTTTGTTTAGACTATCTGCAACAAAACATAGGTGGATATTCAAATACCTAATTTTATAATAAAGCAATTATGGCAAAATAGTAATTTATAAATACAATATAATGAAAGTAAATATAAATAAATACATAATTTGTTATTCAAAAGCATACATACATGGTACAAAAATACTGCGTGTTAAATTTTATAAACACACAGATGTTAGGTCAGATTAGGTTAGGTAATACATGAATTATTTTCTCGCACATGCGCATTAAATGTCAAATACAATATTAATAAATTATAAAACAATCTCTTGCTTTAATTAATTTTCCTGTAATTAATTTTTTTATGTACCTAAATATTTTATAATTTCATTGTTTATAATCCCTCTTACGTCACAACCGCTTCAACCAATCAAAAACACGAGGAATCGTTGCCTGTTTTATTCTGATTGGTCAATCATGGGTTTCGAAGTATCAACCAATCAGAACAAGAAATGTATCTCGTTCTATTATTTATTTACAAGCTTCCCGGAACTTGACAATTCTCTTTTTGCGACGAATGTTTGTCATTTTGTATTATAAAGCTGTCTAACATCGACGAGTGAGTATTTGAATCGTGAAAAAGAGCCAATATTCATTTTATTATATTTAAATACTCAAATTTCTATATAAAACTTGAGAAATAAGAATCTAACCTACATTGTTTACTCCTACAATTTTTCTTTATTAAAAAGACAGTGCATAAAGAATTTTAATTAAATTCAATATATTTAAAGAGAACATCTTACTTTCTATAAAATGTATATAAATATATTTTATAGTAGAATTATATATATATATATATATATATCCTAGATAGCAAGCATGTAATTTTGATGTTTAATAACATTTTGACATTTAATGACATTTGGCGTTACTTTGACGTTCAATGACAATGACGTCATTTTGACATTTAATGACAATTTTTCCATTTAATGATGTCAGTTTGCTACTTGGGATATTAAATATATATATATATATATATATATAAATCAGACTAAAAAATTAAAAAAATATACATATTAAGACCTGTTCATAATGAAATTCTTATCCCAAATGAATAAAAGTGAATTAAGATACCTTTTAAAAGCATCTATTGTAACACAAGTGCTTTGTCTCTACTTCTAGAAAGGAACGGAAGCGAGCCAGCATGCCGGAGCCTGTGAATCACCAGGTGAATGCCGCTCGTAAGACGTTCCAAACTTTGTACCAGATCTCCAAGCTGCTGAACACGAATCTCGATCCTACTACTCTAAGCATTTGCATCAGACTGTGCGAGAACGGAGTGAATCCACATGCTCTCGCAACTGTGGTGAAGGAACTCCAGCGAGAGGTCAGGGCAATGAATGATGCACAGTTAGAGTCCACTACCAGTAAAACGAGCACGACCAAATAAAACCAAATAAGTATGACACAGTTGTTGCCCTTCCACACGTTCTATAGAACTTGCGTGTTGTTTAATAAATGTTTTTAAATCTATGTGATGAGTCGTTTTATTAATGATACACTTTTACAAATGCACAGTGCATACTTAATATTTTGTAAAAAAAAATTGTTTACTCATAGTAAATATAAGTATTGAAAATATAGATTATTTGTACAAAAAAATCACTTGAAAACAGAAAATATTTGAAAAAAAAATGTAGGAATGTTTCGAGATTACAATTCAACCTTGCTCTGTCTTCGCTTTCTTATTGACTCATTAGCTGCCTCCTGAAGAAATCAACAGATCTTTTGTAAATGAATTTATAAACACTGAGCTTTATCAATATACAACATATCCTGTTACCTGTTGCTGCGGGTTACTATAAAAAGTTCGTCCTTCAAGAGTGAGATGAGACAATTCAGGCTGCTCCAGCAAGTAATTTTTAGCGTCAACGGCCTGAGATCCTTCGCGGAACATGTATATCACACGCTTTGTATCGATTGGATATCTGTAAAATTTGAAAAATTAATTATTTTCAATATTCTCACATTTTTTAATAGTCAATCAGTCAGTTAGTTTATTGTTTTTCCCTGCAGAGTTTGAAAGGCACTTTTTAGTAGAAGCGTAACACATATTTAAATATCTTATATGCTTTTTTGTTTAACAAATCAAGTGAATTAATGACATTGAATTATTATGATACTCATGTTTATGGAATTATATTATTTATCTTTGTAAATATATGTATGTATAATAAATAAACATGATTCTAAATTTCAATAAAAAGTAATAGATAAATTTCTCTATATAGAATAAATATAAACATACCGCTCTGCAATAATATGATTGTTCTGCAGACTGCTTTGCCAAATACGCATCACAACTTCGGCTTGCTCTTCTGAAATTTCTGGCTTAAGATCCACAAACATCATAACACCTTTTCCTTTCTTCGTCATTCTCATAAGACTATCTGGATTTGAAGTATCTACCTATATTGTTATGCAAGAATATTAAAGAACTGATATATTCACGTATTATTTACAATTAAATTGACAACTGTAGATCTTTGGCTGAGTAATAACTAGTTAATTAAAATTTCTTTGTTATTTACTATTATAAATGTTAAAAGAATTAACAAACAAAATTCTATATTAATGTTTTTAAAAATTAACTTTAGTTAATTTAATCTTAACTTTAACCGAGTTAATTTTTTGCTCATGCAAACTGTTAACTTACTAAATTAATTTTATAAGCAACTAATTTTAACTTTACATTGTTTTTTTGTAAGTTAAAAATGTATTATTATAAAATTAAAGTATTATTAATTTTTATGTTCATTTGTCATCAATTGTAATTACCAAAAAATATATTTCTGCATAAAAATCAAAATTATTTTGTTCTTTGTTATTATAAATTTTAAAAGAACAAACAAAATTCTAATTTAATGTAATGTTTTTAAAAATTAACTTTAGTTAATTAAATCTTAACTTTAACCGAGTTAATTTTTTGTTAATGCAAACTATTAACTTAACTAAATAAATTTAATGTAGTAACGCAATCCATTACTTGAGATAAATCTATCTTTGGACTGGGTCGCAAGTGTTCTGGTAGTTCATCAGGTTCCAGCGGTTCATCATTTTCCTAAAATATTAAAATTCGATATTTTTCAGCTTTTTTTTCTTAGATATTATAATCATATAAAGGAAGAACAAACGAATCAAGATTAATTGCAAGATATTGACGTAACAATGTACCTCCCACTGATCCAGCAGGTGCTCCAGATCAGCCTCCGTCATGTCTCTTATATCTTTGTCGCGCCATGATTTTTTCTTTTGCTCAGCTTGAGCGATCGACGCTTCTAATATTGTAATTAAGAGTATAGACAAGCTTAGAACAATCTTTGCTTCCATTTTATCATGCAAGAAGGGAGTCGTGTATCTATCACAAGTAATTTTTCGTGAACGTGTGCTATAAACATCCCAAGTATATTACTGAAAATTCAAAAATTCGAAAACATTCGATTAGCTCGAATTGACAAACAATTGTTTCATTTTATAATGAACTGTTTTAATTATTTGCATATTTTGTTAGGCTAGGTTAGATAAGATCGTCGCCGGTTCGCGAACAAAATGCAAATTAATTTATAGAAATGTAAAAAATTTTTTTAAATGTCTGATTTTATAACAATAGAAGAAAAGGCGATGAAAGTATTTGAAAAAAAAATATAAATGTATTACCACGTCAGTTCAATCTCATACTTGCGAAAGACTGTTGAACATTCCGACGTAGATGTTTACGTTTAAATAGAGTATCTAGATACATTTTGTGTATCTGAGTTTGTATGTGTATCTAGATACAAAACTTGCATGGTATCTGAATTGCTTTTTTCAGATTACATTTGCAGATACACTTTTACATATTTTTTTTAATAGCCCAATTCTTTAAATTTTTAAAAGATCAAGACTACAAAGTTATCAACATATCGTGTCATGTCAAATTTTAGTACCATGACGAAATAGTTGAGTGACAATATCTTTGAGGCATTTTTCAAAACAAATAAAGATAAAAAAATTATTTAGTACATTTTGTGCATTTTTTTATTTAGTAAATAAAAGAATTATTTAGTACATTATTAGTACAAAAATATGAATAAAGATAAAATAATTATTTAGTACATTTTGTGAATTATTTAGTTACATTATTATGATAAAATATAATTTAAAAGTATCTGCTATATGTATATCTGAAATACTTAAAGTATCTGTATATCTGTATCGAAATACATATATTTTAATACTGAGTGGGGATAATAATAATCCATCAATAGAAAGAGGGAATAGAAAATAATTAGAACGAGAATAAACTATAGAATAATAGAAATAGATGACATCCACCAAAAGAAATAGGAAATTAATAATTCCAAGTATCAAATAACTGATGTCATTAGCGTCTAAATGACGTCATTAAACGTCAAAATGACAAAATGACGTCATCCTGACGTTTATAATGACGTCAGGGAGTCGATTGTGTAACTTTTTCTAAAGTAAAAATGTAAAAAGTGAAAATTTTCTTCCAATCACACATCGATTTTATTTTAAAATCAATAATTAGCGGAAATTTTTCATTTTTCACGGTTTCACTTTAGAAAAAGTTACACAATCGACCCCCAGGTTGCTACTTAATAGAAAATAACCATCGATAGAAAAAGCAAAAATAATATTCCAATAATACGAGTGTGTTCAGAAATCCTATTCCATCTGTAGGCTAAAATAATGTTAGATCAAAATCAGGACAAAGAAATAAATATAAAAGAAATTTTTTTATATAAATAATAATTCGAAAATCGAAATTTAACATTTAATTATTAATTGATTAATCAGAATAGAGAAATCCTTGCTCCTATTCTTCCAATCTCTGAACACAACCGAAGTGGAAGTTTTTCAGCCATTTCTTCCAGTGTTCAATCTAGTGTCTTTTTTTAATTCGGTTGGTACGAATTACAATTTCTTCTTGTTGTCCTCGCACACGCACACACAAAAGCGGATTTCGCTCATGTATATGCTCTTGTTATGTTGTTTCATACAATTATTCGGAGCCCTGTGAAACCTTTATGTCGCAACATTCTGCTCTTCTCGCAAATACAGAGGGTACAGAATATTTTACGTGCGTGAGCGAGTATACGCGAGTCTATTTTTCACACTTTTCCTCGCGTATCTCTTTATGATCTTTCGCGTAAACATAACCTATTGATTCAACTTTTACGCAACGTATTAAAATCGCAGCAAGCGATGTAAATCGGTTTCTTCGGAACGGAATAATAATAATTAGGAACCGAAAAAATTCATTCTCCGAGCATCAGCTGTATTTTGACAGAAACTGTTAATTATGATTTTGATCATACTACTTATATAAATAAAATGTACGTATATATATATATATATATATATATATAAATTAAAAATCTATAATATATATATATGTTAGGTTAAATTTTTCAATAATAAAAATTTATAATCTTATTTAATATATAATTTAATAATTATATATATGCCTATTTTTTTATAATATATTTTTGCATATAAAATACAATTTATTTTATACACTTTCGTGTCTGCATTTATGTGTCTACAGATATTATTTGATATTTTAATTATGATAATTTGTTTCGTTGAGCTACTTTAAAAATGTCATTTACCAGTGGGTTGTGTTCTTACAAAGAATGCATGTCCGATGAGATGATCACAACCAGTAGCTTTCAAGATAAGAAATTTGAAGAATGCATAATAAAGAAGGAGGATAATATCGAAGAGAGTCTAGTAAGATCTTCAATTCTGTTAATAATTCTACTCTTAAATCGATATCCTTGAAGTTTCTACACTTTGCAGGTTGTAGGAGAAGAGATAGTTGTGGATACAAATGGATATTTACCAAACAAACTTAAGACAAATACAACTATGTATTTCGAAGAGAATCTGGAAACTTATGACAAAGTGGCTGCGGATTACAAGGACTCTATAGACGGAGTCTCTGTTCCATTGACAGAGAGTTTGATTGATGATAAATGGACTTGCGAGACCATGTCTGAATCTTGGAGGGTACATATTTAGGAATTACTTTTGATTCACTTTTAAACCAAATTGAAATTTCCCTTGTTTTAGCTTTGTAGTAATATATTTATCTTAATCTTATATATATGTGTATATATATATATATATATATATATATATATGTATATATATATATATATATATATTTATGTATATATATATATATATATATATATTTATTTTATATTTCAAGATTTTTTTATATTTTATATTATATATTTTATATTATATTAAGGAAAAGATTATAATTATATATTTTATATTATATATTTCATATAATTTAATATATATTAAACATGTATATTATTATATAAAAATATAATATATACAATACAACATATATATATATATATTTTATGTATATGACTATATATAGTTTATAGTAATATAATATATGATAGAATAAAATATTTACATAACTGAATATAATGCACAGGAACTCGAGATGGAGCAGCAAGAGAGCGATGAGGAAACAATCGCCACTTTTGTCACCGCAGCAGGGACACAATTAGCTCTCTACGCTGTGGAAGATTCAGATGAGATATTTGCCGTATCTGTTTACAATGAATCTGGCGAACCTCCGAATGATTTCCAATTTCTCATGAAGTAAGTAGACTTATTCCGCTTTTAATTCGAAAAATTAATCCATGGAAATCCAGTTGTTTAAATTAAAAAGATTAATTTCATATATTTTTTACTCGGCTTCTTTGTTCTTGTCTTCATAAATTAATTGTAAAAAAAATTACAAAATAAAATTATAAATAAAATCACAAAATAAATAAATAAAGTAGAAATTACAAAATGAAAATATACTTGCAGAGCAGATGTGGAGCGACTGATAGGCGAAGGAGCCGTGCGAACGGTGAAGAAACCGTCGCAGATGAAGAAACGACTAATAACTACTCAACCACCAGTGTTTTATCGCAAAGGAAACTTTGAGGAAGTTTATGAGCAAGCGAACGACAATATTTTCACTCACGACACGTCGATCAACAGTGACGAAAAGAACGTCGTGCAGGAGGAAGATTATGAAATAATTCACACTTATAAAAGTCAGAACTATAATGACTCTGGCAAGATCAATTCAATGTCCAGTGATAAGCACATCACTGATGAGCAGTCAGATATCACGTATTTCATGATGGACAATAATTCCGTAAATATTGGTAAAAATCGATGCAAATTCTTCTATATATACATTATTTTGATCACACTAATTTATATTAATTCTTATTATTTTTTTATATAACAAAATATATATTATAAAGTTTATATGTAATTTTTACAGTATAATATATATAATATTTATAACTGTTATATATTATATATTTTTCCTATATAAAATATATATATAATATTCTATAATATATATTTCTATAAAATATATATATATATATATATATAATGTAGAAATAATATATATATGATGTAAACTATAAAATAATTAATAAAATATAATGATATAAAATATTATATATATAATATAAAATTTTAATATATCATAGAAATACTTAAAATATATAATTCTATATAATAAAATTTATTTCTATTATACTTTTTTTAATATTCTGTTATTTTTTATTTTAACAAAAGATTTTAATTTTAACAAAATTTAATTTAACAAAAATTATTGTAAAAATTAATATAAAAGTTAAAAAATATTTTTGTAGCTGAGCAATCGGATGAGAATCAGGAGAACGGCGAATTCGAAAATGAATTGGTAGAACGTTCGACGGTCCAATACATTCTTTTGGAGGACGATCATCAATCTGACTCGGAACTGACGTTCGACGATATTCAGACGACGTTGCGGAACCTGAAGACCTCTCGCGAAAGGGCGTTAGAGAAGGGCAACGATCCGAAGTCCAAGCTGCGGGATGACGAGTCGTCCTCGAGCTTCTCGCGGAACCTCCACGATTCCTCGACGAGCATCGAGCCGTCGAACGAGGACCTGGACGAGTTGGATCTGTATATGTCGCCGATCCGCAACCGCGTCACGGAGGACGATCGGCAGCGGTTGATCGACACGTTGACCGACTCGCCGCCGCCGTCGACGACCCCGACGATGATGGCGGCGAGCACCTCGCAACTCAAGGTCAAACGATCACGGAAGCAGCAACTGATCTCCGTCAACCGGGACGACGGAGAGATCATCATCCAGCCGGCGTCGATGCTGAGCGAGGAGGAGCTGGACGACAAGAAGCGCGGTAAACGGCGACGTCGTCTATCGTCGACGCAGATGCACGTTGCAATATCGCCCAACTCGAAGAGGATCAAACGAAAGAAGCGGCGAGAGGTAAACGCATCGTTATAAAGAGTGTCCCATTTTAAAGGACCTCACACTTAAATATGAGAAACTCTGCGTGTCGAATCGAAAAATGTGATTTGACCTTGACAATCGTTTGAAAGTCACCGTCAATTTCTTGTATGGAATCACTTATTTTTTATTGCATATTCTTGTAGCTTATCTTAAGAGCTTTCCAAAACCCTATATAATAGTGTTTTTAAGTACTTTTTGAGTTATAAAGGTTTGAAGTTAACCTTCCCCCCCCCCCTTTTTTTTTTTTTTTTTTTTTTTTTAACTTTGTTTAGAGTCCCCAGTTTCTCGCCAAAGAGACTTTAATCCTTCCTTTATTCTATGATATACCTTTCATATTTTTTTTTTTCAACTTAACTTATAAATACATCATATATAGCGTCATTGGTGGGTTCGAGCCTGCGTTCCGCCGTACTAGTCGTTCGAGCTTCGGCGACGCAGCGCGCACAACCACCGACGACTTACAATTTTTCTTAATCCTACCACCGGGGTCTGGGTGAACTCAGAACCTGCGTTCCACCTATTCTTCGCCTCAGGCGAGTTTCGGTGACGCAGCGTGCACGGCCACTCACCGCCTCTTAATATTTAATTATTAATAATATGATATAATTTAATATTATTTAAAAATTTTTTTATTTATATAAAATGTAAAATTATATCTCGTAAAATATTCAGTTTTTGGTAATCTTATCTTAATACTTTTTTGCGCGGAATAATGAGACCAATAGGACACTCTCTGTATATGAATAAGGACTATCTAGTCTTCCAACATCTATATTTTTGCAATCTTTGGGTCTGTCGGATTAGTCTAATTTGATTTTCATAGCTGCAAATTATTCTGGTACTTTTCAATAATTGCACGTATTATCCAAAAATCGCAAAAATTAGACGTTGAAGCTAGGAGAGTCAAAATCTTGAAGAAAAATATACACATATTTTTAAATAATTGTGAGTAATTACAATTCTCATTTTCTTGCTCGACAGGTGGAGGTGATCGACTTGGACGTCGACGAAGAAGAGAGGCAGCCGAAGAGCAACGTGGTGGAGATCACCTTGGACGACAGCAAGGACAAGTATTCCAGTGACAAGGAGAACGAGATTATCATGGTGAGAGATTCGGATTCCGACAATAGGGACGATGAGGATGACGACGATGACAACGACGATGACGACGATGAGCGATCCAGCGACGATCTGGCGAAGCTCAACGGCGTTATGCGGTGCGAGCATTGCTCCAGGAACTTTCGGCAGCGACGCACCTTCGACGCGCACCTTAGAATCTGTCAGAAATCGCCGGCGAATGCGCTGAGGTTCGTCGAGAGGAAGGACAAAGAGAAAGGTCAGAAGGTCAGAAAGCAGTACGCCTGCAAGATCTGCCAGGAGAAGTTCGACGAGGTCATGGCCTTAGCACGTCATGTTCGCATAACGCATCATCCGAGGAAAAAGCAAAGGTTGTTGAAGATTTTAGCTTGGTAGCAGTCATTTTTTGTTCATTGCATGAAATCAATTTTTTTGTGAAATTAATTTTCAATATATGTGTGAATAAATATGAATTTAGAACTTGTGATGTGGTGTGTTCTGTCTTACTTTTTTTCTAATAAAAAATTCATGAATATATTTTGCTCATTAAGGTTCTTTTTTGCGACAGGACCCAGGAGAAATCCTGGAGCTCGCAGGAAGCAACTTCGGAGGAGAAGGAGGAATTGAACGACGATGACACGTCGAAAAGCGAGCTGGACATGCTGACCAGAGTGAAGAGAAGACGAAGACGAAAGGGCAATTCCTCGTGGGAAACGAAGAAGTTGAATTGCGGGGACTGCAACCGGTGGTTCCCAAGTTTAGCTTTGCTGAACGCTCATAGTTTGCAACACGGAACTAAAAAGTCCGGTGTGTATTTAAATTGGGTCCCAGGTAGCAGACTGACGTCATTAAGCGTCAAATTGACGTCATTTTAATGTTGAATAACGTCATGATGTTTAATGACGTCATTTGACATCGATGACGTCATTTTGACGTTTAATGACGTTGGTCTGTTACATGGATAGTTAATTTGTTAATAAATTTTAAAGCTCCTGGATCCTCATCGCAGTCATGTTAAATTGTAACGTCAGAGGCAAGAAAGCACACCCTGAAAATTCTTAGATGCCATTTTTAAGTGAAAAAAAACTTCTTTTTGTAACAATCAATCAACCGTAAAACAATCGTGATATCAGAACTGACTGTCATGCAGAATGACTGGGCTTCATATTACAGTCATTTTACAGCTGTTGATTAGAAAGGGAAAAGGGATAGTTTTTGAGGTATTGATTATAAAGGGAAAAATGATAGTTTTTGAAGTGTTTTAAGATTGTGCTACATTATCGCAACTCAGGTAGCAGACTGACGTCATTAAACGTCAAAATAACGTCATTTTAACGTCGAATGACGTCATTTTTACGTTCATTTTAACGTCGAATGACGTCATTTTTACGTTTAATGACGTCAGTTTGCTACTTGGGAAGTAACAAATTGAAAATGACGTCATTTTTACGTCTGATGACGTCATTTTGACATTTAATGACGTTATTAAACATTTAAATGACGTATACTTGCTACCTGGAATTTATAAAGTGCTGTTTCATCGAAATATCTTTTTATTTTGAAATAGTATATAAAAATTTTTAGGATGTGCTTTCTCGCCTCTAACGACAATCTAACATAGCTGCGGTTAGGAGCCTTAATATCGAACAGAGGAGAAATAATCTTAATCCCATTGTTACTTGTAGAGCAACTGCGCAGATGCCACGTCTGCAAGAAGTTAATCAAGTCTAGAATGCAGTTTCTGCAGCATCTGAAACTGCACAGCGACACCCAGAGGATGCTGCGACGGAGGCTACGCACTCGGCCGAGTACGACTCCTCGGAAACGAGGTCGACCCCGGAAGTTGTGATCTTTCTTTCGTCGTGCAAATGACAAAACATAATATTGTACAATGTTGCATAATATAATATATTGTACAGTATTGTAAAATATACAATATTGTATAAAATTGTATTTTGTACAATATACAATATTATATATTATATAATATTGTGTAATAATATTATACAATATTATAAAATATTATTTTATACAATATTTTACGATGTTATATAATATAATATTACAATGTTGTAACAATATTGTACTCGTACCACCGCTCGGAGCTTTTTGACTTGTATTTTATTTTTCTTTTTTTTTCTTTACACGATTTTCAAATCGGATATCATTTTCGGACGATGTTGTAGGGTAGCTGCATTAATTTTCGGATGTAAATAGCAAGTCACGTTTCATATATCCTTTTTGTTGTCGTCTTTTGTGTCGTCCAGGATCGAGAAAAATCTTACACTTTGTCCAAAATTTAAAGAAATTTAAGTTTTTTTTTTTAGCAAACTTTTTATAAAAATTACGGAAATTTCGACATTCGAAAATCACTTGTCGAAATAATTATATTGTTAATGCACTCTTGAACAAAAGTTCTGACACGTGTTCGTAAAATGAGAATAATTCGGTATTTTAAAAGCTTTTCTAATTGTTTTGAGAAATTTCATGATCTCGTTGATCCCCGATCGGCATTTGGCGGCTCCGGTGGATTTTTGTAAATAAAAAGTAGATTACAAACTTTATCAGCAATCTTCTCTCTAATTTGTACATATATTAATTACATTAAGAGAGATCACGCTGGTAATAATGTCATGTATAGACATTGTTACATTATTCATTGTATACATTATTCATTGTATTTGTCCCTATTATTTTGTCGAACAATAAAGTCATTAAAAAAAAACTAGACTTATTTGTAGGTCTATTCTTGTCATGTGCTATTTTTTTGTGTAAAAAGTAAAAAGCGTTTATCTTTAGAATTAATCTAAATTATTTTGTGCACTTTTCGGTAATTATTATTAATATAATATTAAAAGTAATGTAAAGACAAAAATTTTTATTTTACATATATTCAGAAAATTGGAGGTAAAAGAATGGAAAACCATATTAACATAAACGTAAAATTGTATTCGGGATCTAAAATCAAGAAAACAAAGATTACAAAAAATACAAGGAACTTTATTTATATAGCCTCTATTTCATAAAGAATATTTATTAAGGATTTATAATAAAAATTAATTTAGAAATATTTACATATGTAGATACCATCTTATTTTCTCAAGGAAGCGCAAGAAAGTTATTTTATATACAATTTTGCTTTGTGCCAAGCTAATCTGTCTTCGTAAAACCGGATGACAATTTGAGGACAGTTTACATTGGCTTCCTTGGCAGATACCATGTCTACCACATCCACTCCTTTCCTGTGTAAAGGAAATGCATTCTTGTAAATATAATATAAAATATATTATATATTAAAAATATATTAAAATAGTATATTTTTGTTGCAGTGTATATTTCATATCTATATCTATCGTAATAAATTGTATATTATTAGACAAGCAAGTAATCCACACAATAGCATCGTACTCACCATTGCATCAAATACATTAGCTCTCCATTGTCATCAGCTGAACCAAGGATTTTGTCCGCTTCTAATCCTCTTGTGAATCCATTTGTTCTGTCATTCAGTTTACTTTGTTCATCAATCTCAATTATGTTATTTTTATTATTCATCTCATCAAGATCGTCAATATATTCTTCTTTGTAAACTTTATCCAAATAACAAAATGTCTCAATATTCTCACTGTGTGACATAAAAATAATTAATAATTATTAATACATAATTACATATTAAATAAATAATTTTATATTTTTTCTCTTATTTCTCAATTTTTATTTCTATTTACACAGTTATTGAAAATGACTCAGAATGATATGATGACCCAAAATATTTATTTTAAACTAATAAATAATACCTTATTTAGGAATTTTTCACACACGTTTAGCTCTTATTATTATCTATATTAAAAATAATTAAGATCACTGCTACAGATAAATTACAAAAATCCTAAAAATATTTTTTTTATTCTAAATAAAATTTGAGAAAATACTTTAAATACAAAAATTCTAAATATTTTTTTATTTGTTGATAGATTTAGAATTCAACAAATTAACAAAATTTATTGAAATATATTTGTTGTGTTGTAAATTTATAAAAGTTTTGTTAACACATTTCAAAATACATACAGAAAAATTATATATTTGAAAAGAGATGTATATACATTTTCTAAATAAATATGTAATTAAATTTTAAGTTACCTTCTTTACATATTACAATGAAAAAGCTACTAAAAAGTAGATATGTTCATCCTTTGATACAATATTATTTTTATCATTTCTCATGAAAGATATATGACATTAATGGCAAAAATTAAAAAGAGAAACGCGTATAAATTTTATTCTTCGAAATATCGTAAATCGTCATTAGAATTATTCATTGAAATTTATATCTAAAGTATAAATAAACTGGAGCAACTCCGATTATCAGAGTCAGATTTGTGGAAGAGGATGCGAAGAGGTTAGTGAGCTAAAAACATTTCTCGTCAGATATTTGGTGATAAAAGAATGTATAATGTCCCTAAATATTTCTAGGGACATTGGAAATAGCCTGCGGCCACTAGGGACTTATTACGGTTCTTGGATAAGATTCATCAGATTTCGACAAATAAAATCGTAAATAATTTAGTAAATTCTCTTACTTATCAATTATGTAATTTTTTTAGAATAAAATCGTGAAGAGTGAACAATTTCACCATTAAAATAAAAAATTATATAATTAATATTCTGAATTAATTTAACAGTTTAAATTATTAATTAACAATTGATTTATAATATATTAATAATTCTTTTTAATTAGTTACTTTTTATTAATAATTGATAATTTCTTTTATTAATAAATAATTTTATTTTTAAATTAGTGATTAATTTATAATTGTTTTTAATTAATTATTGATTAAAAATTAATAGTTTTTGTAATAAATAATTTTATTATATTTAAATAATTTATTATTAAAATTATATTTTTATTTTCAATTTTAGCGCGTATTTGAGTCATATACTTAACTTTTGTAAATAAAAGATAAACGTATTTCTTTGTATAATTATTTTTAAAAATAATAATAAAATGTAAAAAATAATTTTTTAGATATAAACTTGTCTTTTTTTATTACTTTATAAAGAATTTCTTAAAATGTACGTGCATAACAAATATCGCAGAGCAATTGTTTATCGAAAATACAAAGTGAGCCATTTTAATTAACGCACATATTAATATCTCGCATAGTAAGTAAGATGGAAAAAAATGTTTTGAACTAAAGTTTTTTGACTATGAGGGGGACATAAAATGGTGTCATTGATTTGACCTTGTATAATTATTTAAAGGTCATGTAAAGATCACGTGAAGGTCAATTTCATAAATAGAACTTATTGCTATTTTTCATTACATATTCTTGTAGCTTATCTCAATAGCTTTCAAAAATCCTATAATAAAGTGTTTTTTCATGAAGTTTTTTCAAGTTATAAAGGTTTGAAGTTTACAATTTTTTGGCATAAAATGTAAAATATCTTGTAAAATAATCAATTTTCGGTAATCATACCTTAATACATTTTTGCACGGAATAATGAGATCAATCAATTGGTGTAAAGAAAATTACGTACATCTTTTTTAAGGCAACTATGTGTTTTTTTTATACTAATTGATTGGTCTCATTATTCCGTGCACAAAAGTATTAAGGTATAATTATCAAAAACTGAATATTTTATAAGATATTTTACATTTTATACCAAAAAATTGTAAACTTTAAATCTTCATAACTTGAAAAGTATTTCATGAAAAACATTTTATTATAGAATTTTGGAAAGCTCTTTAGATAAGCTATAAGAATGTGTAATGAAAAATAGCAGGTTCCATTTAAGAAATTGAAGGTGACCTTCACGTGATCTTTAAACGATTATACAAGGTCTAATCAATAACACCATTTTATATCCCCCTTATAGTCAAAAAACTTTTGTTCGAAACATTTTTTTTCAACTTGTTTACTATACGAGATATTTATGTGCGTTGATTAAAATGGCTCACCCTGTATAAATAACACACCGTACCCTATGACTGTACCAGAAGTTTCTATCATGTGTGTGTGTGTGTGTGTGTGTATTTGTATGTGTAAATAATAATAGGCAGCACAGATACATAATATCTTAGAGCAGTGATTGCCTAATCTAGAAGAAACTATTATAACTTTTAAATTTTATAAATATTTTTTTTTTATTTAAAATTTTTTACTGTTATATAATCTTGTACTGTATAATTTTTAATAAAAAATATGTTTATGCATATTTTTATTATTAGTTTAACCTTAATGATTTTGGTGTTCCGCAAATTTTTCTTATATCAAGTATAACTGCAAAATGGTTGAGAACTACTGTCTTAGAGGTTAAAATTTCAATACGTTATATCTCTGTTTCGTAATACACGTACAGCAAAAATAAAGACACTTTTATTATATAATTGAGACCCAAGCTATCGATTAAACCTATTAAGAACTCAATTAGTTCGTGCGTTATTGAGATATCCGATAATCTAATTGTAAAATTTATTTGTAAAAGTGATCGCAATTTGTTTTGTTGCAGATATATATATATATTATATATACTTACCTAATCGAACTGCAATTTTTTCTTTAAATATTCCCAATTTTGGTACAGCATCAGGTTTGAGAGATGCACGATAATAACTATCTTTTGTTGGAACACAAGAAAAGGAGCTTGCATCAAAGTGTGTAGAACATACTCTAATTGATGAATGTCTATGGTTTTTTGTTTTATGTACATTGCATACTTTAAGCCATTCTTTTCGAATAACAGGATTTTTTGGAAGTCTAAAAAAAATATATATATATGTATATATATATATATATATATACTTATATGTTTATATTTTTTTCATTAAATACAACACTAAGCATACTTAACCTAAAATGACAATAATGAAAATGATTTTAGCTAAAATTCAAGATTTATTTACTTTTTCTCAAAACCTTTCAATTTTTATATGAAATAATTTAAAAATAAATTATAGTTCAGCAAAATTTAACTATATTAATTAATGAAACATTCTGTATATAAATATAAATATATATATGTAAAGCATTTATGTTTATAATATCATAAATTCAAAATAATTTAAATTTAGTTATATACGCTGTTAAGAATTGAAATTTAAGACAAGCTTTATTAATAAATAATAAATATAATTAAAACAATATATAAAATTAAATTCTTATCTAAGTTGAAATTTTAATATAAGATTAATATATATACACTTATTTTAGATATGATTTATGTAAACGTTAATCAGTTTTATTTCGGTTTAACTGTTTATAGAATATATATAATACTTACGTATGAAAAGAAACTTTACTCTTCTTTTTCCAGTGTGCACCACACAAATTGCATTCCATATTGTTCAAAAATTAAATATAACAATGACACTGTGTATATGTTTTAACAAATTTATAATCGAACACCGAACACATGTACCCTACGTGAACATGTACAAAACTGTCAGCCATCTCCAATAAATTTCCATATAGTCACAGTTGAGCTATAATCAGTTACGATAGTATAGTTGGAACCTTTGATGTTCGTGTCCCTCAGTCACCTGACCATACGCCATGTTTTTGGTGATATAAAAGCGCGTTATTCAAAGATATAGAATACAAAAAAAATGATTTAATAATTTTTTAAGTACTCTATGATATTAAATGTTATATGTACTCTATGATATTAAATCGTCATTTATAAATGTAACATTAGAAATTGTCTTAAATCTTTAAAAAATCTTAACATATGGTAATAATAAATAAAATTCCTGGATTTCGTCCAAATGTTTTTACACATAACATAAGAAAATCCTATTGTGGCTTCAAAATTATTTTTGAAAAAATACAAATCTTTATTAATTTATCCAAAACAAGAAACGCAGATTAGATACACGCGTCATATGTGGGTGCAGCCATATTTTTGATGGTACTTTTCCTCAGAAAAGTCTCCAGGGACGAAGGTCTCCAGAAAAATTTTCAGGGACAAAGGTCCCCAGAAAAGTTTCCAGGTCGCCAGAAAAGTTCCTAGAAACGAAGCTGGCAAAAAAGTTCCTAGGGACGAAGCTTGTCAGAAAAACTCCTAGAAAACGAGGGTTTGCAGAAAAGTTTTCTAAAAACAAGGGCTGCACAAAAGTTCCTAGGAACGAGGGCGACGGAAAGTTTCTAGGGACAAGGGCGGCGGAAAAGTTCCTAAAAAAAAGAGCGCTAAAAGTTCCTAGAAAAAATAATTTTTAGTAAAACGACTCTGGATGTAAAAATAGGAAGAAATAGCAGCAAAAATAACTAAAAATAAAAATCTCTAGATCAAAAAATTTTGGGAATAAAAATTATCCAGCTTTTTCCCGGTTACATCTAAGGGCTCCAAGAAATCTAGAGACTCTCTAATAAAAATTGAAAAATGACACGGTAAAGTTAGGTCGGCAGCGCCATTTTTCAGCAAAAACCGGGGAAGCCATAGCTAATATAATACAACTGTGAACACCATCACATGACACATTAACCTAATCTAACCTAGAAACACAGTTGTCTGTTCTGTACAGAAAGATTGTACTTCAAAATTTCTGAAATAACTGGTTGTTCTACGCCACATTGTAATAAATAACTCTTCGAAAAAGGGTCATATAATAAAAATCTTTCGTCGTAATCCCGAGCAAAGAGCAAAATAGGCTACAAATTAGGACCATACTTTAGAAATTAAATTTCGCGCCATGGCTACTCTCAGTTTTTGTTGAAAAATGGCGGCACCAATCAAAATTGTATTTCTTGTTTCACGACTCTTATATTAGAGAATCTCTACAAGAAATCCAGCCATTTCTCCATCTATCATTTTGATAATCTATGGCTCGGCGGTCCGGTCGGAGCCATATTGATTTTTTGCGAGGATGATTACGAAGACGGGTGGTGGTGCGCGGGCCGTCGCTCTTACGTGAAGCGCGCGCGAGGATGCACTCCTGCCTGGCCCGCCTGCGGCCACCGTGCGCACGCTGTCAACCTGTCGACAAGGCTCCGTGACAACGCGACGCGAAGTGGGCTGGTGCTGGTGGGTGAGCGACGAGAGAGAAAGAGAGAGAGAGAGAGAGAAAGAGCGAGAGCCTGAAGAAGAGCGCGCGGTCTGGAGCCGCGATGATGCCGTCGACGCAGCTCCGGCGCCTACTTCGCCGCGACATTTCCATGGAAACGTAGACGACGCGCGCGGCCGAGCAAGTGAGCGAGCGAGTCCGTCCGTCAGTTCCCCGTCCGCCGTCGTCGCGCGCGCGCGCCCGCGTGATGCTGCGCGCGCGCGATTAGGTTAATCGCGTCTCCCCCAAGAGAGCTCCCCGGGATCTCACGTCGACGACGGCGCCCGATCGTCGCTCTCGCTCCGGTGAGATTCTCCCCTCCCAATTATTCTCCCTCTCCGTCGCGCTTTTATGTTGTCAATTCTATTGTATCTTTTGGGCGGGCCTGGAATTCTAGCTTTCTCTGTCTCTTTTGTTTCTTGCTCGGCTCTCTCCCGCCACGTGCAGGAGTTACTCCGAAACTGGACCTCGTGCTAAATTAAATGAATAGTTATATTAGTGATTAGGACGAAATTAAGTTTAAATTGTTCCATTGATCATCAATGTTGTTAAATTTTGTTTTATATATTTTATATAAGTAATTTAATATTACTATATACAATATATGGTGTTATAAAATTTTATATTATTTTATATATATTTAAAATTTAATATGTAGCATTTTTTAAAACTTTATTTTAAATGTATTATTACATACGAAATTTAATATTATATACGATTTTTAAATTTTATTTTATATATGTTACATATGAAATTTAATACTATTGTATATAATGTTAAATTTTATTTTGTTTCATCAACACATCTGCTCTTTCAATTTTTTTATTGGATTCTTACATTGATTGTTAATTAATTATACATATATTTATATAAAAAGTGTTTCAACTAGAATAGACTTATTGGTAAAAATCTTGAATTAAAATCAAATTTAAGTTACAACAGTATTGCTAATACTAAACTTTCCGATAACAAAAGTTATTCACTATCTTTATCACTAATGGAATGTGGAGTGAAGAAATATTAATTTTCAACCTGTAGTGTGACGCAACAAATGTTACATAGATAAATCTATACAGCTCTTTGTAATATACAATAGCTTTTATTAACTCGATACTGTATTTGTTGGAAGTTGGAAGCTAGACTAACAAGAATCTGTTGGTGCACTTTCAGCGATTGGATCAGCAAACTTGGCCAGAATTTGGAAGAAGTACAGTTTTGTTTCTTTGGAAGAGACGAGCGTGAAGTGGTGTTAAGTGCTCGCATGACATTGCCATCCTTAGATTTTGTACAATGAGCAGTTGGACAGAGAGGATGCATCGACGCGCTGCCACATTAGGAAATGTTGTAACCAGCTGCGGACATCCTTCCTCAGTACCGCCATATCCAAGGAGGCTGGAAAAGTTAGTTACACTTTCTGCTTGGCAATAATATATTCATCATTTGTTGCATCTTAATCAATTTTTTATCTTCTTTGCAAGATGTATATATTTTTTAAATTAATTTTTTTTGTCCAGATATATTTTTTACATTATTGTCTCTTCGAAGTTAAGTAAACGCCTTGTTTTCTTCTTTCTGCAGAGTCAAATTTGGAGTACCTTTGGACGAAGTGTGCAAGAATGATATTCCTGGTCCCTTATTGGTAAAAATCAAATTTTGTTACATGATACATTTTACAAAACAATTGCAAGCTATAATAATAACTTTCTTTCTCATTTTAGGTTCTCATATTGAAATTGAACAAGGAAGCCCCGCTCAGAAAGGATGTTTTCCGGGCGCCCGGTCACCAGGGTAACATGAAGAAGCTGGTACACTTTCTGCAAACTGGACACCTCGTTAACATGGACAATTTCAGCGTTTACACGATAGCCAGCGTGCTGAAGAAGTTTTTGCGCAAGATACCTGGCGGAGTGTTCGGAAAGGAGGGCGAGCAGCAGCTGTTCACCGTAATCCAGCTAGATAGCATAGAACAACAACGGGACCAGATACACAGGTAACGCAAAACTCGCGTTTCCGAGCGACCCTGATGAAACAAAGTTGCGTTTGACCGAGAGAACTTTGGCTCCCGCAGATTAATCACCTCCATGCCGATCTACACGCAACGATTGCTAGTGTTGCTGTTCGGGACGTTCAGGGTAGTAGCGGTAAATAGCGAGCGAGCTCACACGGGGATGACCAGTGAGGCCCTGGGGGTGTCTGTGGCACCCTCGTTCTTTCAGAGCTGCGTCAGCGACGGCAAGACTGCGAAGATGGAGGATGTTCTCAGGTTTAAGGTAAACCCCTGAGATCCATTTTTTACTCCACATTGGAAGAGAAGAGGTAGACTCTGAACTAGTGCAGCCGATTCATCTGAAATGATGCCTTTATATTTGTTTTACCTTCCAATTGTCTCTTCATCTTAATTTGTTAATTTTATTAGTAGTTTTTAATTGATTGAGCATTGAAATATCATGTTACTTCAGTTTAATTTCAATTATGATATGGAAAAACAAGATTTAAGGTTCCTGGGTCCTTGCCGCAGTAATGTTAGATTGTGATGTCAGAGGCGTTGAAAATTCTTAGGTGCCATTTTTAAATGACTTTAGCCATCTGAAGTGCTTTTTTATCTCGAAATGGCATCTAAGAATTTTTAGCGTGTGTGTTTTCTTGCCTCTGACGTCACAATTTCAACATTGTCGATGAGGAGCCAGGAGGAGCCTTGAATTATATATTTTTAAATTTTTTTTACAAATGTACAGATATTTTTTCTTTTAAGTTAAGGAAGATCGTCAAGGTTTCTTCTAATAGTAGCCAATTGATTTTTCAGATTGCCACTCGCGTCACCAAGTTCATGATAGACAATTTTGGCGTCTCGAATCTATTCGGAAGGGACAATTATGAATTTTACGCGCGGATAACCGGCCGAATATTGAAGGTGGAGGAAGACTGGATCTTTAGTTTTAGATATCCACCGGATACTCTCGTGTCAAGTAAGTTTCTACACACGATTAATTAAATCGCGCGAATAAATATAATACTGAAGTCGATTTTAATTTGCAATAAATTTTAGGACAATTATCGCTGGAGGCGGAAAAGACATGGTTGCAATACGAATGCGAAAGATGGGGACTAAAGTTTAATTTGGAATGTAAGTAGACCTTTTCTTTGAACAAAATTACCCAGGTAGCAAATTGACGTCATTAAACGTCAAAATGACGTGATTTTGACGTTTAATGACGTCAGTTTGACGTTTAATGGCATCAGTTTGTTATTTGGGTAATTTATTTTGACATATAATGTGAAAAAAGAGCGTATGCATTTTTTCTTCAAGGTATTCAATATGATCTTGAGTATCACTCATTGTTAGAGTACACTAATATCGCACTAATCGCTGATTCATGCGCTAGGTATGTCGCATCAGGAGGAATCGCAGTCGACCCCGGCGTTGATTCACATGCCGGAGACCGTGAATCTCACATCGTCCCTGGGCATGATCCCGGAGAACACCTTACTCGAGAGTTACACGCGTCTCTCGGTTAGTTTAGAGGAGAACGGCCTGTTCCAGGTATTTATATCGTCTACGTAATAACAGAGCGCAAAGGAAACTAGTTGCTCTTTCCATAAATTCGAAACGACACAACAGATTTGACACTCTTTACAGGCGCCCAGTCGTTCGTCGAGTAACGGCAGTCATCATTCTAGACGAGCGGCCGCGGGCATGACCTTGGACGAGTTGCGCGCGGTGAATCGCTACGCCGAGAGCACGAAGAGTCTCAGCTACCTGCCGCAGGTGAGAGACGAACGGACTGACTTGATGAGAGACCTCTGCTCTGAGCTGAGCTTGTCGAACTGTAAGGATTAATTGACGCAGGTTCACGAGAGACAGGCCGCGCGAATGCGAACCAGATCTGAATGGTTCCTCACCCCAGTGGGGGAAAGACTGGTGGCGACAGATAGCGATCCCACGGCGATACACGTCCTACGCGGTTCTAATCGCTCTTCCTCCGGCAACATTGGTAAGGCTCTATCTTTCTAGCCTACTCTCTCTCGTTTTTAAGTATAGGCTTTATTATAATCTTTATGGCTCTAGCTTATAACTATATAGGCTCCAATTATCTAAATAGCGAACAGACGATATTAGACGCTAAAATGACGTTACTTTGATGTTTAATGGCGTTAAAATGACGTCATTGATGTCAAAATGACGTCATTAATGGCAAATGACATCATTTAATGACATTAGTTTGCCCCATCTGGGAAGATTAGAAATTAAATTTACTTCCCAAATAGCAAATTGACGTCATTAAACGTTAAAATGACGTCATCGACGTGAAAATGTCACTTTGACGTTTAATGACAACAGTTTGCTACCTGGAAAGATTAGAAATTAAATATACTTCCCAATTGGGTACTTAACCCAAGGAGAACAAAAGGTCAAAATGATGTCAATTTGACGTCAAAATGACATCATTTTGACACTATCGTGACTTTTTGTTCTCCTTGGGAAGTAGCAAATTGATATCATTAAACATCAAAATAACGTCAATTTGACGTCTAATGACATCATCGATGTCAAAATGACGTATGCTTGCTATCTGGACTCTGTTAGCCTATCCTTCTAGCCTCTGCAAGATCTTCAAGATCTTTCCTCGACTCTATCAATAAAAATTTCTCGATTGAATTTAGCCACGGGTCTGAGCGCCAGCGCGGAGTCTGTGAAGCGGCCAAGTCTGCGGAGGAACTCGTCCAGGGAGAAGCAACGCCTGCACCGCAGCTCGTCCCGTCGCAACAAGGAAAACGGCGCGAAGGGAGGTGGCGTTCGATCAGCAGCAGCGGCGGCAGCGGCGGACGTATCGCGTTCCCTGGAGGCGATCAAGACCGTGAAGATCGTGCGAGTGACAGTGACGGCGGATCAGCAGTCTCCCCAGCAGCAGCAGCAGGCGGCCGAGAAGATGCTGGACAACAGCTACAACGAGATCATCGAGGAGCAGGCGACGCGAGTGCCGTCGCGCACCGGCGCCGACGGCGTCATCGGGCCACAGGATTGCACCGAGATGGACGTAAAGACGTTCCACGTCACTTTGACATACAAGCCGCGGATATAGATCTTCTCTTAATCCTTTTTTAAATTTTAATACTATCTCAAATTTTTAAGCGTTGTTTTGTTCAAAAGTTATAGGTAATTTTTTGTATTTTTTTAAATCTTGAAATGCTCAGGAATTAAATTCGAACATTGTCTTCTTAATGTAAAGGATTCCATATCAAATACTTAGGATTTTAGCTTTCAGTGAAATTGACTGTTTTTTTTCATATACTGTTGTTCTTATGTCCTGCTGAACCAAAGATGTAATAGCCTTAAAGATACCCAAGTAGCAAACTGACGTCATTCGACGTCAAAATGACATATGCTTGCTATCTGGGTAAATATTGGATAGTTACTGAGTTACAGCCAATCAAAAAATCACAGAATCCGAGTTTTTCGTATTTGACTGTAACTATCTATTACCCAGGTTGCAAGCATACGTCATTTTGACGTAGAATGACGTCATTAGACATCAAAATGACATCATCATGTAATAAACTCAAATTTAAGCTAAATATCTATGTAACAAACTGACGTCGAAATAATGTCATTAAACGTCAAAATGACATTATTATGAGGTTTAATGACGTTAGTTTGTTACTTGAGACATTTTTTGTTCAGCAGATAATAAGCTACAACATATGAGAAAACCAATTCCTATGTATTTGCTGTGGAATTCTTTACGTATGTTATTAATATACAGGGTGTTTCCTAAAAAGTGAGAAGTATTGGAATGGAGGATTCAAACCACAAAAATAAGAGAAAAAGTTTATATAAACATATGTCCGCGCGCGATATGACCTTGTTTTCAAGTTATAGCTTGTTTTATTTTTCAACAGAATTAAGATAATTATAGTTACAGGAAGTGCTCAAAATGACTACTTCTAACTTGAATACAGGCTTTAACATGTCTCATCATAGATTGTCTGACTTTAAAAAATTCCATCTTCAACACGTTGACGAAGTAACATATAGATGTTGTCAATAGGTATTTTGTAAACAATGGATTTTAGATGCCCCTACAAGTAATAATCGAGTAGATTCAGGTCTGGAGAGTGAGCTGGTCAGGACCAGCACGGCCTATCCATCTACCAGGAAACCGTTCATCCAAATAAACAAAACAAGCTATAACTTGAAAACAAGGTCATATTGGACATATGTTTATATGAACTTTTTATCTTATTTTTGTGTCCTGAATCCTCCATTGCAATACTTTTTAGGAAACACCCTGTATACAGAGATTATCTAATTTATTATTGCCATTTATCGTAATTGAAATGCTCTTGTTTCTTTAGAAGGATAGTCGTGAATTTTTTATTGTTTCGATGACGATGTCCCAATTTCGGGACGAACGATATTGCGTTACATCTCGTTTTTATTTCGATTTTATTATCCGTTAAACTTACTCCCTAATAGACACTATCTATCGTGGCATTCCAAACGCATTTACTCTTGTCCCGCGATACTTTTTAACTCGTCTTTCTCTTTTCTACTCGCTCGCATACTCGATAATTTTATTCATTTAATCAAGACATCCCTCGTTTTATACGAAAATCATATCACACACATACACATACACATTCACACACCACATAACACACATCATTTATGTATTTATTCCAAGCTAATATTAGAGGTACGACTTAAATACTCGAAATCTTTTCCCATCGATCACCTTTGTGTGACTAATGTATACCGGGTGTTCCACGAAATATCCGATAAATTTTATGATTTTACAAATTTTTCGTTTAGATTTTGGGGTCGATATCCTTTAATAAAAATTCACAGCGCGAGCCACTGATTTGCGAATAATTATTATTAAATAATTAAATAAAAAAAAATATATATATATAATAATTAAATGATTAATTAATTTATTATTATTATTATTAAATTAATAATTAAGCATTAAAAAGACGCATACATATAGATAAGAAAAGATCTTATAATTTATTTATAATTTTAAATAGATAATTCGTAAATATTTATAAATATTTAATTTAGTTAGAAATTGCGATAAAATTGATTATCAAAAGCGATCTCATCAAGTTTAATGACTTTGAAATATGTAATCAAGGTCATGGCTCTGTAAGTCACGTGTTCGAGAGATTTGAGTCATCGTTAATTTTTCTTTTTTGCAAAGTTATAATTGTTCTAAACAAAATTAATCATATATAGAATAATCATAATAGAATCATAATAGAATAATTCTGCATACATTTTTAATTTTTTCAGAGCAACTTCTATTTCATATCACCTGAAGATGAAAGAAAAATGTAATAATATTCAATAATTTTCTCTTTAGCCATAATTCAAGGTCACTGAAGGAGCGAGATCGCCTCTAATATTTATTTTTATCCAAATCGAAAAGAGGTGGCTCTTTTACGTAATTTTCCTCCAAATACTCATAAATATAAAATTTGTCGGATATTTCACGGAATGCTCTGTAAAATGGAATTCGATATAGGTCGTGTAATAAGTATTCACTCGAGAATTCTCTCGATGCGACGTGCCAGTCGCTAGCTATATGAATGCATCCTCACGGTTGTTACATGCCAAATTAGTTAATATAATGTTAAGACGTAATGTATTTATAAGCCGTCGATTGTAACGACATCGTACTGTCGCGTTTATGTTAGGCAAAATCGTTAAAAATAAGACTACACAGGATGATTCGACGGAAACAAGGACGCTTTCCGATTTCTTTCTCGAGGTCGACAAACACAGAAAAATTTACGGAATACAATTAAAAGAAAGATCATTAATATATTTTAAGGACTATTAATATATTATTAATAATATATTAATATATTATATTTATATATTATTATACAATATATTAATATTATATAAAATTTATTGTATATTATATATTAATATATATATATATATATATATATATATATATATATATATATAAAGAACTATTAAACATATATCGCAGTTCATATCAAGATGAATTCAATGACCTTAATGACTTTGAAGCAAAGAAAGAATTAAACTAGGAAATTTTTAAAGCATATATGAAGCTATTTTAATAGATTTGATATCGAAAATGTTTAGATTCTCACACAAAATTGTATATACATTTTTTTCTGATTTTCTCGAATCTAAGAAAGATAATCTAGGGTTCCTTTTCTAGCGACTCGTCCTGGAATACGTAAAGGCTATATATTGTAAGATATTATTCGATATTATTCTGATCTAGAGCGCGAAAACAAGAGATACTAATCTCGAGTATCTTTTTCAATAAAAAGGAAAAAATACACAAGATAATGACGTAACACACATAACGATATGCTACACAACGAAAGTGTTCCGTAAATAAAAGTAAATATGTAGAATAATCGACGGAGCTCGCGGCGCGTTTTTTCCAGGTTTGATTAAACCGATCAGTCCTAAAAAGGAAGAATAAGTAGTTCACGGGAGTAATATTGCGCAAAAAAGAAAAGTGTTGCGAGAAAGAGATACATTTTTTTTCTATCCAAAGTCTCGCAACTGGAGAACTTACTTCCAAACCGTCTTGACTACGTGTTCGCCAATAATTAATAAGAACAATTAAACATTACGTGCTATAGAGCCAAATTTTACAACAAGCGCATTTCTAATTTTTACAGAGAGATAAGATGATAGAAGATGGTTTGGGGATAAGCCATTCGAGGATAATTTCCTTTTCGCGAAGGCCACTTTAATCGTAAATTAATATATATATATATATATATGACTAAATAAGCGCATGTAAATATTTAATACCAAAAATGTAAAGTTCTTATTATATATATTGAACGTAATATATAAATTATATATATATATATGTATATGTATATGTATATATATATATATATATATATATAAATATAAACGTGAAAGTATGTGTGTGCGAAAATCGTGTTGAATGTCATCGTATCGAGCCGATCGTCTCGACGTCATTGCGAGAGCGCGAGGAGGAGGAGCCAGGAGCTTCAAGTGGTGAGCAGAGGGAAGAAGATGCAGGCCCAGACGAGAAGGCATGCGACCAGGAACAGCATAAGTCTTGAACGAAAATTGTCCCAGCCGATCAACAGCACCCTTGGCTGCGTGCGTCTTTCCGTCCTGGAGACCTAAAACGCCGAGTTTTCCTTCGATATACACATCTCTGTATCATACATACATATATATATATATATATATATATTATTACTGTAATATATTAATATATTAATATATATATATATATATATATATATATATATATGTACATATTAATATATAAATATATTAATATTTTACAGTAATATATTACAATTAATATAATATGCACTATATTATATAATATAGAATACACAATATATTACATATTATGTAATATGTAATATATTATATATTACAATATATTATACATTATATTATATATTATGTAATATGTAATATATATTATATATATATATATATATATATATAATATATTACATATTACATATTTATAATATATTGTGTATTCTATATTATATAATATATTGCATATTATATTGTAATATATTATTGTAAAATATTAATATATTTATATTAATATATTACAGTAATAATATATTAATATATTATTATATTAGTATATTATTTATAATATATAATATATATTATATTACTTAATAAATTATATATATGTGTATATATGTGTATATAAAGGAAAGAAAGAAAAAGTGGAGGGAAATGAGAGTCACATTGTCATCCGGTAGCTCCTCCTCCTCCTGCTCGTTGCCATCGTTGTCGTCGTCATCGTCGTCGTCGTTGTCGTTGTTCTTGCCATTCCGCAGCCTCGGATGCTGTCGCATCGGGTGCGTCTCCCGATCTCGCGCGCTCGACGACGTTGCCGTCGAACGGCGACTTCCGGTCGTTGATCCGGGCCGCTCCTCGTTCTCGATAACAATTACGTCGTCCGCCGCGAATTCGTCAGGATCGTTACCATGCGGTTGTTCCGCGAGATACATAAATACATGCTCGATTGCGTGCGCAGTCATATTTTTTCTTGTATACTAACGACAATTTCAGGTACTGTAAGGGAGAAGAGAGAACTTATTTGGCTTCCCAAGTAGCAAAATGACGTCATTTTCACGTCAAATACACGCAACATCCTATACATTTATATTATTATTGTATATTATATTATATATTATTTATATATATTATATTGTAATATTACTGTAATATATCAACATAAAAATAATATATTAATTTAATATATATACAATAGTATATTAATATATATTAAATTAATATATCATTTTGACGTCACTTTGCTACTTGGGTTGGTATCGTCGTGATTTGATGGATAAAAGAGATCTGTATGTAAGAAAAATCGCGAGGAAAATCTAATCTATGTAAATGTAGCGTGCGATGTTTAATAATTTCTCTGTTTCTCTCTCTCTCTCTCTCTCTCTCTCTCTCTCTCTTCCCTTACATTACAGTCGTTTTGCCTATTACAGTCCCGGCCAAAAATAATCGTTAACCATTCTTGATCGAGAAGTTCGTTCGATTAAGATGAATTTTTTGATCAATTCTAACTAATTTGTAAAGTTATTATTAAGATATAGCGCAATTTTTTTAAAGATTTCTTAAAACTTGCGTCTCTCTCTCTCTCTCTCTCAGTATTATTTACAATTGTCAGTGTGTTTGCCGTACATACTTTTTAATTTCTGAACACCGATTTATCGTGCGATATTCGCTCGATACCTATGTAAAGGATTGAATAATTTGCGTACACTGCGTAATAATATAACGTCGTATTTTATTCGAATATATTTACAGACGTCACAAAAAAGCGTTTATAAAATGGTACGAAATATACAATATTAATTACAAACTTAATTACGAAAACTTAAGGGATTTCCCGGAAATCCTCGCCCTTAAACTTTCGACTGTTTGTCTCAAATCTTTGTGTTTTATACAGATCGATTTCGTCAGATAAATCGGCACGATATAAATCATATATTATAAGATCAAAAGTATTCGACATATTTATAATAGATCTCTTACGATCGAAAATTGTTGGCACGTTTATCCTGCTTAGAAAATTTGTCGCTGCGTATCGTAGGATCCAAGAATTACGATCGTGATTATATGGAGAACGCTGTGGAAGTCGCACAGATCGATATAAAATCGCGTTAATCGCGCATACAAAATCATATAAAGATTACAGAATCCAACGAAAAATCATTATAGAGCAGGATTAGGACTTCGTCCTAAACTTCATCATGTAAATCAAATATTTTTGCACTTCGAGTATCGATCAATTTTTGATTATCGATTAATCCTTAATTATCGATTAAATATCGATTATTGATCGATTAATGATCGATCAATTATAAACAGTGGCACGAAGAACACATCACGATCACAGGATTTGATACTGGTTCAGCAGGGTGTAGACTATGACCCAAAGAAGGAACGCCACGATGACGGAGACGAGGAAGATTGTCTTGAGGGAGTGCCAAGGACTCTCGGAGTGCTGCTCGCCGTTGCGGTTACTCCTCCAGACCTTGCAGCCGCCGTTCTTGCAGGGCGCCGGCTCGCCACCGCTGGTGTGTGGCGTTGACGTCGCGATGCTGCTACCCGGCAAGGTCACCTTCACTTCACCCAGCTCCGTCATCGCCTCGCCGGTAGCGTGGCGATGCACCTCTGCCACCGCCGCCGTCGTCGGCTCGAACTTCGACGACGGTTCCATCTGAAGAAGAGAATGCAATTATTTTCAAAATTGCTGAATAAAAATTCGTAAGTTTTGATTTTTTGATAATATATTTTTCACTGTATATTTTGTTAATGAGAATTTTTTGATTGTTATTTCGTTATTGGGGATATTTATACAGAATGTTTCAGAAATTATTTTTCGAAAGAAAAATTTTCCATTATGGATTAAGTTTTGTTATGAATTGCTTTGAATAATATTTTGTTTTCAACGATTAAACACGATTAAATATTTATACTCGACTTATCTATCGATGAATTGGAAAGAGCAAACAAAAGTACACCAAATTCTTTATCGACTGATTATAATTACGAAATTTGTATATGTATATGTGTTAACACGTTCAAGGAGAATATATATATTGTATATATATATATATACTTAATATTATTGATGACTTGTTAAATATTTTTTATGGTACATCGTTGTTTGAAAAAGAGGAAGCAAAATAGCAAATATGCGGTATGCCGATGTTTATTACCGGATAAAGATTATCTACCTGTGGTTTCTAACTTCCCGAAGAAGCCCGACAATTTTTGCTTTGTTCAGATTTATTTTGTGCGACATAAAATGTCGCGATAAGAATGACATTTCATTATACAAAATTAGATTTGCAATCGGATTTCAATTAAAGTCTAAAAATGCACTCTTGCAAATATTTATCAATTTTTAAAAAATTATATATATATCTACATATCTCTATATTCTAAATTTTTTTGCGTTTAGGTTCTAACTGGATTATTTTCCCTTTTATTATTATATTTTATATTATATTATTATATTAATTATTATATATTATATTATAATATATATATATATATATTCTATTATTACATATTATATTATTTACTTTTTATTGTTTTTTTATTTTTAATCATGATTGAAAATAATTTTAATTTGTTTTTATATATAATTTTAATTTGTTTTTAATATATGCAGTCACAATGATAATCAAAGCGAAGTCAATAACGTGTGTGATGATGAGGATATGAAAGTGAAAGGAACAAAACAGCCGATGATTACGCGTGCTTCAGGAATCCGGCTTTTCGAGAGGAAGGGATAATTATGTTGCGGATGTGACACGATCATATAATATCAAGTTTATAACAGAGAAAACTTATCTTGGGGTCCAGATATAATCTCGTATGGATTCGATCGACTTCGTCATATATAAAGGTAAAAATTAATGAAAAATTTATAATAAATATAAGATGGATTACAGAAATAATGATATAATCAAGAAATTAATATTTTTATTCATCTAAATTAATATAATATAATTTCAATTATATTAATTATATAATAATATATAATATATAATATATATATATATATATATATATATATATATATATATATAATATATATAATATATATAAAATATAATTATAATATAATTATATAATTATAATTAAATATTTTTATTTGAACTTAAATTCTTATATCAATGTTTCAAAATTGACGAATTTAAAATAGCAAAAATTTATATACAAAAAATTGTATAAAATTTATATTAAAAATTTGCCAAATTTTCTTATGTTCACTGTATTTCGAATCGCGTTTTCCGAGATTTATAAGCGTTTTTCCCCCTTCTTTTTTTGTGGGGTAGAGGTCCCGCTAATCGATCGTTATACACGACTTTCACCGCTCAAAAGTATCGATGACAGTCAACGACCCGATTAGAGGCGATCGACCGTGTCGTTTTTAACGTCAAGGCCCATTTACAACGGATTTAATCGCTTTCTCGAATGCACGGTCGACTTCGATAATACTGCGTAATCACTGATGTCGAAGCAATGGACAGACGATCTGAACAATTATTTTTACTCACGTTGAATACGTGTCCATATTTCCCGATCGGGCGATCGTTCTCGTTCATACTATCGCATTGCGAGGATGCGTCTGGAAAAATTACGCAATTCTCGTTTCAACGTTGGATATTCTTCAAAACACTATAATATCGTACGGATGTAAATATACTTTGGAGAACGAGCAATGCGCGTTGTCGCGCGATACGAATCACCGTAAGAACTGACCGGTTTTTATTGTTAGTACGCTGTGCGAAAGGTTGCCATTATCAGCGCTTATCAACCGCGACCCCTGACCAGCTGACTAATAAATTGGCTCCTCCTCCCTCGGAATTATCATCGAAAATCTTGATGGGAGAAATCACTCTAATCATAAATACCGGTTCCTCTGGATTTTGCTTACATTGCTTTCGCAAATTATTATTATTATTATTTTTATCTACTGATGACTTTGATTAATAACAATTAAAATTTTAATTCGCTCGTGTATTGTATAAAACAACAAATGTATTCACAAAAGGCCACTTTATCGAGCAATATTTAAGCAATTATCTTAAATACAATACACGAGCGAATTAAAATTTTAATTGATATTTCAATATACGCTGGCCTTACAATGCGTCAATTTGACACGAATCACGATTATTTTGTTAATTCTAAGTTTATTCATAAAACTTTCGGCATGAGTACCGCAGATTATTTTAAACAATGGATTGATGCAAACTACAGGTTAATAAGAGTGAGATCTAAATTGCGTTTTTTAAGAACTTGCAGAAATCACGGTATCTTTCCTACACACTTAACAAAATTTTGTCATATAAAATTCAATTTATATCATCACAGATCGATCAAAAGATTGGAGAGCATGTTGTACAAATTTAAAGCAAATGCGATGAATATTGAAATCTTTGATTTACACAGACAAGTAGAGTCATTATATAACAAGATATTTAATCTCATACCCTTGCATATTTGGAATAGATTGTTTAAACATCATACTAATGCCTTTAAAAATTGTCATAATAGATTGTTTGTTACGCATAAGAAGAAATTTAATTGGCTTATGGGGAAAAAACTTTTGAAGTATACCAACAGCATCAAACCCATAGATATACAATGTGTCTTACATAAGGAAACCTCACAACCGATAAAAATTATACAAAATCGTCCTACAGCAATTACGAAGGATACGGATATCAATATACACATAGACGTTAATAAATTTCTAAATAACCATACTCACACACACACACATCCTTTAGAACATACAAACGATAAATGGTTCAACCTCTCTAATATAGGTATACTCTTCTTTCAGCCATTTTTTCAATAAGATGTTCAATTAATTTTCTATTTTTTTACACAAATTTTTAGTAATGATAGTGTATGTGTTAGCATCTTTTAATAAGTTCTCCATTTTATTAGCGTAATATGATTTTTCCATTGCAACAGTGGCATTACCTTTATCCGCACGTATTCCACCTAATGTGTCGAAACTTTTGCAAATGGGTAGTAATTTTTGCCTTCTTAATACTAACAAAAAATCAGCTATACACGAGTTCATTAAAGACATAGAAAGTAACCACAAACGTAACAATATTAACAATCTTACAACTATTCGAAATATTGCTGTTCCAAAATTTGCACAATTCTTAAACACAAACGATAGAAATGACTCAGTACAACAAAAACTACTCTGTGCATACAAGGATTCCATAAAATTTTGCAAAGATAATCCAAATATTATATTCACGCGTGCGGATAAAGGTAATGCCACTGTTGCAATGGAAAAATCATATTACGCTAATAAAATGGAGAACTTATTAAAAGATGCTAACACATACACTATCATTACTAAAAATTTGTGTAAAAAAATAGAAAATTAATTGAACACCTTATTGAAAAAATGGCTGAAAGAAGAGTATATCTCTAATAATGAATATTATAAATTACGCTCTAGCGATTCTCTCCTACCAAAAGCGTACGGATTACCTAAAATCCATAAAGAAAACTATCCATTCAGAATCATAGTTTCTTCTGTAGACACGGCTTTATACTCGTTAGCTTCTTTTTTGCAAATTATTCTAAGAACTAGTCTTCCTAAAGCTAAAAGTTATATTAATAACAGCATGTTATCTAGAAAAAAGATTGATGATAACGATACGATGTTCTCTTTAGATGTCATTCTTTATTCGCGAACGTACCTCTAGATCTTGCGATCAACAGTATTAATGATAAATGGGAACATATTGAAAAAAATACTAGAATACCAAAAAGTGAGTTCATACTAGGTATAAAATTCATTTTGACATACACTTATTTTACATTTAATGACACAATTTATAAACAGACTTTTGGGACCCTGATGGGGTCTCCATTATCACCAATCATAGCTGATTTGGTCATGCAGGATCTGGAGGACACGGTTTTTAAGTCGTTAAATTTAAAATGCACGTTTTATTTCCGTTACGTAGATGATATAATACTGACCACTTCGACGACCAATATAAGTGGAATAGTTAGTAGCTTTAATAATTATCATGACAGACTAAAATTTACAATAGAAGAGGAGGTTAACCGCAGCTTGAATTTCTTAGATTTATCAATAAAAATTATGAACAATACAATATACATAGATTGGTACCAAAAAGAAACCTTCTCAGGAAGAACTTTATCATATTTTTCTAATCATCCACAATGTCACAAAATTGGAATAATTTATAACTTATTAAATAGATGTTTGTTATTATTGCACCCACAATTTTTAATAAAAACTTAGAGATAGTTATTAACTTACTTATAAGCAACGGTTACCCCCTGGATCTTATTTTTAACAAAATCAATCATCGAATAGGCTACCTCATTGCTAAAAAAAGCATTACGGAAAGACAAACAAACATAGTAAGAACAGAAAATACAATAAAAGAATTAGAAACAAAAAACTATTTGTTATTCCATATATAAATAGGATCTCTGAAATAATGTCTCCTCGATAAAAAATACAAAACTTTTAGTAGGATATAGATGCCTTAATAAACTTGATAAAATTATTAAAACACAAAAAGATAAAATTAAACATCCTTGCAATTCTAATGTAGTTTACAAGATTAATTGTAATAATTGTAATGCATCTTATGTGGGCCAAACGAAGAGACAATTACAGACGAGATTGAAAGAACACAAAAATAATATCAAGTTGGATTCGATGAGACATTCGGTAATTTCTGAACATATTAAAGATGAACATCATACATTCAATTGGGATAATGTATTGATTATGGATAAGGAAATTAATTACCATAAAAGACTCATCTCAGAGATGTTACACATTAAAGAACAAAAAAATGGATTAAATTTAAATAAAGACACTGAGCTTCTTAGCGAGTCCTATTATGATATTTTAGACAAATTAGCAAAAATTAAACAATAATAAGACAAATAGGACATCAACAGTTTAGGCACATCTATCTGATAGTATATAAACACACATAATTTGCGACTAAATACAGTTTAAAATGAAGTGTCTTGTTAGACGGTTGGTTTCATCTATTTATAATAATTTTAAAATTAAAAAAAAAATTGTGTTAAACTGTGAGAAGAAGCGACACAAAGTAAGCATAATAAATTTATGTAAGGCCTTTTATCTATTAGTAGACATACTTTAATTGTTATTCATTTATCAATCACAGCGTCTATGGATATTAAAAATTTCTCGCTTAAAAACGAAAAAATAACTTACGAGATTCAACATCATAAGATTTCATTACGGCGAATACTTTTAAAAACATGACAAATTGTAACACGCATAAAGTTCTAATATATTCTCGACTCGAATTAACGGACTATTAGTAAATTTTAAGAATAGGATGATTTTTTGGTAAGAATTATAAATTACGTAACACTGTTATACTGAGGAAGACCGCGTGCGGTTGAAACGTTTATATATGGAAGGTTTTTTGTAATTTCAATATATTGTTTATATGGAAGGTTTTTTGTAATTTCAATATATTGTTTATATGGAAGGTTTTTTGTAATTTCAATATATTGTTTATGAAATAAATTTTAATTGGATACATCTTAAATATTGCTCGATAAGTTGGCCTTTTGTGAATACATTTGTTGTTTGATTATTAAGTTTTTATCAAAAATTAATTATTATAATAATTCTAATCATCATTAATTTTTTCCATTATTGTCAATATTTAATATGTGCGCTTTTTTAAATGAAATCAGTGTATTATTGTTATATTACTGAAAAACAGTAAAGAATCTCAGATGATTTTAGCAGTTATAGTTAAATATAGCATTAGTAAATCAAGTGAATTATGTATACACTGAAAAAATCAATTAGCGACTGTTTCAATCAGTGATATTTCAAAATGCATCTTATATATATGAAATAAATTTATTTTATTTAATACAATAGGAAAGACTTTTACACGAGCACATATGGATGACTATATAAAATTACTGTATTTAAATATAAAATTTACAATAAATTCGTGCAAGACATTTCGTCACTTACTTGTGACTTCTCAATCGCTAAATTCAATACAATTACATATAACAGTCTATAAATTTCATCTTAAAGCTATAGTTGTCTTGTTAGTAATGTAAAATATACTAATATGTCCATGTTCTTTGTAATAATTTCGGTGCTCGGAAATAATTAATGTTCAATCTATGGTAACAATAGCGTACAGTTAAACTTTTATACGGATTTTATTAGATATAATTAATATTAGTTAAATTGCAAACACTTACATATTTTTATTTTTCGCCTCGATCTTAATTATAGTGTGTTATTCTTTATCGACTTTTAGGCTGAATATACGCAGAATCTCTCTCTTAAGCTTTATATATTATTTAGAAAAAGGTGAAATTTATTTATATTTTGTTTATTTTGTCAGTTATAATTCTATTGTTACTTCTGATTAGTTTTATATTTAAGAAACTGATACTATTATTTTTTTCCATTTCTATAAATTTAATTCTATTATGGAATGAGTTAAATAAATTTTGTATTGCTATTATTTTGCAGTGTTTGGCTGCGCATATAATGTCGTCTACATATCTATGGTAAAACAGTATATTATTCTTGATTCTATGTAAAACTTTATTTTCAATATCTTGGAGAACAATATATCAGATATTATTGGGGACAACGGTGAACCCATGGGTGTGCCAAATGTCTGTTTGTAAATTTTGTTATTAAATTTGAAATAACTTGAATTTAATATAAATTGTATCATGTTTATGAACTCTTTTTGTGGAATATCTGTTTCTTTTTTTATGTAAGACCATCTGTTGTTTAATCCAATGATTGCTAAATCTATAGGTGTGTTTGTGAACAATGACACAACGTCGAACGAGAAAACTTGCTTGAATTTATTGTAAATTTTATATTTAAATACAGTAATTTTACATAGTCATCCATAATTGCTCGTGTAAAAGCCTTTCTTATTGTATTAATTTTCATTTGATACGAGCTTCATTTTCACATTGTTTTAATTTATTTCATTTATTTTATAGCTAAGATGTATTTATACAGCTACGTAATTTTGGTAGAGGAAAATTTATTAAAGTAATATTTAATCAAAAGAAAAAAATAATAATTATTAAAAATTTATGTAATTTTTTTTAATTTAATAAAAATTTTATGAATCATTAATTTTATATATATATATATATATATATATATATATATATATATATATATATACAGGGTGGGCCATTTTAAAAAATACGATCGTGTCCGGATCTTGTCTTAACTAGCTGGATCATACTTGGACTTTGCCCTGATTGGTCGGAGCATGTAAAATAAGACTAAAGGAAAGTGAATATTTTAAGAAATATATATATATATTTTGTATTTTTATCAAAATGTAGTAACTTTCGAGCTTTATAACTCAAAAAGTACGCAATGGAAAAACATTTGACTGTAGTGTTTTGAAAAGCTCTCGAGATCAGCTACAAGAATATGTAATAAAAAATAGGGGGTGCCATTTAAAAAAATTGAATATTTGATGCATTTGGTTGTCAAATAAAAATTTTAAAAAATCCCAAAATTTTTCTATTTGACAACCATTCAAGATATTGCGTTTATGTGTGTTTCTTGCTGGAAAACTCCCAAAATACAGTAATACATGAATGATGATAAGCGGGTTACCTATTGAAGGGGTTTGATAGGTCTTACAATTGGGATCAATGATTTTTCTTCTTCTCCGAAAACACTTATATGTATATTATTAATTATTATATAATTAGCCAGTTTGATCGATGACATTTAATTTACCTGTTTTATATTTTATAGATTATAGATAATCGAAAGAGGACACGGAACATTTTATTTACAGTGCAATGTGCAATATGTGTACATACATATATTACGTGTATAAATGCGTCTGATAAGATGGAAGACAGGGTAGGAGACGGAATAAAGGAAGGGATAGCTTCACATATATATGTATATACACGATGAAGGAAATATTGTGTTACGTGCAAATTTCCCAGCGTTTGTGTATAATATATATCGTGTGCGACTACCTTGCATAATAATTTTCTTCCGTCTTATTGTATTATTTTCCACTAGAACAATCACGACCTCGACGAGCCATATTCGCGAATAAACGAGCGAAATTATTTCTCACGTCGACACTTCTTTGCACACGTGTGTAATTGGAAATGCGGTATCCGGTATCACGAAAGAATCATATCTCCGATTGATTAAGCTCGTCGTCTTGTCTTTTGGTTATTTTGATCAATTCCTTGTCGACTTTTTATCGCGCGATAACGCGCGAGCACATTCAAGCGATTGTAGTTATATGAAAAAAAATGAAAAAAAGAAATAAATCGACGAAAATTATATAATATATAACGATTTTTTAGTGTACACTTGTGAGAAATCGAGATAAAAAATATGTGACTCGTCGATGAAATATTATTGCTCCAATTCTTCATCCGAATGTATAATAATGATTCGCACAGGTTAGAGAAGCATTTATATATACAAATATATATGTATTTATTATATTTACATAATATATATTTATATAACAATTTTTTAATATTCTAGGTAGCAAATATATACGTTATTTTGACGTCGAATAACGCCATTAAACGTTAAAATGACGTCATTTTAACGTTTATAATGATGTTAATTTGCTAATATTTATATAAAAATTTTACATAATCTATATATACAGGGTACTCCAAATCTACGGTAATTTGTTAGGATGTCTGGGATCATTTCGAAATGTTTTTTCCTTAGTGAAAATATCATTTTTTGCATTTTAAGTAGAACAGAGAAGTCAAAATGATGTTGACTACTTTGGGATGTTTCTACCTAAGCTTGCATACCAAAACGTCCTCTTTGAGAAAAATTTTACTCAAAATCTATAATGCACGTAACGTACACTATAGCTTTTTCAGTAAAATTTTCCTCGAAGAGGACGTTTTGGAACGCAACCCAAGTAGCAAAACTGACGTCATGACGTATGTCTGCTACCTTGAATATTAAAACATTTTTAAAAACCTTAAATTAAAATTCTATTAAAATAAACATACTTAATATTAATATAAATATAAATATTTTATTTCCAAAAAGGCTTAGTTTGCAAAAACCCTTTTATGTCCAATCGCTTATAACTCAAAAATTATTTGTGCCTCGACATTTTTGCTGAGGAAAAATTGTCTTCAAATGGTCTCAGGAATCTGCCATTAACAGGTAGGTCTGGGACACCCTGTATATACGCATTATGTTAATTGCACTTATAATAAAAAGCTCGCAGCTGTCACATCATACCTGATGATGGCGCGTGTCAGCAATGGCGGCGGGACGTTCGACGCAACGTTCGCAAATGGAATAACGATGCAAGATATCATCGGATCGATCATATATCGATTGATATGTGTGTTACACTTTCGTGAACGATAAGGCGACACGAGTCGCGAGAGGCCTGAAAGTTTATACATTCTCTATTATTTGTCGCTCACCTGACGCATCTGTTGCGGCCGCCAGGTGCGCTTGAAAAAGCTCTCGAAACACTTCATGCTTGCTTCATCACTCTCCCCCACCTCCTCACAGTCCTCACCTCTTCAATATCGGTCATAACATATTGTTCTTTTTTGCTATCAGAGCTATTTGCGACGCAAGAACTCGATCGTCCTCCCGTGTAACCCGATCGAGGTCGATCGCGGAGTCGAAGTCAAGTTATGGTAGAGAGGGATCGAGGAGCACAATTATTTTTATATATTTTACGCGAACGAGAATGATAAATATTAAGGACACCCGCGAGCAGATGCGCGCCGTTCGCCGAGCGTTCGCCGACTAATGAGAGGAACTCCTTCGCAAAGAGATGCTGGCGAAAGAGTGTTGTTGTTCCTCCACACTTCTCCACTCGCGGAAGCGAGTCGCAAAGAAGGACTTATTGGATTTACTTTCAAAAATATGGAAACAAATATTGAACATCGAGCTCATAGATTAGTTAGTTAAACTAATATAACATCTAATAAATATTTAAATAATAAATAAATACTTCACAAAACTAAAAAGGAAAAATAAATAAATATATCTTTATTTCTTCATTCTCAGAAACTATTTCTTTCTTCTTCTATGTTTGTGTCTAATATCTGAAAACTCTGTAAAAAAAAACTTAGCAAATTCATTATTATATATGAAAGTTAATATTTCTTCATTTAGAAATTTTATGCGAAGACAATTTTTCTTTATATCTTCAGAAAGATGAACGATAGAGAGGAATTGGTTTCGTCATGAAAGAGTTTTTAGTTTCTACAAAACAATAAAGCAATATTTTTCAACAATTATTTTCTAAAATAATTTAAATAAACCTAAATTCTACATAAATATACAGAAGATGCAATTTTTTCGAAATAGGAGAAAAATATTTACACGATATTCGAATACTTTTGTTTGGATGCTGATGAGTACCTTCAATATCTATCACTAAAGAACAATTTTTTGTTATAGATTTTATATTACATTTATTTAAATAGAGTGATTCTTTTATTACAATAAGAGTGATAATAACTTAAATTGTTCAAACTAAATTATAAGAGCGCTATATTTTTTTCTTTTTATATATTTATTCTCATTCCCTCCGAACTTCAAAATTCGAGAACGATGGCTGCGAGATTTCCTTCTCGTTGCGAAATTCCGCCTTATCGATCCGCGACTGAGGACTACCAGTGTGACGAAGCCACTGTTTCCTGAAATTAAAAGGAAAAAAATGAACCAGGAGTTCGAGAGAGTCGCACTTTCTTCTCATTCATATGAATTGAAGCTCTTCTTACATCTCTTCGACTCGAGACTTTTCTCCCTCCAAATGACCAACGACGGTACCGTTCGACGTGTTCATGCACCATCCTTTCAGACCCAACTCCTTGCCGCGTTTCTGCGTATACTATAAATATAAACATAGTGGCATAAACACAAATAAAATATTTATATTCATCGATATAGAGAAATTTAAGAATATTTAAAAAGAATAAAAGTGAGTGGAGCTTTACTGTTAAAATAGTTTTTTATTATTATATATGTATATATATATATATATATATATATATATATATATATATATACATATATATATATATAATAATTTTTATTATTATATATGTATATATTATTATATAATATATATATATATATAATTTATATATATATCCAAGCAAATAGACATCATTCAACGTCAAAATGACATCATTTTGCTACTTGGGATATTATATATATATATATATATTATATGTTAATATATTATTAAAAAAAACTTATTAAAAAATGTCGTGACAATTTATTTAAATATCCCGTTTTTATATAATATATATAAAAACGGGATATTTAAATTTGAAATAAAACTTATATTTAATTAACAAGACTATATATTATGGCTCTTTAATATTAAATATATAAATACGAATAAGTAAGGTCTAAGAGCCATATACGCGGATGTTCCTGCGTACATTTAATAAACAAATTGTGCATGAGGTTTGGTAGTTACACCAAAAATAATTTTATATATTTAAATTTAATTGTTACCGACAATTGGTAAAAATACGATAATAATAATTATATCGATAAACAGATAGATGTCGCAAGCGAGCGAGAGTTGCACTCTTTGGCGTAGAGTTCCTTGTTTCGGACGCAATAAATCATCAGGATTTCTGACGCAAGCCGGTTTACCCACCTTCCTGAAGAAGACACCTTGAAAAGAAGCAGGATATAAACAGTGGAATTAATAAATAATTAATAAAGATAATCGAGAGAGAATGTGAATGCCGCCGCACCGCTGACAAGATTAATCCTTTTGTTTACCTTGCACGATGCCGAAGACCTCGAAATCTACTGCGAGCATCTTCGACATTTTCGGGTTCTTCGTCGACGACGACGATGCCTCGAGAAACGACGACGAGATTAATGAGCAAATGAGGAGGTACGTTAATCCGATCATTCGACGTGTTAAACGTTTTCCAAGGCGACTCTGATCCAGATGTCGCTCGTTCGTGCGATGTTTGGAAATAATTGGCATTTGTTTGACACTTGGCAAAATATTCATATTGCCTCAGAATAATATATGTATATATATTTTTATAGGCACATAAATCTTCTTAAGACTTATCGATTAGTCATTGATATATCGAAAGTAGGAGAATTAATGAAAAGTCATTTATAATTTTACCTCAGTCACATTTATTTTGTAATTTCTTATAATCTATCTTTTCATAGACACGTTGAATATTTTATTAATGATTTGTTGCTTCTGCATCTAAATTAAAATAAAGATCCTAAAAGTAGTAACTTAAAAATATTAAGCCTGAATAATTAAAAAGAAAAATGTTTAATTTTTTAAAATATTGAAACATCTTGTTTATTTTTTAAAATAATTTTTAAATAATTTTTAATTTTAATTATTTTATTGATTTTGTAAAATGATTTTTTTAAATGATCGACAATTTAAATGAAGAAAAATGTTTAATTCTTCTAAATATTGAAACATCGTGACATTAATTTTTTTTAATGATTTTAAATGATTTTGAATGATTTTTAAAATGATGAAAAATGTCGGTTGCGAAATATTTTTTACACAATTATTGCATATATACTGATATGTATCTGTAATTAATCGCGAAAATAAAATATAAGGATAATAAATAAAATAATAATAGTCCTTATGATTTATAATGCTATTGATCAAGAGAATGTTTATTCGATACGCATATATATTTATAATAAAATTTTTGTTCGATTCGTAAATGCGGCGACGGCGGCGTCCTCTCGCGGCTGCGCGGTCAACGAGCGCCGTGAATATAGCGGCGCACGGCGCCGCAGCGTGAAGTCAGTCTCGTCTCATCCGCCGGGCGATACGAATCGTACGTCGCTCGTCATTCACCATTCTCATCTCTCTTTCCCATTTCAACCGCGCATACAACAAATTATCACATCCCTCGCGCCGCGTCCCTTCCTTCGCGACTCATGTCAGAGTACGCGACGTGTCAACTCTCGGCTGGCAGTGTCTCGTCTGCCGCGCGAATTGCATAAGTAAAGCGTCCTCGTCACCATCAACGTCGTCGCCGTCGTCGATGCGGAGGTGTCGACGACGGCGCGCTCGTCAAGCGCCTCTCAAGTCGAGAACGTGGGACGACGACAATAACGCGAACAGAACGGTTGACAGTTGAGCGAAAAGGAAGAGGAGGAGGTGGAGGAGGAGGAGGAGGAAGGGAGGTGTGCGCTTCGTCGTCTCGTGTGCGTATTGTGCGTGCATGTGTGCGGGCGGCGCAGACCACCCCGGTGTTGAGGAGGACGCGGCGGCGGACGACGACGGCGGGAATCACGCGACACGATGACGGCGATGTTGGTGTCGGTCGCGGAGCTGTCCAACATCTTCTCGGTGCTCGCGGTGCTGATATGCTTTTGCGGCGTCTTTCTATTTATCATGAGGTACGTATACGCAAATGTGATGTTCTCTCTCTTCCCATGCAGCAAACTGACGTCATTAAACGTCAATGACGTCATTTTGACATTTAATGTCAGACGTCATCATCGGCGTCATTTTGACATTTAATAAATGTCATTAGACGTTATTTTGACATTTATGATGTCAGTTTTGTCAGTTACGTCAATTACATCATTAAACGTTAAAATGACATAAACTAAATCATTAAACATCAAAATGACGTAAATTAAATCATCAAATGTCAAAATGATGTAAATTAAATCATTAAATGTCAAAATGACGTAAATTACATTATTAAACGTCAAAATGATGTCATTTAGACGTTTAATGACATCGAATGATGTCAAATGATGTCTTGCCACCTGAATATAGCTCTCTTCCAGGATGATTCCCCGTTTAACCCTTTTCTCGCGACGCAACTGGATATTTCGTCTCTGTGTATATATTGTACACTAGCGAGATAAGGAAGATATACGTGCCGTCAGGTTCGTTCGATCTATTTTTTCGGTGACGTCACGACAGCACGATATTGCTGGGTTATTAAATAAGTCACGCGACTTGAATAAGTCATCGCGCCGAGACGCGTCGATTCCTCGCGAATCGAGCGCTTATCAAATTGGCGATTAGCGCGTCGATGAAAAGAGAGAGGTTAACGTCCGTATATCTTTTTCCTTTTTCTTTTTTTTTTCTTAGAATATTTCTTGTGATTGACGATGAATTCAGTCAAGGTCGCGAGATACGTGATACAATTTGCGACACAAGCGCATCTTTGGTCAATTCCACATTCCTGACGTCATATTTCTAATTAATCATCTACTGACGTTCGTTTTCGTATTGATTCTTTTTTCACTTAATTCGATAATAGGAGTAATTATATCGTTTCCCGAAAAAGAGGATCGCATTTGTTTATAATATCGCGTACTGGCATATTTATTCTTATAATATAAAATATCTTATAAAATATTATAATATAAAATATAATAAATTATAATAATTTAAATAAAATATAAAAAAATACATTTTTAAGATATATATAAATATTATATTATGATATAATATATTATACAATATATATTACATATATATATATATATATATATATATATATAATATATTATAATAAAATAGGTATATAATTTATTTTGCGTATTTATTCTTCGAATTTTGAGCGAGAAGAAAGATCACGATTTATAATCCTCTAAAAAAAGTCATAAATTGTACTTTTTTTAATTTCTTTGTGAATTATACGTTCATATTTGATATTTTTGATAAATATCTGCTAAATCTTATTTACGAGCTATATTTATTATTAGTGCTTTTTTCGAGTATAGCGAATTTAAATTGCTTTGATTAACAACAGATTAACATGATGATTGAGATAACAATAAAAGTTAATTAAAATTGATGACAGGACTATAATATCATTAATCTCTCTTAGACTTTTAAGACATCTCTCAAATCTTCTAGGCGTGCATAATAAAAAAGGAAAAAAATGCAGGATTACAAATTGAAAAAGTGGCAGTAATATTAAAATTAATTAAAATAAATTTACATTTATTAAATATCTTATTTTTATAAAATTTTTCAATTAAATCCTGTTAAAAATGAGTATCCTAATAAAGATAATCTTAAAGTATAAAATTATAAATTTTTATGAAGAAATAAGTTTATTTAAGTAATTTATCACATAAAAAAGTCGAATATCTTAATTATTATTTATTAAATTAATTATAATTCTACCATATACATTTATAACAAAGATTCAAAAATTGCATGAGTCAATAAACGATAAACAGTAAAGAATTTAAAGTTAATATCAAATCTAATTGTCTTAATGCAACAAGTTTTTTTAAGTTATTCTCTTTTATAAATCCTGATATAAATATTGTAACATCGAAATATAAAATAAAAATCTGTTTACACATTCATTTATTATAAATAGCAAGAGCAACATTTTTTAAATGTTTACTATAAATGTTGGAATTATAATTTATTTAATAAATAATAATCAGGATATTCGATTTTTTGTGTGATAAATTGAACGAATATAATTTATTTCTTTACCATAATAATATTTTATATTTATATTTCAAGCGTAGCTTCATTAGGATACTCATTTTTAGCAGGATTTGATTGAAAAAATGTAATTATGAAATAATTTATTTATAACAAAATGTAAATTTCTATAATATCATTAATCTCTCTCACTGTCAGACTTTTAAGACATCTCTCAAATTTGGTAGACGTGCATAATAAAAAAAGCAAAAAATGCAGGATTACAAACTGAAAAAGTATATAATTTCTGAATAAGTATAATTTTTGTAAAATGTAAATTTATTTGAATAAATTTCAATTTTGTTGTCACTTTTTTCAGTTTCGGTAATTCTGCATTTTTTAGACGCTTTTGAAAAATCTTGTTCTTGAATCTAAGGTCAGCTGATCGCTTTGCAGTCTGTCAGCTGATCGCGAATTACCGAACCACTTCTTCTATTCTAAAACCATTCGACACGTTTTTGAAATCGGAGAAAATTCGAAGGATATATTTTTATTTTTATTTATTTTTATTTTTTTAATTTTTATTAATTTTTTATTACATACAGAAGCTGGAAGCGAGACTTGGGTTCGAAAGTTGACAATTTAGACGTAAGATGGTCGAGATAGTTCCGCGCTTTAAAGACGACGACGAGGACGACGACGACGACGCTGATGACGACGACAAGGTGCGATAAGTGTTTCTGATTTTCTCGAGTGACGCAGCCACTTTCGTACACGGGGGGATTCGAGTCTCGAAAGTAGGCACCAAGTCTCGAAAGCCAAGTCGCACTATTTGTAAATCATGAAACTTCGCGAGCGATGGAATTTTTCTCGTCTTGTATTTTTTCTTCTCTTTCTTTTTCTCTTTCAACTTTTGCGATTCTTTATTAAAAAACGTTTTTTTTATTTAATACAATAAAAATTTTGCCGATTTAATCGCGTGAAGCATCAAGATAATTTATAATTGTAATAGGAGAGTAGAAATAATGAACCAAAACTAGCGTAATGTTTCCTTTATTAAATCACCACGTTTCGACCATGTGGTTGTGGTTCTTTTCGAGTGAACACTAAAATATATAATTATTAACATACAATTCAATAAATGACAAAAAATTGACAATAACTAAATTACTTACAATATATGTATATCATTAACCCTCAATTACTACTCATTTTTGGCCACCCTATTTTACCACTTATGGGTTAGAGTAACCCAGAGTCTTTTATTGTTTATATTTCTGGATCTAATGAAGCTATTTTGAAGTATTTTTTTTCAATCGATACGCCAGACAGTAAGAAAAAAGCATATATCGGTACAAATGTCACCAGATTTCTACGACTCGAGTTATTTGAGAAAAAATGAAAAGTGATCTTCTAAAATTTCGAAAAAATCATTTTTGATATGGGTTAACGTAACCCAGAGAGGTAACTGAAGGTTAAAATTAAATCTTCATACAAACAATACTGTCGATAATTATTAAAATTAAATAGAATATAAATATATAAAAGTCAAACGATTGAAAGTACGAGACAATAATCAACATATCACGCCGAAAGATCGTCAAGTTTTAATATATTTTTAATAAGCAGATTTACACGACCTTCATATTTTTGTTGTACATGTCAATTACAATTTATAATTATAATATAATTGATATAAATTACCAAAGTAGCAAGCATACGTCATTAAACGTCAAAATGTCGTCATTTGACGTCAAAAACGACGTTATTGTCAGTTTGCTACTTGCATATAGGGATATTACGTATAATTAAATATAATAATTATATAATTTACAATAAGAGAAAGAAAATCGGGGGCAAAGAGGATGCCATTCCCCTTCTAACGTCGATATCTTGCGAGATTTTATTATGAAACTTTATAGATGTTCGTGGCGCAACGTGCGCAAGTCGTAAACATCGAAAAAATTGCAAAAAATATATGCGGGATAAATTTATACACACAGTAAGTTACGTCAAAAAGGTTACTTGTTTCGATACAAGTGTTACAATAATGAAAGACGTTGCTTTTTCGCGATGCAGTTGAAAAAAAAATTCCTTTAAGTCAAAGTTCAGACACAAAGTTCTCTCACGTAGGAGATTTCTCAATTTGGAAAGATTCGAAGCTTCAGAAACTTTTGTGTTTCTCACTGAAATTTAATTCATAAAGAATAGATACTTTATATAGCGGGTTAAAATTAGATCGGCAAACTTTGAAGGAAAAAGAAGAATTTTCTCTACAAGTTTTCGTTTCAATACTATACATGATATGTAAGATATAAGTTTGTGATTTTTTAGTTTGTCACCTTCATATTGAAGTTATGGAAGAATTATTGAACGTTTAAGCTAGATTGAAAATATTTTTACTGCATGATAAAATGTATATCAAATATTTAATACGTTTATCAATTTTTTTACATCTATTTAAAACACTTAAAGAGAATCATAAGTTTTAAATATATTTTAAAATTATTGAAATTTTACTATATATTTTAGTAAAATTAATCGAACGTATTTTATATCTTAATGTGTTAGATATTAATATTTTTTATTGCGATAAATATTAGAATTATATATAAATATTATATTATCTATAATATTTATAATTATTTATAAATATTTATTAATATTATATAGTATATAATATTTATTAATTATGAAATACTATATAATATTTATTAATTAATCAGAGAAATTCTTATAAAATTTTTCTATTATATTGTCCCAGGATTACCATAAATTTCACAGGCTAAATTCTATGAGAAAATTCTCTCTGTGAATAAATAGTTCGCGAGAAGAAAATTGCGTGATTAAAAAATTAAAAGATTACAATCTTGAGATTGGGTGTAACTCGTGTTACGAGAACATTAATTTGTTAAATTCCACGCTTATTAACGCGCGCAAGATATATATATATATATATATATATATTTTACCTTACATAGTTTAAACATCCGGGATGCGAGGATGAAAGAAGAACCTGTTTCTTTATTTTTAATCTTGAGATTCGAATTAATTCTCGGCAATTATCGTGTCACGTGACTTCGCGATCCTTTGTCGGTCTCTTTTTTTCTCTCCCTGTAGCCTTACTTTTGTCACGTACATATATTTCTTTCGCGTCTCAAGGTCGCAAGGTTACTGGCAGTCATCGGCTTTGACTTACAAATCGTTCGCACGTTAATCGAATCTTTCGCACGATCGCTTCTATATTTGTTCGTTTCGATGTATCTATATGTTAGCTAATTGTTGAATCAGAGTCGCCGACGGCGACTCTGAAATTAGCGATCGACTTTCAATGAGATTAATTTTCCTAATTGCTCAATTAACTTTCTGTCACCGATTGGAATCTTCACGATGTTTTAATAGTGTCGTAAATATACCTATTTATCCGCTATTTATTTTTAATTTATATTAACTTATTCAAAAAATCTGAGGATCAATTAAGAGCAATGATAATTTTGCGACAAGAATCTAAAAATACGGATATTTTTTAAAAAATGTGATTTTTCGACGTTTTGGAACATTTTGAATACATTGACATAAAAATCTGAAAATAAATTTTTTTTTATGAAAACACAGCTTCCTCTATGAGGAATAATAAAAAGAAATCTGGTAATTCGAAAAACCTGGAATTCTCAGGGAATTTTTTTCTACCTTGAAAAATTCTGGAATACTTTGGAATTTATTTTGAACAAAGAAATTTTTTAAAAAATTGCTCCTTTGATTTTATTTTCCAGTATACCTTTAAAGAATATAAAATTTATTAAGTTAATAAGTATATTGAAATATATTTTATTATAAAATATAATATTCTATTATTATATCAAAAAATATTTTTAAAGCCACAATCTCCACTTGATTCCTTCTCGACCAATAGAGCCAAACGCGATGTTATTGCGACAATTATGAAGGAAAGAACATTTTTGGAAAAAATATTTTATTTGTGTTAAAGAATTATGTATAACAAAAATAAACTTACTGTGCTTGTGCACAGGTTTTAATCCTAACGAAAAAATTTAGTTTCGTTAGGATAACGCACTGTCATCCGCGATGTGGCTCTTATTGCCTTTTAACACTCAATTTATATTTATAAAAATAATCTTAATTTAAAATTTTATTTAAAATTTTTTAAATTACTTTAATTTTACTTAAAATTTTGGACAAAAATACCTGGAAAATCATGGAATTTATTTATAAGATTTGAGTATACACCCTGTTTATTTCTCACCTTCATATAGGACCGGTTGTTCCAACTTCTTGGTAAGTTTTACCCAACAGGTAGCATATCTTCGTCTCTTTTTTTAGAATTTATCTGAAAAGAGACGAAAATATATTATTTGTCGGGTAAAACTTACCAAGAAGTTGAAAAAATCGGCTCTTAAGGGGTTATACCTACCTGTCGAAAAAAACATGTATTTTTAAGATTTTTTTTTAAACTGAAAGATTTTTTAAAATAATTAATCATTCAAATGTATATATTTAGAAGATTCTATAGTATTTTTTATTACAAAATATTAAAAAACAAAAAAGATATCAGCGAGAGCATTTTAATATTTTATTTTAAAAAATCTTTCAGTTAAAAAAATTCCTAAAAATATGTTTTTTTTTACCTCACAGGTAGGTATAACTCCTTAAATCAAATTGCAATTTTTCAATGAATCGCGTCGCAAATATATATATTTACGACCTTAAGAGGGCCTTTCCCGAAACATGTCCTGAATTGGCAACGCTAAATACGCCGAAAATCTGGTCGAAGGACGTTACCGAAGCGTCTCTTTCTCGCGAAACCACTTCGACTGCTTAAAAACAATGTAAAGTTGATAATTCTCGAACTAAACCGTATGCGCGCGAGCAACTTTCCCGGTTTTATGCAAAAATTCTGTCGCAATCTTGTGTCCGACAACTCGAGAACCATCACGTTCGGTCTCGAGATTGCACAGCACTTTAGATAATTGTCGATAATACAATAATGAGAAGCGCGCAGAAGACGCAAGCACGATCAACGTCAAAGGATCGCTTTTTATTTGTGGAGAATATAATAAACGAACGAAGAAAGAATATGATGGATGGTTCGGTGGCAGAGTAACTGTTTACTGAAAGGGAGGTTTTAAGGATCAAGTATTTGGTCTCGATATATTTCTCTCTGCTCAGGAAAGGCTTAGATATTATTATTCGCCAAGCAGTTGCCGATTTATGGCAGTCTTTCAAAACTCTTTTTTATTAAAGAATAGATCTAAAAAAGAGGATTTTGTCTTTGCAGAAACATGATGGGTGATATGGTGAGGGGTTCAGGCCCATTTCTATCAACATTTCGAATAAAAAGAGACAAAGATATAGTTTAACCGGAGATTTAAGTTAAGTGATGTTGGTAGAAACAAGCTTCAGTGGCATCACTGAACGGCAGAGTGGCTGCCTACTGAAAGGGAGGTCTTAAGGGTTTTGATATTTTTCTCTCTGCTCGCGAAAGGCTTAGATATTATTTGCCGAGCGATTGCCTATTCATGGCAGTGTCTTGGAAGCTTCTTTGGTCAAAGAATGGATCTAAAAAAGAGGATTTTGTCTTATTTGCAGAAACATGATGGTGCTACGCGTCCACGGCGACGACCTGATGTTCGGCGGCGGCGGCGCTGGTGCTGGTAGTGGTGTGATAACGCATTCGCCGCGCATACCGCAAATGGAGATGATGAAGGTCCACATTCCCTTCACCTTCAAGCTCCACGAGAGCTTCAAGAGCACGTACGCCGGTAAGTTTGTGTCCTCTTTTATGTTTCCTCGAGCTTGATCCACGACTGGGTCAATCCCTGATTTACAACCATTGTTTGCATTTTTGGCACGCGATGCATCTTGTAACAGATTCTATCTCGAAAGGCTACGACATAGGTCGCCGAAACGCAGTTGGCGGACGCGGAATGAAATGTCATCGCGCGCGAGACTCGAATCAATCCTATGCCGCGACAAGATAAATTAACTCTGACTTTTTGCGTTTGCGTTAATCAATCATAAAACTGCAAACAATAAGAAGCAATTTACAATTGTCAACAGTCTGGCGATCTCTCAGTGCCACGTCACGTCCTTCGCGCATAAGTAAGATTGATTTTTAAATGTTTTTTGATATAAATGTGTTTGCATTATGACTTACTATTTAATCCTATAGCGGTTATTAAAGCTCTACTGTCTTTTATAATTTTATAAGACAGAAGTTAGGTCATTTGTGATCCGCAAACGCATCGTCCACGTTTTCTGCGTCCGCAAACTGCGTTTTGAACGTGCCTTAACTTGGTTTCATCATTGGAGCAATCGCACCTGACCATAATTGGGCAATAAAATTCTTAGAAGATGTTGGTTTGCGTAAAAAAGAAATTCGCGAAGATCGACCCGAACCAGCTCTGGTAGATCAAGGGTTAATTGGTCAAAGAGAGAAAAAGAGAAAGATAGAGAAAGAGATCCGACCGGTCCGCGCGCGTTGATCGGCCAGCGGAAAGTGGGTTATCTCGATAGGCCGTGCGTAACAAGAAAAAAGACGAGAGCGTCGCGTGTAATTGGCATGCCAGATGCCAGCAGCGACGGAGGTCCACAGCTTTGAATTACGAAACGCCACCTTGACCGCGTGTCGTTTGTATCGTTGGGTCACTTGACGTGCGAGCCGCTTGACTTTTATCAACCATTCAGCGATCGCTCGACGTTCACCTCTGCCGAAAGTCTTCTCATATTCATCGTTTTTTTTTATTTTTTTATAAAGTCTAATTTATTCATACTGTTGCATCAACCTGATGGTAAACTTGATTACACATAGTCGCGTGATAAGCGGTAATATATAATCTCAAAATTTGATTTTTTATTTAATCAATTTTTTTCTTTCTGTTTTATGATGACTGTATTCTGAATTATTGTGTTTTTTTATATTTTTTGCGATGATTTTCTGAAGAAAATATTATGAAACACGTATAAGCAGAACTATCGGTCACGTGCAGCGCGTGCGATTTACACATCATGAACGGAAAGTTACTAAGGTCGGTTCAGTATAGAACGTGTTAAACATGATTCATTATTTCATTCGAATTATATATATAGAGCATTCCATGTCGAATGAGCTACTTTTATTATTGCAAAAATCGACTTTTTTCATTTTTTAATAGTTAAATTTTATCCTTTAGCATCTTTATACTAAAACCTTAAGAATTACAGAATGTTATTTTTTATGGTTTAAAAATTTACCTTATTTTATCTCGATATATCAGATATGTGTTTAACAATATGGCGGAATTAAAATCGCACAAAATAGATCTGCCATTTTTAATTTTGGAAATCCAAAAACTTTTTGCAATTTTTATGTGCAAAGTCCCAACTCTTTCCTTGTTAATAGAGTTAAGAATACATTATTGTTATATATAAAATTGTATGTATATACTCTATATATATATATTCTCTCTATATATATATTCTCTCTATATATATATTCTTTATTTTTCACAAAATAAGAAAATAGCTGGCTGAGAAAGCATTGGTTTATAAAATGATTAATATTAATCCCGAATCGCACGTCGTCGCATCATCGGAAAATACTCGACCAGATCACATGGCGTCCTCAAAAAACGAGACTTCACCGAAGAGAGAGAACCTTAACGTGTAACCCTCAGGGTCTTACACGGTCGCCCACGAGAACGGAATTCGAAAACACCGATCGCCCTTGATTCCGCGAAGCCCGATTCTGTGAAAGACAGAAGCGCACGGGTGTTGAAGAAAAATATGCTCCAAGTACACGCACGGATATATGTACATGTATATCTAGAAGCAATTTATTCTGTTTTTCTTCTTCATTCTTCGAAACAAACATGGTGTTCTCGAATGGTCGATTTACATATATAACAAAGCTGAGAATTAAGAATGCGCTGAAATGTCGCTGAATCGGGAATCGAACCCGAGATCTTTCGCTTGCCGGGCGACTGCTCTTTCAAACGAGCTATTCAGATCCTTTCGATTCTATACTTTTCTCTGCTATATATAATAATAATGTTGATAAACAAACACCTTTAAGGCAGCGTGTATAAATGAAGAGTTTTTAACAAGGCTCTGTAATATAAATATAAATTTAAAGTGTCAAACAGGCAATAAGAGCCAAATCGCGGATGACAGTGCGTTATCCCAACGAAACTAAATTTAATATAATTTATATTTATTTATATTATCCCAGATAGAAAACATATGTCATTTTGACGTTTAATGACATCATAAATATATGATATTATTTGGGATATTAATAGACATCCCAACTAGCAAGCATACATCTTTTTGACATTCGACGTCAAAATGACGTCAGTGACGTCGAACGATGTCAAAAAGACTTATACTTGCATCGTGTATCAGAGTGTAATTCAGTTTCTAATCAACTTTAGAAAAGTATAAAATCAGATACGAAATATATATAATATATTTTTATTGGCTCTCAATATTAATAATAATAATATAAATATGATATTTAAAATCGGCCAATAGAGGACAAGCGCGAAAAATTAATTCCTCGGAACTATATCTTTTGGTTTGAGATTACTAAGTTCCATATATAAATTAATCTCGAACTTTACATATGGAGAAATAGAAAAGTATATTTAAAAAACAGTAAATATTTTAAAAAATGTTAATTTTTTTTCAAAAATATGATATTACTTTCTAGACTCTGTATATGAGGAAAATTGATGTCGTCGGTTCTTCGGTCTATGGTAAACGTACAACGTACGCGCGTATATATATATATATATATATATATATATATATATATATGTATGTGTCCGTGTTCAACGTAACGTTGGCGCATAACCCGGCGCAAGTTATATGCAGGTTGCGTAATTGCGTGCGCGTGTCGCAACTGCAGAGGTCCACCGGAGATCTTCTCTCTCCCGTGCGCACGCGCGCGCGCGCAATTCAATCGTCGTCGTCGACGTTACGCGGCTGTTGCGGGCCTTTCGCAATTCGTGCGATTTCGCGATCCCGCGGAGAGAGAATAATATCGGGTCCGGGAGAGACGGTCAAATACGCGTCTCTTTCGAGATGTCGCGATGAAACGTTTCGGTTTGCGAAACGTCGCCGCGCTGCTTAAACTTGACATTAAAGTTCACTCTTGAGAAATCGCGAAAACGTCATCGTCGTGTGCCTGAAAATGTTTTTTTTTTCCTCTTTTTCGATTGCGTATTCGATTTGCATAGGCGCGAATTAATTATACGCGGCGCGATGATGATTTTTGTTCGCGTTCGTAAGAAGGAGAGAGAAAGAACAGATGACGAATTATGTTCTTTTCAGGAGTTATTTATTATAATCTTTAACGGAATCGCAAATGTGAATCTCGATGATATCTTTTTTTCATATTTTAATATCATCTTGATGATAAATGACATAAGGAAATCAATCAGTATTTCCGACATTTATAATAAATCGTTTAAACTGTTAGCTTAAGACGATTATTTAAAATAATCCAGCAATAATAATTATTATGACAAATTACGTTATTTCGATGTCAAAATGGCTACTTTTGCTATTTGCGGAAATTTGATACATATAATAATGTTTCGTATTCACGAGAATTAAATATCTTAAAGCTATCAAAAATATAAATATATTAAAAAGCAATAAAAAAGTGAAGAGAAAGACTAAAATTAAGCGAAAAAATATATAGAGATAAAATGCAATTTTTTATTTCCCATATATTATACATTACAAATGAATGCATCACATATTATTTTTTTTCCTTCGTCTGTTTATTGATTTCATAATTTTTTTTTTGCTATTGCAAGTGACTAAGCAAGTATGTCAAGTATGCGATTATTACCATTACATTACATAATATATATTATCAAGATATTACGTTATTATTGTGTTAGGTTAGGTTATTGGCGTATTATATCATATTATTAGCGGCATAAATAAGGAAAGCGAGTGTAGCTGTGTCTCTATTATATTTCGAATCCTGTTGTATCGTTTTACGACCGATTTTGGCGAGCTGTGAGTCACATAAAATGAAATTAATGCGGCATTGAAATTCACATGACCATATAATTTTGCTCTTCCCGCATGAAGGAGGTTTTGCGTAACAATAGGAAAGAGAGAGAGAGATATACGTGTATCTCTATGTATAGGACTCTAAGTGCGCTGATTTCATTCTACGTTTCGTAATTGAATTCGAGATCGAAAAGTTCGCGAATCACGCAATTCTGTGTTAGACTATCATCGGTTCGTTGCACGCGAATTCCGAGGGAGAATTTGTAAAATAAACCGAGTTTTCGAGCTGATCGAGAGTTACGTAATTATTTGACACCTGCGATTTTTTGCATTACGATTTGAAAGAAAAAATGGGAGATTTGTGTGAGATTCGTTCCTAAAGGCTGAAAAGAGGCGTTAAAAAGTGAGTAATTCGCGGTATAATACACGCATTTAGGAAGAGGCAAAATGTGAAAACAACTGATGATTTTATGCGTAGAAATTTAATGTCTAAGCAGAATGTTTCTGAAAGAGAGTCTTAATCATTTCCATCTCTCTCAATATCTGAAAACAATTTCTCGTCCTGAGACAGGCGAGAAAAATACGTAGTATTTTTTGAACCGTTCTGTCTCTCTGAAAGATAATCTGATGCCAGATCTGATGCAAGAGAACTTTTAATGCAATGTAAATTTATTTTAAAGAATGATGAATAGCAGGAAATATTTCGCAACATGACATTTCAAAGTATCGAATGTATCTATCTATCTGCAAATTA